GTGTCTAGGGTCCCTTCATTATGTTATGTTTGGTAGAGACTAGGGGTACTTATGCCAGGTGGGAAAGCAGGGTAGGGTGTCTGAGAAGGGGGGTCAGGTCGAACGTCACCGGTGCTGTTGCTGCTATCCACTGTGACCTGTTGCACCAGCCAAACTGCTTTGGTTGTCCAGCCATTCTGCTACCTATATGTAAGAGCTGTTGGACTTTGTTTTGTGTCATTTGCCTCTGGTCACCAGTAAATCAAGAGCTCTGAAATCAATCATTGTGTGACTGATTCTGTTCTCTCTCACGCTTGCACCTCAATCCTGCTGGCCTTCATCCTGGTTGTAAGGGTTCACCACCATCCAAACCTTACAGATGCCAACCAAATTGTGCTCTTTGTGATTATATACTGTGATTTTACATTATCCTGCACTGACTTCAATTATCTCAAATGTTACACAATTAGCTTGTACCATACATACAACAGACTAACATACAAGAGAAAATATTAATTTCTGGCTCTGTGTGATTCCTTGTATCTGATGATTGAGGCTGAGCAGTATGCCATGTTTATATTGCAAACCGGTAGCAGCTATCGTGTCTGCAGCTGCATGAGCCAATTTAGCTGTATGCATTGATGTGTGGATGGAGGTGATTGTAACATTAGGTAACAATGAGTGAGAGCATGATATGAAATTTACGCTAAAAAACAAGAAAAAACTAAACATCTAAACTTAAATGTTGATTTACTGAAAGAGAAAAATATAAAAACAGGTTAAATGCAGTTTGTGTAAATGTTTATAATAAGAGTACAAACATCAAGTTACTAAGACTTAATGTCATTAATGGATCATCAGTGAATGGATCTTAACCCATAGTTACTTCATACATTAATTGATGTATTAGCTGATCAGGTCACATTATCAACATTATTATCATTATCATTTTTTCTAGTGATTTTTTTAAAATAGTTTGATATTTTTAATCTGCTTATGGTTGAATACTTTTACATGTTTAGCTTGCTCATGATTGATAGCTAATTCCTAAGTGGTTGCAGATTAATCAAAGATAATGACTTGCTCATATTTTGCATGAGTGATTATTGCCTAGCTCTGATTCTTGCTATGACGAAGTTTTGATTGATTACTTTACAATTGCTTGATTGATTCTTTGGTTGGTGCTAATCAAGTGATTTTGGCTGGCTCAGTAAGTGATTCAGCTCAGATTATGTGTTTTACATGCATTTATGTTTTCTGCTGACATTTGAACTACATGTGTACTCATTTATTTATTTATTGATATCAAGTCACATCATGCTTGTTCCCTAAGATGGTTGTTTGCCTGGTTCATTTTTCAGTGATGCATCTAAACGGTTGTCAGATGTTAAACTGCTCCTTCCGCTGGTCCTGAAAATGATGTTAATGTTTAATCAATTATATTATATCAAACTTTCAAACTTGTATATTTTCTTCGATAAAACCTTGTAGTTCCACCAGTTATGCAGCCTTTATTTGGCGTAGGTCTAGATTTACTTGTTTTTTGGATGTACAGTTGATTAAATTTAAGTACATTGTTCAAATATTATATGTATGTTGTGTGAGCAGTTGAACTCACCAATTTGACACCAGTTTAACACTGAAAATGATGTGACCAGCCTCCAGCACAGACACTTCACTTCCAGCATAAAGTGTAATAATACAGATATTGAAGTGAATTTCACAGAAACAAATAGCTTTATCAAGTTACATGGAAAAATAGATTATTAAAGTGACATTCACTTCAAACATGTCCATTAGCTAACACATCTTTGAATATTTCCACTGATAAAAAGTGAAGAGAGAATTTGTTTGATTATTTTTTAATTATGCACCTTAGTAGCACAAGAAAATGGAAAACAATAAATGGCTACAACTAGTGATTTTTCAGCAAATGATAAATAATGATAAACTTTAAAACATCTTTATTATTCAAAATAAACAGATAATTTCCCACATTTCAAAAATAAAAGCTGAAAATAATGGGACCTAAACATAATGCAAGAAATCTTTGCTTCATGAAGCTTTTATTGTTTATCGAGACTGTCAGAGGTGAGTTGGTTAAATTGCATTACCACTGAAACCTGGTGTGTTACGTGTAGGTTTAGATAACAGTAACTGTGTGTAACTGTATGTTCTGTATGAAAAATGACCACAAAACAGAAATAAACTTCAAAAATTTCGAATTAAGAATATTCTGCTCTTCACAAGTTAATAAAGTTTTATTTTCAAAATCATGCAAATCGGTTCATTACTCATAGACTCAGTCCCTCTTTACATATTTATGTCTCAGACGTACCATTAGCCTACTGTGTGGCAACTAAACATGCCCCCTCGGTGGTAAATATGGAAAATATTGATTTATTTTATATGAGAAACATACCACTGAGTGATGACATCATTCAGTCTGCTGTGTATTGATATGAAAAAAAAAACATGACATCAGCATTGTATAATGAGGGCAATGCTATATACATAACACCCATAGTAGCTGGTTAACTGTTATCCACCGTGTTATCATTGCTTAATGTCAAACACTCACACTTTCTCACCTAACATTAAAGGTGCAATCCGTAAAGATGGCCTCTGCTCAACCCTGTGTCTCTGAGAAAACTCAGTATTGAATTTGATTTACAGCACTTCAGACATTACATCATGTACAAACTGACTGAGGTGAAAAACTGACAGGTTAATTTACCTCACAATCAAATGTTAATTCATGCATGTATGTGAAGGTGGTTTTGTTCAGAGGCAATAAAATATTACTTATGTACTGCACCTTTAAGATTAAGTGGTGAACTAACTTAACAAGAACAACCTTCATTTTATTTCCTTACCATTATTTAAGTAAATAAAAAAAATTATAAAAAAAAAGCTAATAAAACAATAAATACATAATTAAAAAAAAATCTGAGACAAATTTAAGCAAGCTCATTGTTTGGCCTTTGTTTGCACTTTACAATGGTCAGTCATCTCCAACACATTCTCTGAAGGGCTATTGCTTGAGCTTAAAGCCAAATGATACTTAAATTAACCTGTTACTCATAGTATATTGAAAAAGAGATGGTTCAGATGGAAAAAAGCTGGAGCCACATTCTTTTTTTCAAAGGGATGCAGTTGTGGCAAATGAGTTGAAGAGTTACAATGAAGCCCACAACACGTAAATACAATATCACAGAAATCTTAATTCATCTTAAATAATCTTATTAAACAATTTATGGGTGACAGATTCAGTGTCATTGTTATACTTGTTCATTAAACCCGCATAATAAACATGCAATGGCATTTTTTTCTGAGATAGTTATTTTTTTCTTTTTTTTTGGAGAATGTTCATACAAAAAGAGTAACTCTGTTTGCTGTATTGCATAAGATCATCACAAGAAAAGAAAAGAAAGACAGCAGATGAACAGTCCTTATTTGAAAGGTTTCTTGGACATGTTTGTTGAACATCATTTGCCAGCTCTGTGCATTCATTCATTCAATACACAATTCCTGTTAATGAAGAATGTATAAGTAAAAAAATAAAGTAATAAATAAAACTTCAGTCTGATAATAATTCTGTTTGAAATAAACGGTTTAGTTTCTGATGTTATCATTCATTTGGCCTTTATGTGTGCATTCTGACCCAAATCCTACAAGGTCCAGACTGTGTAAGTCTGTGGAAGGTTTCTCCGCCTCTCTAAACTCTGCCAGTTCATTTCCTGCTTTACAGTCAGAGAGTAATGATTACAATACCAAACAGAAATAAGAGAGCAAACACTCCAAAGTATTGAACTGGCTGATTTCTGTATCTGGATGGTGACTCTCCTATACATGTATTGCATGAGACAGAGTGTATACAGTGTGTGTGTCTGCAGCAGTGTGTACTTAAACAAAGCTCAGCTAACAAGATGAATTCATCTTCAGCATTGCTGGTATTCCAGCATTGTAAATGATGAAATCCTGCAAGTGACATGAAAACCATTGATGCTGTTGGAACAGCCTCACATACATGTAGCTGTTCCATGGCTGACTGAAAAAGCATTGCAACAAACACTAAAGCTAAAGCTAAAGCTAACACAACCTGATCCAAGAGCTCTGCAGTAAATCCTACCACAGGCTGCTGTTGATCTGTTTATACTGAGAGGTGATTCTAGTATTTGTCCACCCATTAATATCAGTAAATATTAGAAGAACCTCAGTGCAGCACAACACAGTTCAACAGCAGCACAAAGTGCAGCCTCCACAGTGATCACACAGATAACTCAACAAGTCACCTGAAACAGTTTCAACAAAAACTGAACATTATGATGAAGGAGGATTCCTTACAGGGCTGTTGGATCAGTCACTTAGATTAGCTATGTGGACCTCATTGACTGGCAATTGAATGTATATAGAGACACCGGAAAGAATTCAATTTTTTCTTAAAAGGAAGAAGCCATTGTTGGAGTATTCCAGCCTATTAAAGCTAAAACTGTTTGATGATTTTTGCCAGTTAATAATTGGATGCTTTTGGGTGAGTTATAGTTTTGATATCTGCTTCAGAGAAAATATTTACAACCACTGATAGGGACTGCTCCACAGGCATGTGTAGGGGGCAGTCGAAGAGCACAGAAGTAAATATGTGGTAATTTATGTGTATTCACTAATTGTCTTCCTTTGAGCACGCTGAGTTTCAGGTTACACTCAAGGTTGGAGTCGGATGAGAAGGAGAAAACCAGCGGAGCCAATCAGAAGATGACAAAACGCCTGTGCACATTTCTTTGTTTATACCTGTATATATACACTGGATCAGGGAACGTTAGTTTGTCAGACTGTGGACTGATCAACACTTGTTATTGGTTAGGGAAAGTCACATCTGATCCAGAATTCTTTAACTGCTCATTGCTTGCTGAAAAGATTCACTAAACAATTTGAACTAAATTCCTTGGTGTGGACATTCATTGGTCTTTTGAGCATTCTGAACACTGCACTCACCCCGGGGGGGGGGGGGGGGGGGGGGGGGTTTCTGCCAACAGCAAAAACTGCTTCACCAACCATTGGACGAGTGGGACAGCATTGGAGGTGTGTGACACTAGCCCCCACTTGCTGCTGTCATTTCAAACTGAACTCTACAAGGCAACTTAAAGATCCTCTAGTACTGCATAAAAAAACAGAATCCATTAAATCATACTGAGTTGTGTATTTCTAAAATTGTTCTTCATAAATTTGAAATTCATAAAGCTATAAAGCAAGCACAAATGAAATTTCAAATGTGGATATTTCTACTCAGGTCATACCAGTCATTATATGTCTCCAGTGACAAAGTCCTGAGGACATTTCCCTCTCCATCCATCTTCCATCTGTTTCTATTTTCCTATAGTGCTTCACATGGCACGTTTCTCTTTCATAAACATTTCATCACTCAGCTCCACGTTATCCTCATGTCTTTACCTTTATGTGAAGCTATCCAACCTTCCTCTCTCCTCCTCCAGTGTGCATAGCTCATTCCTGGCTTAGTAAGGCACTGTATCCTCCTGTCTCCCCCTCCCTCTTCTTTCATCCACTCATCTGTCATCTATCGTCAGCCTGCCCTTGCTGTGCATTCCTACTTCAGAAACCTAACTGAGAGTTACTCCACTGATTCTTTATCTTGGCTAATAGGCACGCACACACATTGTATGCAGCTTCAAACCGATAAATCCCTTTTTGCTGCTTTGGTATTGCTTTTCATAAAACTACATCATTTGATTAACAAATGTACCGAGCAAGCCCTAGTGGAGTAGCATTCATTAAAAAAAAAGAAGACAGGCTGAAGTCCTTCCAGTGGCACCCAGAGACTTTGATGTCTCTTCAACACCATGCTGAAGAACAGGAAAGAACAAACTTGCTGACCGTTTAGCTGCTCTTGTCCTGACGGTGGCATCAGACATACTGTCTGACCAGTAGCTGTCCACAGATATCAGTCTGGACAAGAGCGTTGGAATTGGATTTCCCACAGATGTCAATAATGGATTAAACCATTTTGAAAGCATAGTTTGGGGGACATTTACTTATCTTATCTTTACAATAAAAGATCTGATGAGAGCTGATGGAGGATTGAGTCTCGTAGATGTCCGTACTACAGCTGAATTTCCATGTCACTCAGCTTTCTGGAACAAAATGGACTTGCTGATCATGTTGCTAACAAAGATGAACACTTGAAGAGCCCTTCACACACAGTGTTGGCATGTACAGGTGTGGACTCAGTATTAACATCTGTACTTAAATTCAGTCCAGTACAATAGGCCAATTTGTGAAGATCAGATTGTTCAGATTTTTGTTGACACTGTGTCACAAGAGGTTAATTCAACTCTGTGGTAGTTCAGGAGACTGTAGTTTAATGGTGTGCTGGATTATATTATTATGTAGAGGAACCTTATATCTTCCCACTATGCACCAAAAACTAAAAAGCCTTGAAACAGTGACCTTAGAGTTCAATCAAATCATTGCCTCCTTGTAGGCGAGAATTTGTCTTGATCGCTGACTATGGAAGCTTCTAAGGTCAGATTTATTTATTGCAGAGCTCTTGTGTTGGATTACAGCGTCCACCCCCTGTACCTACAGACAACGTGCACTGTACACATGAAAAGTCGTAAACATCATTGTAATGTTTTCTGTGTTCATCACTGTCCTGAGAGTCTTTCAGGAAGAATTCTCTTTATCTCTTCCTCTGTCCATCTTTGGGTCCTTCCCTTTCCCCTTTTTCCATTATTCCTTTGTATTTTTTGCTTGTTACTGTGAATGTAGAATAAGTTAAAGCAAAGAAGTCATTATCTGAGCCAAAAACAAAAAACCAAAAACCTATAGTACAGCATATAATCTGATATTTTCTCTGTACAAAGTCTTAGAAGCATTCCAAACAAAGTGTGCTGGAAGTGAGGGGCAGAGCTGGCAGAGTTGACTGTCTGGATGAGGAAGAACTGGGAGGAAGGCTTAGGGTGGGGCCTGTAGAGGAGGCTGGAGATGTAGTTCCTCTTGCACTGGGAAGTGGAGCAGAGTGTAGACCCTGTCGACTTCTCAGAGAGCAGTATGAAAGGTCTGAAGGAGAAGTAGAGGGAAGGCAGATTGCCACAGGTGACAGTGTGAAAGGGAAGAGTCTGTTGCTCCAAGAACAGATCAGTTGAGCTGATCCTCGTACTGTTTCCGGAAACAGTCACCAGCAGGGAAAAACTCCCAGCAGCGCTCCTGGTACATCTTCCATACGTAAGACTCCTTCAAGACAGACAGATGAGAGGAGGGAGGAAGGGTTTACATGATGTATGACATTTTTCTGCATGTATTTGACTTATCAACATCATCCACCTCTGAGGTTAGTACCAGCAGTGTAAGCTTCAAATACAGAACCACAAATGGCCTCAGTATGCTTCAAACAATGTCATGTGACCACAGTGATTCTGCCAGCTCTGAACAGCCAAACCTGTTGTCAAGAAGAGAGCGAGAAATGAGGAATCAAATAACAACTCTTTCTCTTACCTCTCCTCAAAGATGATCAATGTCCAGATAAAATCTTGATGAGATTTGAGACACTTTCATTTAAACTCACATCTTTGCATCTGTTTGTGACAGATCTGATTACATCTGTCTTTGTAAATCAGTCCTCTTCCACTCCACAGTACCTGTCACTACAAGAAAGAAAACTTCTGCACTTTAGCAGTTTAGCTAGCATTAGCTAACAACTATCTATAAGCTAACACAAACACATGAATAAATCAAATTCATAAACTACAAGTGAGACAAGGGTTTAATCATCTTCTGGGCTCTAACTCTCTGCTCTTTCACCCACAAGATCATTCAGCAATGAACTGATCAGGGTATTTCTGAAATGAAATGCTGATAATTTAAGTTTCTAAGGCTTAACAACTTGTAATTGTTATTTATGCTGAAGAATAGAAGTTTTAGTTTTAACAGTGCAGCTAAAGGATCTGACAAGAACTTTGTCTGAAGTATACTGAGGTTTTAACTGCAAAGATCAGAACCAGTGGCATAAACTTTGAAGCTGATCTGTACTAACCTCATTACTGTTTACTTACTGAGACCAAAGGGAAATGAACTGGTTTACCTGGCCTGTGTGCTCTGTTTCATCTTTGTTAATGAGATACATCACAAAGAATCTGAAACACACACACACCACATTAGAAAAACATATCCACAAAAATTTTCACACATACACCAAACATGTATAAACACACACCAACAGTGCCTGATGGTAAATACAATGTGGCTGCTACTACTTAAGTATCAACACTGAAGCTTGAAACTCTGATGATGTTGGAAGGAGTCCTTTACCTTAATTTGGGAAAAGCAAGAATTACACAAAATATAAGACATTTTAGATATTATCACGTTAAACCTGATCTTAATTCTAAAATGCAAAACTCAGAGAGTAATACTAAACTGAAGAAAAACTAAACCTTAAAGCATCACTTTTTCATTTTCTTAAGGGGGGAGGACAAAACATTCCAAACAAGTTTTTTTGGTTTTGAGAGGTTGTCTTTACCTGTTCTGAAATGTTCTGTCTCAGAGTAAGGAATCACACATCTGAGAAATCTTATTTTTGTTTTTTCTTGTCGGATACAAACTGTGTTTGCCAATTTTCCATGAAATGACAGAGGTATTCTGACAATAACTGTAACACAAATATTAGCACAGGAAAGACATTATACAGCCATTTCTACCGCAGGTCCTTCCCCAGGGGATTAGGAACCTTATGAAGGACTTGGAGGAACTAGGAACTAAAATAGTTGTTAAAAGGACAAGGGAGAGAGTGAGAGAGAGAGAGAACAGTGATCGAGAGAATGAAGTGAATGAAGCAGAAAAATAAAACTTAAAAATGAGGTTATGTTAGCAGAAATCAATGTTGATGTTGTTGTTGTTGATGTTCTGCAGTGTCATTTTCATTTATTTCATCCAATTCAAACATCAAAGTCACACTGCAGTAAATACAAGGAGCATCACCATGACTCTGTCTCTGGTTTCTCACATGTGAAAATTAGTAGCAACTACTTTAGTTCATCTGGTTTCATAGTTCCTGGAACCTTTTGGACTGAAATGACAACTACTGGTCATACTAGTCGGGGACAGCGCTCAATCCTTTATTCCGTGAGTATAATGAACCTCAAACAGCCACACCAGAGTTTAATGATGTGTCACAGAGTCATTATAAACCAATGAGAACCCAATGCTATTACACAGAGCAGACATAATATCTATAATAGAAATGTTAAACAGTTCAGTTATGTCTCTTTGTAATTCTACCTTCATTAAAGGGAGCTGAAGAAATACCAAGTAATTAGAAAAATAATTATTAGAAAACACTAATTAGCACAAGAACACACATACACACACACTCACTGAGCACTTCATTAGGAACACCATACCAACACTTGGTAGTTCCTCTCTTTGCTTTCAAAGAGCCTCACTTCTTTGTCCCATGTGGGATAAGATAAGATATGGGAAACTTTCCTCTGAGACTCTGCTCAATGTTGACATGACTGCATCACATAATTTCTGCAGATCTGTCAGCTGCACATTCATGCTGCCAATCTCCTGTTCTACCACATCGCAGAGGTGTTCTACTGGATGTAGCTCTGGAGACTGGGGAGACCACTGAATATTGGTAATAACAATAAGCAGGAGCACAGCTGTTCCTAATAAAGTGCTTGTTGTGTGTACAAACACACAAACTAATGTACTCACAGGTAGTTGGCTAAGTTGTGCTCCTGTAGCGTGTGCGTTTCAAAGCCATGTGGCACTGTGTCAAAGTAGTCGTTACCTATTCCACAGATAAAACATTTGGTCTGGAAGAGAAACATGGGAATGTTGAGTGATGGTGATTATCCAAAACATGTGCCTGTCAGTTTCCATCTGTCTGTCTATCTGTGATCCCTACAGAAAATAGTAGCTTACATCTGGACTTCATGCAGATGTTTGGGGTTTTGGGTGTGTGTATGTGTGTGTGTACAGTATGTGTGTTGTTGTGGTGGTAGTGGTGGCGGTGCTGTGGATTGGTGGTGGTGGTGGTGGTCGGGACTGGCAGAGTGTATTGCCATATATTATTATTTCATACTGTCATGCATAGCTGTATAATGCTACATAGTGTGTGTGTGTGTGTGTGTGTGTGTGTGTGTGTGTGTGTGTGTGTGTATGTTTTCACCTCCATGTCTTCTTTTACTTGTTCCTGCTGATCCCTCAGCTCTCCAAATGCATCAATGATCAAACCTAGAAATCCAAAGAGCACAAATGGTGAACGGGTGAAACCACCTGGTTTTACTGAACTCACATTATCACTACTGCCACAACTGCCACAATCATCAGAATCACTTGGACACTCTTCCTATTCAGGCTGACGTGGGGTTGTGTGGGGTTAGTCATATATAGTTGGTACATCACCTACAGTAGATTATGATAAGCGCGATCCTAGTTAGGAAAGCCAACCAGGGCACTGGCAGAGTGTCAGAGTGATAAGCTGCTATGCACGGGGCCACCAGAAAAAACAGTCCAATATCTGTTTAAATGTATGCTTCATGAGTCTTCAGTTATGGCTTAAAACGTTTTTTAACACATGTTTTACACAGGGACTTTGATCTTTGACCACCAAAATCTCATCAGTTCGTCTTTGAGTCCAATTGGAAATTTATGCCAAATGTGAAGGGATTCTGTTGACGAGTAACCCTTTCAAATGATGCGCTGGCAACAAGATAGATGGATAGATAGATACTTTATTTATTAGTACATTTTTTGGCCAAGAACTCCTGGCATTAAAGTTTACCAGATCTGGAGTTAAACATCCCATACCAGCTGAGCTGAAGAAGCCGTACCGTGGATGCAGAGCCAGGGCTAAGCTAAAGGCTAGGAGATGGCTATATAAGCCTTTTCTCCCATCGATCCTCATGGGAAATATCAACTCCCTGGCTAACAAGTGTGATGAACTGGAGGCACTTGCGAAGAACCAGCGAGCATATTGTGAGTGCAGTGTCATGTGTTTCACGGAGACCTGGTTAAACGACAACAGTCCCGACCGTTGTGTGGATTTACCCGGCTTCACTGCAGTACGAGTGGACACAGACGCAAGGGCAAGTGGAAAGAATAAAGGTGGAGGACTGGTTCTGCTTGTGAACAATAGATGGTGCAACCCCGGTCACATCAGAGTGAAGGAGAAGATCTGCTGTCGGGATATTACCTGTTGGCAGTTGGTCTTAGACCGTACTATGTACTGAGGGAATTCTCACACATTGTCGCCATTGTTGTTTACATTCAACCATGGGCAGAGCATGCAGTCACGTGTGACTTCATTCACGAGACTGTTGCAAGAGTACAGACCCAGCACCCTGATGCATTCATTGCAATATCGGGGGATTTTAACCATGTCACTCTCACCTCTCACCTGACTGGCTTAACTCACTATGTTGACTGTCCCACAAGGGAAATTATGACTCTGGATCGTTTGTATGCAAATGTCAAGGAAGCCTACACTGCTTCAGCTCTACCACCACTTGGCAGATCAGATCATAATCTGGTTTTTCTTCAGCCTTTCTACAAGCCAGGTGTACTGAGGCAGGCTGCAACCACCCGCTCATTCAGGAACTGGACCCCGGAGGCCAGTGAGTCTCTAAAAGACTGTTTTGAGTGCACAGATAGGAATGTACCGTTGGAGTCACAGGAAAATGATAAAAGCAAGGATACTGACCTTGCCAGAATGGTTGAATGTACCACGGAGTACATTAACTTCTGTATGGACACTGTAATACCAGCAAGGACCGTACACTGCTTTCCAAACAACAAACCCTGGATCACCAGTAACATCAAGATCCTCCTCAATCAGAAAAAGGAGGCCTTCAGGGATGGAGACAGGGAGCAGCTCAGGTGTGTGCAACATGAGCTGATGAGGAGATTAAAGCAGGTGACTGGCTTTAAAGAGAAGAACAGCCAGGCAACATCAGGTGATGTGGACAAGGCCAATGAGTTCAACCTGTTCTACAACAGGTGTGACACAGCCTCACCTGTTCTCTCTCCCACTGCTTCAGCTGCAGCTTCTCCTACGACATCTCCTCCACAATCGGACACTGCAGCTGCAACTCCCTCCACACTGGGGTCAAGTCTCCTGTCCTTTACAGCGGAGGAGGGGAGGGCGGAGCTGAAGAGATTACGTCCTGGAAAGGCAAAAGGCCTGGATGGTGTGTGTCGGAGGCTGTTAAAGGACTGTGCAGCCCAGCCCAGTCTACAAGCAGGGTGGGTCCCGGTCCTGTGGAAAACATCATGTCTTGTTCCGGTACCTAAAGTAGGACGACCGGCTGAGATAAATGACTACAGACTGGTGGCCCTCACATCATGAAGATGAAGACCCTGGAGCGGCTGCTTCTCCACCTTCTGAGGCCACAGGTCTAACATGCAATAGACCCCCTACAGTTCACCTATAAAGAACATATTGGAGTGGATGATGCCGTCCTTTACATGCTCCACCGGGCCCATTCTTACTTGGATGAGCCAGGTAGTAACATGAGGATTATGTTCTTTGATTTCTCAAGTGCATTTAACACCATCCAACCCCCCATCCTTAAAGACAAGCTGGAAAGGATGGTGGTGGATCTCTGCTTCACATCATGGATTGTGGATTACCTGACAAGACGACCACAGTACGTCAGGCTGGGTAACTGTGTCCCAGGGACAGTGATGAGCAGCGCTAGGGCTACACAGGGGACTCTTCTGGCACCGTTTTTGTTCACCCTGTATACGGCAGGCTTTAAATACAACTCTGAGTCCTGCCACATCCAGAAATACTCGGATGACACAGCTATTGTGGCACGTATCAGAAACGGGCAGGAAGAGGAGAACAGAGATCTGACGATGGCCTTCAGTGAATGGAGCGACAAGAACTGCCTCCTTCTGAACACCTCCAAGACCAAGGAGATGGTCATAGACTTTCGGAGAACTAGGCCCAGCATTCAGCCAGTCAACATTTGAGTGAAGGACATTGAGGTGGTGCACACTTATAAATACCTAGGTGTGCACCTGGACAATAAACTGGACTGGTCCCTGAACACAGATGTCATCTACCAGAAGGGGCAGAGCCGGCTATTTTTCCTCAGGAGGCTCAGGTCCTTTGATGTCTGCAGTGAAATGCTGCACATGTTTTATCAGTCAGTGGTGGCCAGTGTACTTTTTTATGCTGTAGTCTGCTGGGGCAGCACAGCAGCATGTCCAGCATGAACACAAAGAGACTGGACAAGCTGGTCAAAAAGGCTGGGTCTGTGCTTGGCAGGAGTCTGGACTTACTCAGGACGCATGGAGGCATGCAATGTAAGATGGAGGCCATCTTAGACAATACAAACCACCCTCTCCGCAACATTCTGGCACGACAGAGAAGCAGCTACAGCTTCAGCAAACGTCTCATCTCACTGCACTGCAGAACAGAGAGGTTCAGGAGATCTTTTGTTCCCACTGCCACCAGACTATAGAAAACCTCAGCCAAAGGAAGCGGACTAATCTAATTATTATTGTTTATTTATTATCAACTGTTATTATTATTAATATTATCAACAATGAGCTAATGGACACATGAATTTCCCCTAGGGGATAAATAATCTGTCTATCTATCTATCTATCTATCTATCTATCTATCTATCTATCTATCTATCTATCTATCTATCTATCTGTCTATATTGTGTTCACATGGCCAAAACCATCTTTTGTAAGGTCCCTGTGACCTTGACTTTTGACCACCAAAATCTAATCAGTTCATCCTTGAGTCCAGGTGAAAGTTTATACAAGGCGTTACTGAGCTATCGCGTTCATTGTATGCATCCTGTATGTGGATTGCCTTTATTTAAATTGTTATTTCTTTTCATTCATTATTTATAGTGTATATGAGTGATATGACATGAACAATACTTCCATGATGTCAAGGGTATAAAAGCAATAATCTACTCTCACTCAGGCATTTGTAGAAAACAAGTCCCTCCACAGAGGCAAACCATTCTGTGTGTTGTTTTTGGGATAAAAGTATTGATGAAAAAAGATATATACTATCTGTCATATACTCTCTTCTTGGTTCTGTCTTCTCACATACAAGCTTGTGATCACAATTAGTCTCAGATGTCTGAGCTTCCTGACATAAATAAAAGAGCTATCTCTGAGGGCCTAAACCCTACAGAACACTACAGTCTGTGTGTGTGTGTGTGTGTGTGTGTGTGTGTGTGTTGGTGTGTTGCACACGTGTGCGATCTCTCACCCTGGATGATAGCCAGGAGGATTACAATGACAAAGAAGAAGAAGGTGATGTCAAAGATGATGCGATAGATCTCATACTCGTCACCTGCTGGGTCTTCAATTTGGTCACCGATCCCCCCACCTGCTCTCACACCTACATACATGTGAAACATGTAGCACTGTGGAAAGGGGCAAGAGACACACAGGAAAGGGGGGTGGGTTGGGGGTCACAAAAGCTCATGTCAAAAGGCCAAAAATGATCAATCACACAGGTAATACAAAACATTTTTTGTTTTGTCAGTCACGTAGTGAGAACATGTGTGACGTTGACTTCTGTGCATGTTTCTACAGAGGAAATTTGTAATATAACCAACAGAAACAGAGCAACAATGTACAAATTTTTTTTTTTTAAATCAAGTTCAATAGACAGAAGAGTCAGTGTGAGTGAGAAAACTGTATGAGCACTAGGACACCTGTCATCTTGGAATTGTTTTGAGTCATCAACTAGTGCATCCTCAATTAACTCTCCTCATTCTTCAAAGGACATCTATGTAAAAGGTAACATTAGAGTAGTGTAGCTCCTATAGGGAAGAGTGCAGTGTGTAATTATGCAATCGGCAGAAAAGTGACAGTGAAGCGGTGAATGGAGCGGAGCAGAGGAAAAGGTTAGCAGTAAGTTGTCAATTTGGCATTAAATGAAGAGTATGGGCTGCAGTGTGTCAGTTAAATAATAAATGGTCAGCTTCTCAAGACCATGAAAAGTTATATGTTGTTTCCCAAACTGCTGGAAAAGTGAAGGGGGTTAGTCCTAGAAAACATCTCCCCAAGAAAGGCTAATGTTAACAGTATGTTTTTTGGCTTCTATGTAAAGTTAGCTACATTCATAGGAAGTCTTGTTAATCAGCTGCTTGTCATTACTTCCTGCATGTCCAGTGCTTTTAATGTTCAATAAATGGTATGAGTAACTTTATGTGTTGTGGCATTTTTTTTTCCTACAGATAAAAGTAAAAAGCTGTAAATTAAGACACTAAAGACAACCATGAATAATCTTTTCTATAATGATTCTAATCAAATTAAATAGCCTCATTTAATTTGAGGCTATTCTGACTTGCATGAATATGGGCCAGCGTTGCATCCTCATGGACACTGGCACAACAGCACTGCTGCTGAAAAAAACTCTAGGGGAAACACTGGACATCCTTTATACTGCACACAGAGGGAAGATGCAGAGAGGAACAGAGCTACAGAAGAGAGAGGGGAGAAGACAAGGAAAGCCCAGTACAGAGAAGAATTTGAAAGTACAAGTGAACAGAAAAAGAGAGATCAGCTCAGATCCTCTCATCCTGTTGAGTGTTATTGTAAGGAAGGAAAAGAAAAAGAAAAACCTCCCTTGGGCAGAGGCCCTTCATCAGTCTATCCCTCCATCCCACTAAGCCTGTGTCACCTCTGTGTGGACCATGCAGAGCTGCCACCTCTGGCCCTTAATAGGAAACAGAAGAACTCTATGGAATGTTATGGGTGACTGACTACAGGGGATTAGAGTGCGTGTGTCCTGAAATTTCCGGGTGACAGAAGCCCCCCCCCCCAGAAAACACACCACAGAGCCCTTATATAGTATTTCTCTCAGATGGCTTGGCAGCAGGAACAGGAGAATCACAGCTGTAATTCATTCTGTCTTCACCTTTGTCCACCCTCCATCACTGACACTACATATCTGACGTATATGACACATGGTAACCTATATGTGATTCTACCTGTTAGGCTAACATGCAAACAGAGATGGAACTATATAAAAATTCTGTGTCATGATTATAGTGACCAAAATTATCACGGTTATCAGTATTATCACGGTGTTGTTAAAATTAGCTGAAAAAGTTTAAAAATTAATATAAAACTAACTGAATCATTTCACCAAGTGAATGTTGGCATTTAAACATTAAAATAATAAATTGTCAAACACATCTGTGTCACAGATGAGGACAAGGGTTTGCCCGCTGCATGCCCACTCTGTGATCAAGGGGAAAGTAAATTAATAAATTATTGTTATTATTATTAACCGTGCTGTAACATCTTTCAGAGCACAGACACTGTAGACACACCCGTCACCTGCCCAGCATGGTGCTGTCAAACCAGAAGCACTGCGGCTTCTGCGCTCGGAGGTGAAAGAGTGACCTGCAGCCCTGAAATAAGTTTTAAAAACACTCAATCATCGATTGAAGCGTCTCACACAGAGGCCCAGACACACAGACACACACACACGGAGCAAACGGCACGGCAGAGGCTATGCCAGACACGGAACCAGGTGAAAAAGATAACTGAAGATTGAGCTCACGACAGCTATCACTGAACTTTACTGTAAATGCAATAAAAAGTAAAAGGCCAATAAGAACTTTATCCAACCACGTGTTCAACTGTTCAACAAGCAAAAACAGAAAGGAGATGTTTTCATCTGTTTCCTCAGCCGCTTGTTAAGGTAATATCGAACTGTGGAAACGCTACAACGAAAGCTGTCTGTATGTAAGTCTAACTGATTATCTTAGTTTACCACAAATCTTAAATCTTGGCAGATTGGTGTAAACTGAGCAACTGGCTGAGACAAACCAGAACAATCAATTCACATCCTGTTCTGAATTTATTCTTTTTAAAAAAGATCCAGTAATAGTCTGAGCTGGATCAATAAGTGTATGGATAAGATGAAAATAAACTTAGCTGGTTAATGTCTGACTTTGTGAGGATGAGCACATCACAGTTGAAATCCCTTCACTATAAATCTTGTTTAACCAGTGATATTTTGTGATGTGTGTGATTGTGTGTTTTTTATGGCATACAGTGAGCTCAGTCACGAACATGAAGGATTACTTCATGTCTAAGTGTCTGTTAATTAGTAGATGGAGCTTTTTAATATCTTTTGTCCTTGTAGCTGATAAATACTCTCATAAAGTCATAAAGCCGTTTTCTGCTCCCTAAGAATTTACACTGAGTGTGTGTTTGAGAAAATGTGTAACCCAGAGTCTGGGCTTATTGATTCATGCCAGAGTGTCATTTAGATTTTCTGGAGGAAAATCAATCATTTAGATTAATCAACTGTTCGATAAAATAGTCGATAGATTAATAATTAGAAAAATTGTCTTTAGTGGCAGCCCTAGTGTGCATGTGACATTGCTCAGAACAGAAAGGCAAACTCGTCTGGCAGTGTAAAAGGAGTCAATTGCCTTCTTTGGCAGGCTTACTTGCTTTTAACAAAACCTGCTTATACTTAACTTTGGTGTAAAAAAGTATTAGAAAGCTGAAAAATCTCTGTCACTGCCTTTTCCATGTCATGACTGACACATAACAAACTGACTTTGCTTACCGCGCATGCATCTGGGAGACTGTTGCTGGTTGATGCCGTAAAGAACATAACATGAGTCAAATAAATCACAGTAATCAACCACGGTTATAGTGATAATTAAAATTTAAACGGTAATATTAACAATCTGGCATTTCTACCGTGCTATAGTGTGATTCCGGTAACCGTTTCATCTCTACATGCAAATGTAAAGAGTTACACCACCAGAGTTTAAAAAGCAGCATAAACCTGATATCACTCTATTATCACCTGTTCATGATGAAATTAGTGAGTTAGCAGCCATCTTTGGGTGAAACTCCAGTATTGCAAAGCTGGTCCATTTTTAACCAGGATGAATCTTAATTGCATTTTATATTGCATACTCTAGTTGCCCTGCTCCAGTATCATAAAACCAGTTTCCAGTTTTAATTTTCCAGGCCAGATGACATTATGAGGCACTAGTATATCATGAATCCAAGCAATAACCCAAAGAGAGCCTTCAACTGTATCATAATAAAAGCGTCAGGTTGGTAGCATGAAAAAATTTTTGTTGTCATGCAGACTGTTGCTATTCCTGGAAAACTAACAGATGCCTGGAAAAGAAACTGACAAAAAATGACCATGTAATCCTACAGCAGCTCAGCTGGAGCATAGACAAAGCCTGAGGGTGAACACCATCAGACTGAAGCTCTGACCCATGAATTTCTCTCCATAAATGGAGCTGGACCCTTTACTGACAGGCTGCACAGGATACTACTTTCAATGAGACAGGATTTACTGACATGATCAGGCAGAATAGCAGCGAGCCACTGGCCACAGCACTGAAGTTAAACTCTGGTCTTTATGCCTACCAACACCCAACCATGTAGATGACAAAAACTGTACATGTCTTCACTAAAATAAGCTATAAGTTTAATCTTAAACTTATCTCCTTAAAAGGTCACCAGAATTTCTTGAGAACAGGTCCACATCTCATTGCTTCATCCCCAACACCACTGCCTGTGACTAGCACCACCTCTATATCCATTCACATAACAGCTGCTGCCCAGCTCCATAAAGCTACCTGCTGTTTGCTGAGACAACCACCACTACTACACCCTTCATCCATACAGGGGTGTCATTCATTACAAGCTTATCCATAATATTAGTTCTGCTTATCTCTCTGATGCTGTCACTATACACACATGTAACTCTAACCAGTCCACAGGGGGTGGGGTAGTGGGGTGGTGGGGGTTGTTTTGCATTTTGCAGCAATAATGTTTACTGAGACACTCCTCATACTCACTGTCAGCATGTCGTCACACTTCATGTCTGGCAGTTCTCCATCTTCACTCTTGTTGTAGAACTTCCTGAAGAAGTTGAAGGCCACTACTGTGTAAAGGTAGACCACCACTGCTAACAGCCCAACTGTTAACACCAGCTGGAAGACAGGAGCAGAGACAAAGCTGCTGTGATGAACAGCAGACTCTGAATAAACCTGACCAGTACAACAGTCATCACACAGGTGAAAAATGACAACTGGCTTTTTTCTACAAAGACTTTATGTTTACAAGAGACAGATGTCAGATAGCTCAGTAATAATGTGTCAAGAGTTTTGTGTAATGGTTGAGCCTCTAGTTTTCAGAAAAAAAACTAAAGGATGAAATGTGTTTGCATAAAACTATAAAAGGTTACAAAGTTATCTCACAGAGTTTAGATATTCGTCAGTCTACAGTTAGACAAATTGTGTATATATAGAGACGATTTAGTTTTGTGGCTACTCTCTCTAGAAGTGGGCAAGATGACTCCAAAGGCACAATGCAGAATCTTCAATGAGGTAAAAAAGAATCCTACAGTAAGAGCAAAAGAAGGAATCATTGGAACTGACTAACATCTCAGTTCGTGAGTCTACGACATGCAAAACATTGGACAGGCAGGATGTCCATTGAAGGACACCATGGACGAAGCTGCTGCTCTCCAAAAAAAAACATTGCTGTGTGCTTGAAGTTTGCTAAAGAGCACCTTGACACTCCAAAACGCTACTGGGAAAATGTTTTGTGGACTGATGAAACTAAAGTTGAATTGTGAGGAAAGAACATGCAGCACTACATATGGTGTAAATGGGGCACTGTATACCAACATGAAAACATAGTGAAGTACGGTGGAGGGAGCATCATTCTTGGCTATGCTGCCTCTAGACCTGGACAGCTCAAAATCATCAAAGGGGAAAGTGAATTCCCAAGTTTATCGAGGTCTCTTACAGGTTACTGTCAGGGTGTCTGTCCACCTGCTGAAGCTCAGGAGAAGCTGGGTGATGCTACAGGACAATGACCCTAAACATCAAAGTGAGAGATGCTGTGGAATGACCTCAAGGGAGCTGTATACACAGGCGTCCTAAGAATATATGAGTTGAAGCAGTTCTGTAGGAAGAATGGTCAAAAATCCCCCATAAACATTGTGCAGGTCTGATCAGCAGCTACTGGAAGTGCTTTGTTGAGGTTACTGCTGCCAAAGGAGGTACAACCAGTTATGTGCAAGGCTTCACTTTTTTTTTCAGCACTGTGAATGTCTAATGGGTGTGATTAATAAAGACATAAAAAGTTATAATTGTTTGTGTGGTATCAGCTTAAGCATACTGTGTTTGACAATACTCTTGACCTAGATGAAAAACAGATCACATTTTATGACCAATTCATGAAGAAAACCAAGTAATTCCAAAGGGTTAACATACATCGCCACCGTATATACAAATGTAAGCCTTTTGAAGTTATGTTATGTATTATTTCATCACTTTACAATAAAATCAACAAAAGCAAGTGCAAGAGAAATTAATCATTTATCAAGTCACTGCAGATTTTTACCTGTTTGCCATTGTGTGTCACTGAGGACAGGATGGTGCGCAGTGTCTTGAACCCCATGGCGATGTCGAGCAGATGGGCAGCAAAGAAGAAGTTGTTATAGTGACCCAGGATGGACATGGTCATATACCAGGCCAGATACAGGAAGGACTGCAGGGAGTGAGGGGGCAGGTTAGTCATGGTACTGTAGTGTCTATTGCAGTGAGTATGTGAGCACTGAAACAGGTTTTGCTTGCTTCATACTGGACATTAATAGATCATGTGGTTGTTCAGTGCAAAAATACATTCCAACTGTGTCTGAAGTTAATTTTTTAAAGTATATTTTTTGGGCTTTTTATGCTTTTATGATAGCACAGTAGAGATAGACAGGAAATGGGGAGGCAGAGAGACATGCACTAAAGGGCCGTCCGATGCAGGATTCGAACCGGGGCCAACTGTAGCGAGGACTGTAGCCTCTACAAATGGGGCGCCTGCTCAACCCACTGCACCACTCGACGCCCCTGTGTCTGAAGTTAATTTGAGGCGACAGCATTCTGTGTTAGATAAATCCAGTGAATACCCAAGTTGCAAAATTTTTAGTACAAAATACTGTCTTTGTGTTACTTTCCCTCCACCACACCTGAACAAGGAAACCAGGATGTTAGGAAGTGATCTCTTATTGGCCAGTGTGAGCAGGAGGAATGATTACACATGCATAAACTGGGCATGTGATTAGTGTTTAAAGACTTTAAATGATTCCATAATTACACGTTAACTGCAACATGTGTGAAATGTTAATAAGGAATACAAGTAATGTTACGTGAGTCATACCGACACATATATCAATTTAGATGTATGATGTAACTGATAACAGGTGAAGCCTCGCTTCTCGTCTGTACCATGTGACTGCTTTTTGTGGCGGGTCGAATTGTGGCGTGACCATGACATCAGACCTCCGAGAGAAATGATATTTCATAGTTTATGGTTTCTAACACTTGATAGACATTGATTGTTTGTATTTGCGACGGATCCACAAAGGAAAACAAAGACTTCTCCAGTTTGACAAGTGTGACATTATTATAGAGGCTTTATGTTTATTTAAATATATTTTTTAAGCATGTTGATTGCTTTTACAGTAGCCTAATTAATATAAAAGTTCTGCTTCGAATAAAGATACAATTATGATTTCTCTTACACTGATATGTTGCAGTATACAAACATTCGTATTTGCCTGTTTGACATTCTGACTAGTAGATGTCGCTCTGTTAAAATGAAGAATCAAGAAATGAACCTTTTCTCAAACCACTTTCCTGAACTGGTTCAGTGCTTCATGAAGCATCTTACCATCACTACAGAATACATATGATATTGTCTCAGTATAAAATAACTGATGATTTAACAATTAAACAAACAACTAAAACTGCTTCATGGGAAAACTGAATGTTAAGAGTTTGATGGAAACCTCTAAAAATCTTATATTGATAGTAATTCAATTTCTGGAAAGTCTGCTATTTGTGCACAGGAACTTCAACAGTGAATCCATGTGATGGAGCCAGACATGGCAGGTGAAGGATTTGTGTTTCTAAGCACTTACATTGTCTGTGAATACCACCCCCAGCTTCCAGATCTGGTACTTGACATCTATGGAGTTCAACCTGTTAACAGAAGAGAAAGAGGTCTACAGAAGCTGATCATGTGTTCTCCCCTTTTCTCAAAGAACTTTTTTGCCCTGAGTTAAGCCTCCAAAGTAGAGCATTTCTGCCTTTTAGCCAGTTTTAAAATACAGATGTGAATTCACTTTGACTAGAGTTTGTCCTCTTCAGTATGAGATTAACTCTGCCAACCACAGAACACTGTAGCCAGTAGTTAATGTTACTGCACCTGCTGTATTTGGTGTGAAATGATGAGTGCTCCTTGCTTTGTTCATCGAACAAATTTGTAAATTTGTGGGTCCTCACAGGACCACTACTTCAAGTAAACAGATTTATTAATGCCAGTACAAATTACAGGAAATACAGACTCGTGTATAGAAATATGTAAAAGCAATAAAAGATCTGTCTCTCTCTTTCTCTCTCCCTCGCACGGTCGCACGCACACACGCACGCACGCACGCACGCACGCACGCACGCACACACACACACACAAATACTCACACAGCAGCCAGTGAGCTGTCTCTCCTGGGCTTTCTCTTTTTGTGAGCATCACTGAAGTCCAGTGCAGCCTTGTCCATTCCCAGCAGCTCACTGATGCGGTCATGGCCATAAAACTCCCCATATTTATCCATCACCTGATGAATAGCAGAATTTATTCATGAAGCATTTTAAGTGGAACAACATTTCTCTAAAACTTCAGCTATGCAGGGACAGATGACAAGGTGACACTTTGACACAAGAAGACATCACTGTTCTCAGTATCTGTCTACATTTACTTTGTCTCAGTTTTTCACTGAGGTAAGCCTCAGGCAAACCCTCCCAAAACTGGAGGAGAAATGTGGTTTTGTTGACTAAATCGAAAAGTTTAAATGATTTATAGATCAAACTGTAAGTATCCTACACTGTGAGATGCATCAGAGCTGCCCTGATAAATTTAAACCTTTGTGATTTTTGTAAGAAAAGGAGGAGAGTACAGTCTGAGCTAATAATCTAACACATGACTCACATTCACAATCACTGTACAGCTGATCAGGAGCTCACTGAAATGTGGCATAAATAGCTACATTAAATAATTTCAGAGACATACAGTAGTGAGAGAGAGAGTTAGAGTAAATCTGTGATAGGGAGAGTTAGAGTAAATCTGGGAGAGGGAGAGTTAAACGTGGTGCACAACTCCCTCTGTTAAGAGTCTGTACATCACACACATCACTACATGATGTACAATTATTTTGCAATTGTATATTACTGATTAGAGATGAAAATTAGTCAATCTCTGCAACCCACTGTCTAAATTGGTCAGGATCTTGTGAGTCACGTAGTCTAAATAAAAACTATATACATCATAAAAAAATATATAAAATAAATATATTTTATATATTTTTAAAAATCCAAAAACCTAAAATCATTGTAACTGAAGTCATGTGATTTCTAATGGATGATGTGATCGGTAAGTGACAATATCAGGTCTACACAAAGGGTGACACCTACCTTCCTCTTCACAAACTTATCCCAGTAGTTGTTTGGGAAAGATCTGAAAATTAGAGGACAAAAGCCTCATAAGTTGTATCATCTTTAAAGGTTTATTACAAACATTTAACTGTAAAGAACTGTAAAGAGACCTGACTAATATTCTCTCCCAGTCTGAAATGCTTTTTCCCGCCACATTGCAGTCTTTGTCCACAATCTCTATTGGTGTGGAGGGCAGGAAGAGATACATGCTACCTCCATGATTATTGGACAGCCATTTCACAACTACCAGTGACACACTTCAGTTTTACAGGAAGGTCATAACGTGGGATTTTCACGTTCCACCATACAGGTGCCCTGCCCAACCCGTAGGGGTCGCTAGTGTAACAGGATTGACAAGACTGTGAACCCTCACCATCAACACAGAGGAATAACTACCAGTGGCTGAACTTTGGGTAGCACCTCTGCTGAACAGTTTTTCCCAAACTGCATCGTCTCTTCTTTCCACTGATTCTTCACACATCTCTCAGTCATTGGCACTTGTCTTTTTAATGGATATATAACACAACCTACAAGCTCATGTGTACACATTCTCATACAGACACACAGTGTCACTCACTGTGTGTTGATAACCAGTCTGTCCCACTGTCCCTTGATGTCATCTTCAGACGGTTGTTCTGTGATATAAAGGCCATCAAATTCCAGCTTCCTGGCCACCTCCTTCTCACGCTTAAAGATAACCAGTGGCACCTATATCGCACACGCACATGCAAACAAACAATATAGGAGTGCTATATCCTTGAATTGAAAATACTCAAAAATATCTAAGAAAAATTACAGATTACACACAAAATGAGGATTTAATGATGGCTTAATGCTTTAGCTTTTGATTTATCTGATGATTTGAAGAGTAAATACCAGATACAGATTATTAAATTATTTCTGCTACATATCAGTAGTCAGTATCCTGCCTTGAGACAGTAGTATCCAATGATACAGAAGAAGGAGATAACAGTGTGCAGGATGGCCAGGATCCGTAACATGGGCTCCATGTATCCACTGCTCTCTTCCAGCACAAAACGGACTGTGACAGGTTTCAGGAGCTCCCCAGTCTCATCCATCACCTCCTCCTTTGTCTCCATTGCTTCTCCACTCAATCCATCCCAATGAACACTGCTGTCTGGTTGGCTGCTGGTGTATATAACTTCCCTTTCTTCAACCACAGATGAGGATGTGGACACCTGGTAGGGACAGTTTATTAGTCTTTAAGCTAATATGCTGTGACCCTGATGATCTAACCGATAACAATTTCATAGGCAGGACATGATAAAAGCAACGCATGTGCAATCCTATAGTTTAGCCTCATGATAAAATATACAGCTTCTGTGAAGCCTGAAAGGTTGGGGGGGGGGGGGGGGGGGGGGGGGGTTCATTCATTTTAACAAGACCCTCGCCCAATCCTTGTCATATACAGGGAGTGGACACACCTTTAAGAAAGGACTTTGTCCAGGAGGAGCTGATTGTTACTGTATTCTGTATGTACTGTTTATTGCAATTCATCATTATTTTTAAGCTGCACTTATTTATTATTATTATTAAATTATTATTGTTATTACTTAACATGTTTGGTTGGCACTGGAAAAAAGCTGTAAACAAACCACTGTCATATTCTCACGTTATAAAATTTGCATATTCAACATATCACATTTCTGGTCACCCAGAGAAAGGAACAATATTCTCTCTCCTTTTAGCTCCAGTTTGGTCTTTACCAACTCTTGGGGAAATCTCTGGTTCCTTAGCTTCTAAATGCTACACTTTGTTCACCAGCTATTCACCAGCTGTACCACAAGACTGTGGTATCGATAAGCTCTGATGTTATCGGTTCTGTTCTTGGTACTGGAAATTTAGAAAATAGATTTCCTATTTAGCCATCTGATTGTTATGCTCGTCCATGTCCATTTCAGATTAAATTCAATCTGAACAGATAACTGTTGGGGGTGGGTGGGGGTGGGTGGGTAATGTGGGGGCTGTTGGTAAACTAGCGACTGCACAGTAAAAATAGTGTCAAAAAGTCCTGTCGTAAGTCATTGTGTATTACATTTGTTTTACATTTCCATCATTACAAAATCAGTCTATAATAGTGATCTGTTAAAAAAAAAAAAATGCTGTTGAAGTTTACAACTCAACAATGTTAACTGAGTTCATGTGATAAAATAAAGCAATGTTACTTCTGTTTTTAATTGTTTTTTTCTCTTACAAAAATAACAAAAAGTATCGATAATAGTATCGTAGTATTGTTAAAATCTTAACGATACCCCTCCCTCGTTAGAGACTATGGTCTGACCGGGTCTGTCTGCTGTTTGCTGCTGAGCAGGTAGTGGACAGTTGGTTTACATTACCAGAGCTTTGTCATTGAAAGCATTGCTCAATGCAGCTTTAAAAATTTGAACCCCAAAAGACTTAATCTTTTCTGAAAGTACTATGAATAAATGTATCCATTTCTTACCCGAAGCAACATCCCTGGTATACTGTACCATTACCTTGTAGAATAAGAGGATGAAGTTGATTGCAAAGGCAACAAACAGTGCCAACATCCTCATGTTGTAGAAGTTCCTGGCAAAGTAGTTCTGCAAGGGAGACAGAACAGGGACCTACTCATGTGTTTCTGGTTGTTATAGACACATAAACCTTACACATCATCACATACACATCATCCCAGTTCTTTCAGTTATGTCACTGCATTAATAGAGTTCTCCTCTTCACTTTTACGGTCCACACTGTCACCAGCATTTGTTTAAACTCATTGAATTCAGGAAAACTGGAAAATTCTGGGCTGACAGAGAGAATGCACAAGCAGGACTGAAAGAACAAGTAAATAGGACCGACAAGAGTCCTGTACCAGTAGCTTCCTCTGGTAGGCTATGATCTTCTTCAAGAACGCAGACTCCTGCAGATCTGGCTCATCAGACTTTGAGGTGTGATGCCTTCTAACTTTTTGCTTCATCTTCTCATTCTTCTGTTGCTTCTCTAGTTGCTCTATATGTCCAGCCCTGAAATCACAATACAATATATATACACACTTGGGCACAGCTAACAATACACAGGGGTAAGGAAATGGACTGGCAATTAATTAGAACACCAAGCTGCTGTCTATTGCTCTGAAACCTTGACATGAATTCACACACCAAGTCTATAACACAGCCTATAAACTAAAGCTCCATTATAAATGTATGTATTTTGTCGATACATTTTAAAGTCAACATATTTTGATGCTGATTATAATTTTTCTGCATGAATAAATCAAAACAATAAAACAGAATAAATGATGGTAGGACTTAAACATATTACTTACTGGCTTATTAGCTTTTGTTTGCTCAGTTATCATAGAAGTCATAACAACATCATCATGTGACCTTTATCTATTGAGGAAAACCATGAGATGCGGCCGATGTGAAACTACTGCTTCCAAGTCAAGAAATAATTTCCATGCTATATGTTGGTTTTTGTTGAGAGAAAGATCCATATTCTTTGTTTTCTGACATGACCTGTTTCTATCATCTGCTCTGCCTCACCACATGCACTTTTAGACATTATTGTCAGGTGAGTAAGATTCAGAAAACAGTGACATCACACAGACTGACAGGATGTGCTTTTGGTTGCTCCTGTGTGGTGGGGTCTATCTCTGACTCTCTTCAGAGTTGGTGCTGATCATGACAGTTTTTCCCCCTCATATTTAATACTTCTGTCCATTTGTGTAATAGTGGTGATGGCACAGCCTGATACTCACTGCAGGGTCTAATGATAGGTCAAACATCATTTTACAACACTGGGCTTCTTCATTTTACATGTACTTTAATGTCTCCTCTGTCCATACGCACTGTGTTGTAGTTAGAATGCTTGTTCAGGTTACACAACAAAAATATGCACTTACCCTAATGTTTTCTCAGGTTCAGATGCAGTCTCTGGTGTTGCTTCCTTCGCCTCTGAGGAAGAGCTCTTCGACAGAAACAGAAAACATGATGACAAAAACCAGTCATTTTGTGGGTGAGTTTTTTTAGCCTGTTTTCTCAGTCAGCTTTTTCTTGTGATTGATAGGATCCTAAATGAACACACTATTTTCTGTCAGTCAGAAGAGTTTTGATATTTTTGACATGGGAGATTTCTGTATTTCCTCTCACTGGTTTGAAGTGGACCCGAATCAGATGGAAGAACATGATGTCACATGCTTCCTTGCACCTATTGGGATTGAGGTACATTTAAAGCAGAATCCGAAGATTCAGTTACAGTCAGTCAAACCTGATCAAACCACACCCACAAAGAAGCATATTAGATTTGTGAGATTAGGTTTTGACAGTTCAGAGTTTTCGTTCAACCACTTTGGTTCAGCTTGAAATGACTCAACAACTGTTTAATGAACTGTAGTAAGTTGATTGTTTGATACTGTGGTTTGTGACTTATACCTGCACAGCTAATTACATTTCCATCAGCCTCAGCTGCACGCTGTGCTTACTGGCAATTAGCAACTGTTAGCAATCTTGTTAGTATTGTCATTGTAAGTGTGGTAGCATGCTGTCATTAACAATTAGCTCAAAGCACAGCTGTGCCTATGAACAGCTTCACAGAGCTGTTTTCCTTCTATGCACAGGTTGTATTAATGTACTATTAACCACAACAGTGATTATTTTGATGGTGTTGATAGACAAGTTCTACATGACATGAAGTTAATATAGGGATCACTGCTGATTGATCCTTAGATTTGTCCTTTATTAAAAACTGTGAGGAAAGAAAGGAATAAGGCAAAGAAAGTTCTAATAAACATTAACTTAGATGTTTAAACTACTACACTTTTCCTTTTACCTGGTGCCTCTGCCTGAGCTCAGGTGGAGGTGCTGTGGGTGGGGTTGGTGGGTTTGGGGAGGGAACCGGAGAGTTGAGCAGTTCGGTCAGGCTGGCATTGGGGTTATGGGGGGTGATCTTGTACTGGCCCCCCTCCCTTCTTAGGTCCAGACCAAAAATGTCTGACAGCAGCTCAGTCTCGCTGGTGTTGACTGCCAGATCAGCCAGGTCCTCCTTTGGGGAGCTGCGATCAGAAAGTCTCTTCTCTCTGTCCTCCCCTTCACCCCGCACCTCATCCTGGGTAGGGTCAGGCATGTTGGCCAGCAGCTCTGAAACCTGGGGATGAAGGCAGTTTAGGTGTGTAGGAACTTCTCTTAGTGTGTTTACTTTGTTTAATGACCTGTGGATGAACTGCTCTATTCTTACAGAATTATGTACACTAACCTTTATGGTCTTGGCCCCCTCCACCAGACTGCCTCCCATGAAGGTGTTGTAGAAGATACGGCAAAATCCTCGAGTCACACTGAACGCCACATGGAGAAAGCCCAGCAACAGTGACCAGTATAAGGACACCAGGGTGGTCACCATGTCCTTCACTGTCATGTTCTTTATCCTCTTCATCTGCTTCTTCAAGCTCTTCATGGACAGCACCTGAAACCATCATCAAACATCAAAAGTTATGTTTCCTTTGACAGGCTGAAATCTGTCATCACACTGCTGAACCCTGGTACAACCAACCACAGAGAGGAACAGCTTACACCTCAGGGTTGTTAGCTGACTAATTATCTGCTCTAAGGTGGTAAATGTTCTGAAAATATATAGAATTTCTTCTCAAAATGAGTTATTACTGTACACCTAACTACAGTGCCTATAGAAAAGCACAAACACACTAACACCAATCCTACTGACTGGCCAAACTGAGGGTAAAAGGCTGTTACCTTCACTGGGAGATTCTGGAAAGTAGTGTGTTTAGTGTGTTGCTGCTTTGTCTGTTGGTTACACTACAAATCAACGTTATATTTCATAAATTGTAATGATAAAACAAAACACAACATGTGAACAAATCCCACCAGTGTGTCATGATCACATTAGTAGAACCTTTCTCTCAATCAGAAGCCTGGTCCCCTGTCTATAATGTATTTCTGACAAAATATTACATCCTGTTAGAAGTCAATATATTCTAGAGGAATAGTACCAAATTCTGGAACATTTACTTTTTTCTGAGAGTGAGATGAGAAGATAGATATCAGCTTCATGTGCATTCAATAGAGGGAAGGTGTCAGGACATGGTAAGCCTAGCTTATCATAAAGTTCAAAAATAGCATAAATATCGCAAAGTTCAAAAATACGCCTAGCAACACCTCTATTGTTAAGTTAACACATTTATCTTGTCTGTTCACAAACTTAACTGTAAAAATGTTTATTCTTGGTTTTGGGGGAAATTATGTGCTGGAATACTTTCTTGTTGAGTGATTCTCCATCCACCCAGATTCTGACCAGATACTGAAAACACAGACATGAGACTCATACCAATCTTCTTATCTCAATGTGTTGGTTGCAGTGTGCTCTCAGTGTGCACCTTTATTAGCAGCATGACATTGTATCGCAGAGCCAACAGCGCCATGCAGACTGTGGTAACAGAGAAGAAGCCCATCTCAGGATTGTCCTCATCTGGTTTCTCCCGCTCACTCTCCTCCTTCACTGCTGAACGCTCACCAGCGTCAGACATCTGAGCCGCCAGCTGCATTTCAAAAATGGTGTCCTCACAGAAATTCACAAACAGCTCCATCTTCTCCTTCTCCCCTCCCTCGTTCACCACATCAAAGATGAACTGACGCTTGGATTCTTTGACCTGGGTTGAAGGTAAATAAGTGAAAACAGGGAGCTTGAAGGATTTGTTGCAAATATTGACCACTGCAACTAACAAGTTATGTCTCTGAGGTGACAAATCTCAATAACAGATACTCATTGATTCATGTACTGGACCATCGTTACCTGAGGTTTCTCCCACTGTGTTCGACTGGACTCACTGATCTCAAAGTAAACCCTCTCAATGCGCTTGGCACTGCCCATGATCTCGATCCTGCCCAGGTAGGGTTGGAAGTAGTTGAGAACACTCTCTGCCAGCTCCAGGAAGGTCTGCAGCCGGGTGTCATGAGGCATGTGCTCCGACAGGTTGGTCAGCAAAACCGCCACATTGAAGCCAATATCCTTTTGAATATAAAATTTTTAGCTGCTTTTAGTTGCTCACTACATAACCTCCACTTGACGTCCAAAATCTTGTGATAATTGAAGGATGGCCCATGCTGGCCTTCCCATGCAGTTTGAATATGGCACATTAGTAGTCCAACAAATGGAGAGGCAGAAGAAATCCCTCATGAGATGGTGAAACAATTCTCTGAACATACATTTTAATCATGGACTTTAATCATTCTGAAGGACATACATTTTGACAATTTAAGGTTCTGCAGACTTTTTAAAGATCTGTAAACATCAGGCCATTTACCTTGGCTGGCTCATGAAAGCGCTCCACAAATTCTTCATAGTCCAAGAGTTCATTCTCATCAGTCTCAGCACAGGACAGCAGGAACTCCGTCTCAGACTGGGTGTAGTGTTTGTGGCTCTCCATGGCCTTATGGAAGTCCCTCTTGGAGATGACACCTGTCAATGAATTTGTACATTGTCACCGCTTGTCAAGATTTGTCTCTGGGCTCTATTGTTCCCTCTTCTGGACCTGCCATTCCCTCCTGCCCTGTTTCCCTCCAGTTGCATTATGAACATATATTGAATATACAATGCTCAAAAAAATTGAGGGACCACTTACAGTAAATCATCCATCAGATCAGTTGAAAATCTTAACCGATGTACATTGTATAATTTGTTGAGAACAAAATGACTGAACAACGGTCAATGGAAACCAAAATCATCAACCCATTGAGGGACTGGATTCACAATCACACTGAAAATCAAAGTAAAAAATTGAAATCACAGGCTGATCCAACTTGTGTGAATTTCATCACGCCAACTCATAATGTGACTCAGTAGTGTGTATAGGCCCCAAAGAGCCTGTATGCACTGCTGGCCCTGCTGCTGGGTTGATGCCCTTCTACAGCCCTGTCCAGCTCTTCTCGTGTAATGGCCGGTCTCCTGGTACCTCCTCAATGCTCTTGAGACTGTGCTGGGATGGGGCGTCGAGTAGCTCAGTTGGATGAGCATCCGCCCCATGTGTAGAGGCTACAGTCCTCGCTGCAGTTGGCCCTGGTTCGAGACCCACATCGGACAGCCCTTAGCTGCATGTCATCCCCCCTCTCTCTGCCTCCCCATTTCCTGTCTCTCTCTACTGCACTATCAATAAAACATAAACATAAATTAAAAAAAGAAAAAAAAGAAAAAGAGACTGTGCTGGGAGACACAGTAAACCTTCTTGCGGCCGCACGTATGGATGTGCCATCCTGGAGGAGCTGGACTACCTGCGCAACCTGATTGGGCTACAGGTACCGCCTCATGCAACCCGTAGTGACAAGGACATTAGCAAATCACAAAACTAGAGAAGAATTAGTCAGGAAGGATCAGGAGAGAGCAATTGTCTGTGGCCACCACATGCAAACCATTCCCTTTTTAGGGGTTGTCTTGCTTTTGCCTCTCTATTGCACCTGTTGTCACTTTCATTTGCACCAAAGCAGGTGAAATTGATCCATAATCACTTGTGCTTCCTAAATGGACAGATTTATATTCCTGAAGTATAACTGACTTGGTGTTATACTGTGATGATTAAGTGTTCCCTTCATTTTTTGAGCAGTGTATTTAATATGTATAATAATATATACATAAAATGAAAACATAGCCAATATGTAACTAGAATTAGCATAGCAGTTGTATGCCTCCGCCACTAATCTGGTTACATCCCTGTTACCCAGATTCATATAAAATGCCATTAACCATTTACATGAAATTTTGTCATAATGACTGTGTGAAGTCTAACGGCTTGACCATGACATTGACCTTTGACCACCAAAATTGAATCAATTCAGCCTTGATTCCAAGTGGATATTTGTGGCAAATTTGAAGGTATTCCCTTGACAAGTTCTCAAGATATTGCATTCACAAGTCCAAAATAATGCAGTGTTTCCTCTACATTCATTAAATCATAGCCGCCACGCCTTCAAATTTCTTTCTTTTTTTTTTTTTTTATTATCGCAAATGCACCACCGCCACATCTCTTCCACCTTCACAAGCACAGCCTGTGTTGATGATGAGCGCAACAGCGGGGGGAGGAGGAGAGGGGGGGGAGTGGGGTGGTGGGGGATCCTATTGGAGTTAATTACTCACGAGAGCGCGGCCTTGAAAGTGACATCACGTCAGGCACCAGGTCAGAGTCAGAGAAGTGTAGTCGTGAAGAATAAGGCAGCGAATTACCGAGAAAAAGGTAGACTTATTAGCCAACTCAGTGACGCTAACTTGGGTAAACTAATTGATAGCATTAAGCTAATATCTACACGTCATTATGTATTAACTGCTGACTGCATTTTCAGATGAGCTTGTTCAGATACTTCTCTAAGAAGAGAAAGACAACAGATGAAGAAGACGCTAGTCAGGTAGCCTATCATAAGCCTTTTACTGACTCGTAAATGATGATGGTTAGGTAAAAAATAGTATTTTAATGTTCACACTTGTAATCAGATGTGATGTGAGTGTAAACTATATAACGCTGAAAATTAAGTGCTCTGAGCCTGGGTGCAAACTTTGCCACTGACTCTACAGCCCCATCTAGCTGATCTTTATATGTTTATTTATTATTTTTATTTATTCAATGTTATTGTTTTATTTATTTTTTACTTTTTACATTTTCAACTGGTTAGAGTTGAAGTAACATTTATTTTTCACAAACCAAAGGTATTTATTTTTCTTGACATTGTATATGGCAGAGATATATATTGTAAAAGTTCAATGGTAGCGATAAAAGCCATTTTCAACTGGCCAGCCAATAAATAGGTTTTGAAAGTAAAATCTGCTGTCAACTGCCCCAAAGCCTGTCATTATATGTGGATACTCGTCTATGTACAGTAGGTTCCAAAAGACTACTTTCTCAGAACTGGAAGATAGACAAGAAAATTAATAAGAATGGATTGTCAGGTCTTGTCCTGCTGCACTACACCCAGCGCACACTCAGTGAATGGGGTACTGACTGCCACATTCATGCTGGTTGCCCAAGGCAGTTAGGTTTGTAGCAGGCAAAGAGCTGGTCTGTTGTCCTGAGGGAACGTCTGACGAATATACACTCTCAATGCCCTGACAGGGCACAACGGTGATGTCTTACTCACCCCCACAACACAGTCTTGAGGAGGGCGGAGAGGGTGTAGCTCAATAGAAAGACTGGCATGGGACTTGGACCAGATCTTAGGGTGGAATGCGGGGTGGGGGCGCAGGACCACCCCAGCATAGCCCGACAAGAAGTGGCAGCATTCCACATGTATCGAAATTGCATGAAGTTCTCCCATTCTCTTTGCTGATGTAACCACCAACAACATTGCTGACTTAAGAGCAAGCCATTTTCAGCCCAAAGCCCAAAGCCTTAGCCCCTGGGGAAAGGGAGCTCCCAGGACAGTCCTCGAAGGAGGGGTGCTATTGCTGAAAACCAGATCATATGGGGCCAATTGGCGGCCACCAGGATGAGGCTCACCTCCTCTACTTGGACTCTCTGTATGAGCGGCTGCAGGAGGATAAAGGGAGGGAAGGCATACAGGAGGCCCTGCGGCCATTGATGTGCCATTGAATCTGTGCCCAAGGGAGGATTGTCTCTCCCTATGGAGAAGAAGAGGGGACAGTGAGCCGTCTCCCTGGAGGTAAAGAGATCGGCTATGGCAGTACCAAAGTGGTCCCAGATCTGGTGTACAACCTCTGGATTCAGCCTCCATTCTCTGGGGGGAAGGGCCCGTCACTGGAGAGCTGATCGGCCATGTGGTTTGTCCAACCTGGCACATGCATCACTCTCAGGGACTTGAACTGTGGGTATGCCCATTCCCATATCATCCGAGCCAATTTGCAAAGGCGAGGGGAGCCCAGATCCCCCTGCCTGTATACATAGGCTGCTGCCACTGAACTGTCAGTCCTCACCAGCACGAGGCGATCCCTCAGCTCTGGCTGGAAGTGCAGAAGAGCTAGGTAGATAGCCTGTAGCTCCAGAATATTGATGTGTTGTGCCAACCAGGACCCGTGCCACCGGCCACTGATGCCTCTGCCCTTGTGGACGATTCCCCAGCCTACTTGAGAGGCATCGGATGACACCATCGACGCAACACTGGCCCCAGTGCATTGCCCCGTGCCAGGTTGACTGGCTGCTCCCACCTCCGGAGAGCTACACGGAGTCTGTGTGTCACCAACACTGTGGCTTGCAGATCCCTCTGTGGGCAAAGTCCAAGGCATAGAAGGCAGCGCTGCACTGGGTGCATGTTCAGGAGATCTAGGGGCCCAGTGCGGACCATAGCTGCCATCAACTCCAGGAGGCGGAGGCATAACCTCCAAGTTACCCTCGCCCCCAAATGGAACTGGGACAAGCAAACCCTGAGGCCGGCCTGCTTCCAGGATTTAGAGAAAGAGTTTCTGCTTTGGCATCCAAACACATGTCCAGGAATTCCGTAGTCTGTGAGGGCTGGAGCCTGCTCTTCCTCCTGTTGAGGCTCAAGCCCAGGTGCTCTAAGTGCTGCAGGAGCTGGGCCACTTGTTCTGACACTGCTCCTCTGAGTGAGCACACACCATCCAGTCATCCAGGATGTGAAGACCTTCTCAACGCAAGGTTCCCAGGACTGCATCCATGCACCTTGTGAATGTGCGAGGGGCTAGTGATGTCCCGAATGGGAGGACACAAAACTCGAAGTTTCTGCCATTGAAGGTGAACCTGAGGTAACATCTGTGTCCCTCCCATATTGGGGATCTGAAAATATGTATCCTCTAGGTTAATCGTGGCAAACCAGTTGCCTTGGAGGATAGCCTGTCGAATCCTCAGCACAGTCAACAACTTGCATCGTAGGGGTCTCAAAATCTTGTTGAGCCCTCTCAAATCCAATATTGGTCTCAATCTCTCATCTTTTTTTGCGAATGAGAAAATAGCGGGAATAGAACCCAGCCTGTGCTATCCTGTGTTACCTCTCTGATGGCCTTCTTCACCAAGAGAGTGTCGATCTCTGCAGCCAGAACCCTCCTGTACTGAGGGTCTGCCACTACTGAAAAGTTGGCTGACCTTATCAGTGGGGATGGACGCAGAAACTGCAAGCGTTAACCTTGAGTCATGGTGGAAACTACCTAGGGGTCCAACCCAAGTGTCTCCCAGGACAGGAGCTGTGCTGAGAGGCAGCAAGGGGAGGCCAGGTTGCGAGAGCTGTCAGGACTGAGGGGGGAGGGGGGGACCCGTAGGTCACCTGAAGCCACACAGTCCAGCTGTCCAGCTGGGGTGGCCCAGGCCATGGAGCTATGGGGACCCGCTGTTCACGGCATTGTCGGAGCATTCCTGACATCTCCCTAGCACAGGGGGGGCATCTTGGGTCTGCTGGAGCATTTTATTTGCATCTGGCCCAAACACGGCAGATTAAGCAAACAGGCGCGGTCATCTCCCTGCAGCCGTGACTGAGACAGCCAGAAATGACGCCTCACCATCCAGAGGGAGGCCATGGCCCTGCCAGTTGCCACCGCCTTAGCCAGGAACGAGGACACCTACTGTACCTCAGCAACCAGATAAGAACTTAAGAGATGAGAGTGGTGGTCCACAGCCAATCCTCTCCCGACCATGCATACATGCTAGGTGTCTACATAGACCTGACCAACGATGGGTGTCAAAAGGTTTATCAAACTGCTTCAGTACCAGTTCCTCTAAATCAGGAAGAAGTGGTACAGAGAAAGAGTGTGACTGACTCACCTCATCATCAAAATTGGAGGCAATACAGGGGAGGTGGATGCTCCTGCGCCTCTACCTGCCTTCTCTCCACACACACCTGACCAGGGGGGAGGTCTTCAACCTCTGACTCAAACCCCATGATGTCAATCTCCCCTTCATCTGATGCGTCAGATGTGGAACGCACTAAATCAAGCTCCACCTGGGCAGAGGAGGGCTGCTGTGCAGTAAACGGTGCTGACACAGGGGAGGGCATTCCATACCACCACTATTGGCTGCTTTGCCTGCTGCAGCTGCTCAATGAAAGTGGCTGCACACTTTGATAGTAAGCTAGAGCCCTAGCCTCCCTCACTCTAGCTGGCAGAAAACAGTTCATGCAGGATGCTGGGTCCTGTCTGGCCATACAGGCATGGTCCAGCCCTAAGCAATGGACAAATTGATCGTGACCATCCTCCATTGGCATTTTTATCCCACAACACAGACAGGTGTGGGCTACCAGGTTTGCTTCCATAGGTTTGAATGTATGTGAATGCTTATGTAACTGGAATTCGCTGGAAAATGCCACCAGTAGCACTATTCACCCCTGATACATCCCATACTGTGACACGAAGCCAAAGTGGAACATGGAGGCGTGCCCATGACCCGGCTATTCCCTTTTTTACTTCCTGAAAACATGCGGCTAAAATATGTTCACTCACGTCGTTCAAGGTCAGATTCCATGAGGAACAATGGCTGTGAGTGTTAGACAGCGCCACCGGCAACGCACACGGGCCACACTTCAGCCACGGTGTAAAGATGATCTGTTGAAAAGCTCACCCGCCTGTTCCTCCGACTAGGTCGGATTTCACGTGGGACAATGGCTAGCAAGCAGCAGGCCGGAAAAACCCGGTGCCACAAGCTACCACTTTTTCACCAGTCTGTGTTCGTCAAACATTGCAGCAGTCCAGAGAGGGGCCTGTAGACCAGCTCTCCTACTCACAAGGTACGTGGACCACGCTGATGTCAAACACAAATGCTACATTTCTCTCTTCAACTCAAATGTCAAGCTTCTATACACACATCTGCTCGACTCCATGGAAATCAAGGAATCAGAGAGGCCACACATGTGGTGCTTATATAACCACGTGTTGCTAATCAGTGCGTGGCCACCACAGGTGATGTTTCTTAAAGAGTATCCACATCAACTGCCCCCTTGCGGATCAGTCCCAGTACATATGGAATATGTAGGGTGGAGAGATAAGTTTTGACACAATAGAGAACTTCTTTTACAGTAACAAACTGAACTAAACTGTTTCACAGCTCTCTGCTGGAAATGAAAACTATAGTGCTGGTGACCATATGTAAAAAATGAGCTGGCAGAAGGAGGAGATCAAATAAACTGTATCCTCTTTGGCAGAGAGAACCATAAAAGAGAATCGGAAGTTCGTAGAACATGTCAAAACGTAGAACACAACATTTGTATCAGTGTATCCTTCAACCAATCAGTCAAAAGTGCTGTCGTCACAGAGGTGGTTCAGCACGGTCCAGCATGCATCACGTCAAGTCGGTGCTGTGCAGTGCCACATAAAGTCGAACACACCTATTGTCATCTCATCTTTGTCTTTGCTGCGCTCATGTGTTCCTGCGAGTTTCTGGACTTTGGTGTTCTGTTCCTGCCTATTTCGCTCCAGTTGATGTGCTCACCTGTTTTCCTGTTTACCTGCCTGCATGCACCACTTGCAAGTTTGTGGTCTCTCCATTAAATCATTTGATTGTCTGCCTGCCTCTGCCGACCCAGCTCTCCCATGTCTGTAAATCTGTTTACACTCAAATGATGATCCTGATGATTCCTCAATTACATATACCAATAAAGAGTATATATTTTCAGAGCCTTGCCTTTTCCGTCAGGGTCATACTCCTTGAAGGCATCGGAGGAGGTCAGGTCTTTCAGTTTGAGGAACATATCAAAGAACTTGAGGATCATCTCCACATTGTTGGAGGACTCCACCAACATGTCCACCATCTGCTTCCCGATAGTCCCATTGACTACATTACCTGCCAGAACAAAACAACAGTTATAGTGCAGAAAATCACTTGAAACCACAGCATATTCTTTAACCATCCACCGAAGACAAAGCCTTTGTCAAAGTATATAAAATGGTCTAACATGTGGTCAGCGGTCACTATGGGGGTGTCAAAGTGCAGCCTGTTTGCTTATGAAATGGCTCAATTTGTCTTAGTCACTGACAAGGTGACAGTTGATTGAAGGAGAATTTTGAAGAACCAGTTAGCTTGTTTTGGAGCGATATTTTGGCTTCACTTGTTTCTGTTACCTCTTTATCAAGTGCTACTGTTCAGCTGAAAATCTGAAAATCTCCCAATACCATTCTCACATCCTTAGTGTATGTCCAGCATTCTACCTCAGATTAATAACCCTAAAGACATCCAAATGATTTCTCTAAAGCCGGTTTCTGGCTAGAACAACGTACAGTACTGGGCTACATCTTATTGATTTAGATATACTGAGGATGATGACTCAAACATGCCAACCTCTATGAGTGAATCAATTTCAATAAGCAGTACTGAAACCCTTTCAAGTAGAGGCGAGGTGACCTTGTGTTTCTGTCTATCAGCTCTTCCATCAAGCCACACATGCTTTAATGTTTAAAACAGCTGTGCTCATGAACATAAACCTACCCTCCAGCATAGACAGCAGCATGACCACCATGTCTTTCTGTAGGTCCATCAACTCCTTCAGTAACTCAATCTGACTGGAGTCCTGGGGGGAAAAAGAAGGTGGCGGTGACAGGTGCTGGTGGCAGTTTGTGGGTCATTGTTCAGACAAACACTAGCAGAGTATCAGAGAAAGGAGACAAAGAACTGCTTAACAAAAGCCAGTTACGATGAGGAATGCAACTTTGCTGTCGTCCACTGGAGACATTTCAGGCATGAGCGACTCATCAGTAAGCTGACAGTGGAGATAGGACAGGAAATATGGGGGGAGAGAGGGGACGACATACAACAAAGGTCCGTGGCCAGACTTAAACCAGACAGTCTATACAATCCCCACACTTTGTGATCTTAGCTCACCTGAGAAAGTTTCATCTGCATATGAGCAAAGACATGGAGAAAACCAACCACAGCGTCCCACAAACGGCTATGGGCCAAGCTCTGCTGGTTGCCAGTGCACGGACCCTTCAACAAAATAAGTAACAGTCAAACTCACATCACAGCCGCTTTACTCAACAGTTCTCTAGATTGAAATATGTAAGAGTAGTTTACTGATTCAGTTGTTCAGTTCAAACAATTTAAGCCCCCTTTATTAACTTTTGAGAATAATATCTAGGGCTGGGTATCATTCAAAAATGTTGATATCTATGGTGGCCCTGAGACCTCAATGCACTGCAACTTAAGAAGGCACATGCAAACGGACAAAATACAACTGAACAACTGAAGAAAACAGCAAATACACATGACACAACGGAAATGTTTCCAGGGGACACTAAGAGAGAGAGAGAGAGAGAGAGAGAGAGAGAGAGAGAGAGAGAGAGAGAGAGAGAGAGGATCCCATGGAGCTGCAGTTAGGATTATGCCTTCATGGTACATGCTCTACCAGGTGACAACCCCCGATCCCCTCACCTCATACCTCCACCTGCTTCTGTCTGGAAACACTTCCATTGTGTTGTGCTTATTTGCAGCTCACATGTTGTCAATTTGATGAAGTTTTTTGAATTTGTTTGTGTTTTGTCTGTTGGGATGTGCGTTGAGCTCTCAGGGCCACCGTAGATACAGATACCTTGACTTTGATCCTGATTCTTAATGACCAATTTTTTCAAATCCATTTTAAAATTCACATTACAGTACAAATTTTAATTTTACTTTGGTTTTATTCTTAAGCTTGGTCCCTTCACAGAATCAAATGTGTTTGTGTAAATAAACATCCAGTCACCAGCCAGATCTTGGTCCAAGCATGCTGCATGCTCATTGGCTCACTGATGCTGATGTGATTTGCTGATTTACTGCTTAGATATTGAAATGTTGTATCAAATTACAAGACATTTTTCAGTCCAATAGTATCAAACCAAATCCGTCAGTCCCTAGAAGTATCGAAGTTTGATACCCAGCCCTAATAATATCTGCAAATAATTTAAAGAACTACAGATGTCAAGTCAATGCTGCATAAAAACGACAGTGATAACTGCAGTGGCTTGTCATACCTGGATGTACTCAGTTAGTGTATTGAAAACCTGCTTGGCCACATTTATCGCCTTGGAGAAATTCCTCTGGCCCTGCTCGTCGATAACATCTTTCCCAGAATAATACCAGTAGAAATCACTGATAGACTCCTGGAGAGGAAGGAGTAAGGAGGGAAGAGGGGGAGTCAGAGGAGGAAATGAAAAGAAGAAAAGAATGAAACAGATTAACTATGAGAAAAGCTAACAGTAGTAGAAGCAGTAGAATGTGACTGTGGAACACAGTGTATTGGAAACATGCACTGATTAAGCAATCAATAAAAACATAAAATCTCACTAAAGAAAAAAGAGAAATGCAAGTCTTTTTTTTATGCCTTTATTGACAGTGCAGTAGAGAGAGACAGGAAATGGGGAAGCAGAGAGAGGGGGAATGACATGCAGCAAAGGGCTGTCCGATGCGAGACTTGAGCCGGGGCCAACTGCAGCGAGGACCTGATCCTCTGCACATGGGGCGGATGCTCAACCAACTGAGCTACTCGACAACCCAATGCAAGTCTTTTTAAATAACCTGGATTTTGTTTTTCATAATTTCTGTCCACAGTCATAAGGTACATGGTCTGTAGAGAGGGCTTCCACTGATTCTGGTGGGTTAAATTTTATACTCTTTATCTTACTGCTAACCTGATTGTTACAAGGGTTATAACTGTGGTGGTCTGTGCACGGGTAGTATAAATGAATCCATCTGACTTGTAGGGCAGAGTGTGTACATTTGAGAGATAGTGAATAATTAATGGTGGCAAATGCAGAGGACATTCTAACCAGGTTAGGTGACCTAAAATATTCAGTTTGAACTTTGGAAAACACATCCTTTATGATCCTTTATGAAGCAGCAGTGGTGAACAAGAGGAACTAACCTGGACTCTTAGTAGATAGTCAACAGTAGAGATGATGATGTTGACAGTCGTATTGTTCCCAGTTTGTGTCCTTAAGTAGTTCTGGAAGTCTGAAACACATTTTCAAGAAATAGAGTAATTTTTTGCTTGTAAAATGTGTTAAAATAAATAAATACCATAGTGGTGTCATTGCATGACATGTTGTTTTATGCTTCAGAAATCTGAATGAAACCCCTAGAGAAAAAAGCTTCTGAATACATCTTTATTAATCAGTGTGTTATTTAGGATGTGATACTGACATTCTGATTGAAGAAACAAATTTCAAATCATTTTTTGAAACTGCTATCTTACAGTCTTTGTTGTAAAAGAGGCAGATCTGAGAGGAAATACCAGTTAAATAATGTCAGGTCAACAGTTTTAATGATCGGAGTGTGGCTTCAGTACAATGTTCTAACAGTCTCCTCAACAAATCAGCAGTGTCACTTTTCTCCGATTCTACCAGCACAAAAACATGGAAAAACTCGGAGGACACACACGCGCACACACACCTGAGTTGTGTCCTTCACAGAGCAGCTGCAGGAAGCGGAAAAGGTCACAGGTGAACTCATCGTCCTGCATGACCTTCTCACCTGGCCGGAGAGAAGAAACACACACACCCACACACATACGTGCACACACATACACAGCAAGACACACATGCAGACACACATATGCACAAGCACATACAGAGGTATGCACAAACGTACACACAAGAACACAAGCATGTGTAAACACACACATGAATGCACACACACGTTCATATAAACAGACACACATACACATAAAAAAGTCAGAGAAGAGAGAAGACAAAAGCAGACAACAAATAGGGAAGAGACAGACACACAAGAAGATGGAGAGTGAAGAACCATTAAAAAGAGATGGAGCTAATGTGACTAAATCCCCAGTGTTTTTTATCAGTCAGTGGACGGTGTATGGTCATAATACACCATTCTTATCTAAAACAATCACACAATCACACAAACACGCATATACACACACACACACGCACACACACACACACTTGGATGAGCAGTGGGCAGCCACAGCACTTGGTGGTGGACTGAAGTGCACTGGTCTTTAAACTGCAGCATTTTACAGTCAGGACTGGATTTAGGCTCTTTTCATGTTTTTTTCAGAGCTGTTGCACATGTGAGAAAGAAAATTTCCACTGTAGATTCTTCACAGATTACAAATACACTGAGGAAGCTGAGGACAGCTGCTCTGACTGTGCTAAAATGCTGCTTTAAACCATGCAAAAGGAAAAGAAAGTCAGAAGAAGGAAGATGAGACACTACACAATAACTCAGTACAATAACAACAAAAACATGAACAGAATACATCCATAAAGTATGACAACAAACTGGACAGGGCTGAAGGAGGAAAATCTGTAGGTCTGAAACAAGACTGAAAGTGCAGTTTTCCTTGTTTGGCTATTTGGTTGTGGTGCAAACCTTTATCTACAGATCAGTCCACCGGGATGTCAGAAGTTTAGTTTTACTCATCATGACCCAAAATGACAGCATTTGTGCAAATTTTTGTTGATGTCCACTTGTATGATTCAAAACAAGAATGGATCTGGCTGCATCTGCTAAAATGTCAGTATTCAATTGTTATCATGCATTACATTGTAGTAACAAGTTAATACATAATAACTGCTACAAAGACTAAAGATGATACAAGCATTTATAGTAATGTCAGAGTAGCGCAGTGTTTACTACTGCTGCATCAAGGCAAGGACATCCTGAGTTCCAATCCAGAACTTGTCTGATGAGTATTGTGCCTCTCGTCCAATGAGTGCTGAGATTAGCTTGAGCCATCCTGTAACCCTGATATGGTTAAGGCTATATAGTTAATGGAATCAAAGTTTATAGTTTCATTTGCCACTTAATGAAGACTGAAGCAGAACCAGAGATATCATCTTTTTCATTCCACACATTCTTTTCTTGTCAAAACCTGGTGCCCACATTACCCACAGTGCAACTTGACTGCCAACAGTTCATTCACAGAGGTGTGTTGTACTAGTAATGCTAATGTAGCCTGTAGCCTGCAGCAGTGATGAGGTTGGCTACAGAGTACTGGTAAAATCATTTCAGACCCACCAACACTGAACCAAGTGAGATCACTTTGTCAGACCTCACATAGCTCCCTCTGAAGACACAAATGGCTTAATAAAACTGTTCACAAATATATAGTAATATATAGTACTCCCCAACACCTGGAAACACATTTGGATGTGCAATATCAGTGGTGTTCCTCCTGGTTGGATAAGCCCAGAACACCTCAAAAGGGATGCATCCAGGAGGGATCCCATTCAGGTGCCCAAACCACCTCAACTAACTTCTTTCAGCTCAAAGGAGGAGTGGTTCTAGATGTCCAGGCACCTCACCTTGTCTGTAAAGGTAAGCTCATACACCATATTTACTAATTTGGATTCTTGCATTGATGCAGTAGTTATCCAAAAGCTCAAGGCAGTTACTGAAGAATACAGTGTAGATCAACTGGCAAATTGAGAGCTTTGTCTACAGGCTAAGTTCCCACTTCTCCATGACACTTCGCTACAATGCCCATATTACTGCCAACACTGCACCTATCTGCCTGTCAATCTCCCACTTCATCTCACCCTCACTCGTGAACATGGACCTGATATAACTATCACATTTTCTAGGGGAGTCCCATGGTGTCAGACTTGGAAGTGCTGAGGGTCTTCCTGGCCACTTCACGCTCAGGTGCAAATCACCATAGTGTGTGGTTCTGGTCATGGTCTGAGGGTCTGAGGAAACCGTGAAGAAGCAGAACTACAGTATATTATCTGAAAAGAGCAGTGATGCAATTCAAAAGTCATCATCAATACCACAACCAATGTGAGCAGTTCACTTGTTTAAAACAATCTGGGCCTCCCCATTTGAGTCATCTGTAGGGTGTCCACAAACTTCTTGAGGTCAAATGAAAGCCCCTCTCTTTGGACCTCCCAGAACTACTCCTACACCAGAGGCTAGCTTCCATAGACACTTCCATAAGCACCAAGGCTACAGTCCTTCTGGCCTCAGGGCATCTGTCTGTTGTTTCAAACACTTGTTTGTAGAAGGTTTATATTTTTTGTAATTGTCAGTAGTAGTAATTTGCAAGATTTTGTCAAGATTCAACCAGAAATCTTTGGTTTGGGCAACCAATCCTCATATAAATGATGTGAGGATTGGTTGAATTTGTGATAATGTATGTGATTACAGGTCTGAAATTCCTGGATGGACTGATAGATGGAGAGGGTAAATCTTATTCTCTGAAAAGACACTTTAATATCTCTAACACCTGCTCTAATAGTTATTCATGCAATGGCAATAAAACTAACTAAGTGTTTTTGTAGATATGATCACTCATGTTAAATCACTGGATGTTGCAACAGCACTGTATATGATATGATCTTTATAATTTTCCAAATCACAGTGAGTAACCTAACACTGTTTGTGTGTGTTTTCAATGACACTTTTGTGAATTTAGTGATTAAAGGCACTTTCAGGCTTATTCCCAACAGAGTGATAAACTGGATGAGGGGAATACATTTTTCACAGCTGAAAAAAAAATAATGAGACCATATTGTCTATTTATTAACTAAGTAAATATATGTATTATATCTCTCTAGGATTGTTTAATGATAATAAAAAATGACAAGCTAAGGATGTTTAATAATAGCATAGAAAGTTCCCTCTATTCAATCACAAACTTAAATATTTAGAGATAGACAAACTTTAACTACAACCAAATCAGGAATTTAAAATACAATACTGGGGTACAATAAGTCAAAAAAATACATCATAAAAAATGTTTTTCACGTAAGCAAAAAAGTCATTAACGACAAGTACACTGTCTACAGAACACAGCTCAGCCAGTAAAGAGAGAGAAGAGGGGAGGAAGAAATTATCAGAGTTCACCCTCCTCCACTCACAGAGGAGCCTGGCAGGAAACAACCACTTTAACGTCCAAAGTGCAACACTTACAGAGAAAACAGGAGAGGTAGACCAAACAAAACAGATGAAAAGGTGAGAGATGAGAAATAAGTAGGGCTGCAATTTCTTTTTATGAATGAGTTTTTCTGGTAAATCTATACATTAAATCTTTGAAGAAAATACACATCCTTTAACATTACATTGTCCTTCAACCAGTTTAAAACCATTAAAATGTCACTCTGTTTGTACAAATACTGGATGTAGTAATATTTTTGTTTGTTCATCTGTAAGATCAGTCACTATAACAGTTGAATAAACCAATAAAAAAGTCAAGCACACCCTGTATTGTTTGCTGCGTGTTGTCTCAGGGTGTTAGAGCCTGATTAAGAGGCATGTTATAAACTTGAATTGACTGTTGGCTTTTTGGCTTCATTAGCTAAATAACTAACCAGCTTGCCACAACAATAAACTTGCACCATGTATGTATAATTTGGTGTATTATGTTAGTTTATTAAATGTTAGTTTAATAAATTATCTGCATTTATCGGTAATTTCTATTTAATGTATTTTTAGAGTCAGTTACTTCATACAAAATCTTAACCACTAATGGCTAGGAATGTTTCACATCTTCCCTAATTGTTCACACAGAACAATTGTATTTACAATTGTATAAATTGGCTAATTTGATATTACTGGTGCAGACAGGCCATTGATTTTTATTGATATTATGCCATGTTATGTTACTATGCATTAAGTAAGATTTTCTGGCCACTTGAAGAGTGCAAATCTGTAAACACAACATTAGAATATTTTTCAGCAGACACTTCACCCAGGAGACAAACAACAGTAGAATTCTGTGGAGTGGTGTTTGTATCCACCTGGTGAATCTAAGTCTAATAATCCCTCTCTTTAAGCTCTGTTATGGTCTCCCCCAACTCTCTGTCAGTCTTCTGTTTGCTGCTGAGCAGTTTGTAGTCAGTGGCTTTTTACAACTGTTTCTCTGAAAACAGCTGCCTTTGGCTGGACAGGTTGATGAGAGTGCAGAGACCGAACTGGCCATAAAACCTGAACAATAAGCCGAAAGACGCTAAAATGTTTATAGAGCTGGAGGTAACTGCAGGTGAAGATACACCTTCACATTAAATAAAGACATTTGATCCGTTGTTATTATAAAAATTATGATGCATGCAGCTTTAATTGAGGAGATTCTTCAGCTTAATCTACCTTTTTTGTTTAGGATTTTTTTGTATTGATTGCAGCCCTAAGTGAGTCAGAAAAAGACAGATAGTGGCTGAGAACACAGAGGGGATCATACACTTCACAATAGAAAACAACCAACACAATAACTATCTCCATTACTGAGACAAAACAATCAGCTGACTGTAGGTGAACTAAATGACTGAGAGGGTGTGGGTGTAGGATGAGGGAGTGGGAAGGTAAATACTCATATTAGTAATATTTAGAATGTGCCAGATACTGTACAAATCCTGAGAGGAAGGCATACGTGGGTTATGTTTTAGATGGCAGGTTAAGGCAATACAGCTTACATCTACTCTTCAAATACTTCTGCCTGGACATGTCATGAGTTTTAAATCTTAACTTCTATATAGTATATTTAAAACAAGTCATCATCACCAGTTTACTATTGTCACAAAGAATGACAACACATTTTATATCATAATTCAGAAGTAGACTAAGACTTTAAACATTATGAAAAGACACAACTACAAATCTGACCAGAGAGTAACTTGTAATTGGTCTATACTGTGAAAAAAACAAAAAAACAAAAAGAAAACAAAACAGAAAAAACAGGTTAAAATGGTGAGGGTAAGGCAGAAAAGTAGCTACAAGCACAGTGCTGCTAAGGACAAGGTTTGAAGTTCTACACTCAGGACCTGGACAGAACTGACACAACAACTAACCAACTGTAGAGTAAGAGCGAGAGAGAGAGACCAACCAACACACAAGAAAATGGCAGAAGGCATAATTACCACGCTCATGAGTGATGACTGAGGAAGGGAAGAAAGTGCAGTAAACCAAAATGAGAAAAGGAAAACAGGGGGAAGAAAGAAAGAGAGAAAGAAAGTAAGAAACAAAGAAAGAAACAAAGAAAAAGATTACATATAGGGAAAAGAGCTTTAAAAATTCCCAATTTAGTTGTTTGGTCAACATGGAAAAAAATAATAGAAGACTAAATAACAGAAAACTTGTACAGCTGAGTAAAAATGAAAAAGAGCTGAGCCTAAAATATATAACAACAAGACCTAGTGCTTTTTTTGTTTTCCTTTTGACTGTGGATGTGCATCAGCGTTGAACCTGTTTTGTTAATATAGCCTTTTAAAATGACGATCAGTTTCTTACAATGAGGAAGGTATGACTCAAACATTATCAGCTGTAGTTGGATTTATTGCTATAATGGGTGCAATAATGAGTAATACAATAAGTCAGTTTTAGTGATTACTGGTTTTTCCATTCTGCCCATACAGGAATAGGAAACACCTGTTGTAGAATATAAATCAATTTAGTAAAAAAAGCACACAGTTGAATAAACAGCTCATTATTAAAAACATTATGAGCGTGAAAATGCAGTAAAAGCATTTACTGTTTTCAGTACTAACATATGGTCCAATGTTCTTGTTATTTTCTCCATTCACATTCCATTCAACACTGCAATATGTATTTCCTTGCTATTTAAACAGTCATAATTTACTTGTAATGAAAACGAAAAGTAAGTATAGAAGGATTAATGATGGCTTTAAAAATAGTAATTATGTACTGACAGTACATAATTACACAACAATCATTAGAGCAAGGTGTTAATTTTCTGCACTAACTATCCCATAGTGATATACACATTGTTCATTTAAAAAAAAAAAAAAATGAAGACCATAGTCCTCAAGCTGATTTACCAGCTTCCCTGTGCATTCATAGCTCAGGATCCGACATAACCAATGGCTGGGTGTTATACAGCAGTGTAATATTAGCCCTGTTAGCCCTGTTTGCAGAGGTACATGTGGCTAGCTAGCTATGTAGCCAGCTGCGTTAGGCTTAACAGCTACGGTAACCTTTGAGGAAGTTCAGTGTCACGTACTAACGTAATGAGTCCGACAAAGTGTGTGAAATGTTAATGGTTTCACACACTTTGTAGGACAAAGCTTGTTCTCCCAATGATTCACTGTGACCTCCTCCCTGAGGACTTTAATGGTGGATTAATAACATCACTCTGCCCAGCCACTTACAGAAGACATGTATAAATGTGGTGAAATGAAAGTGTGGAAGGTCAGAAATGTTATATACTGTAATAGGTATTTAGCTTTTTTAACCAGAATTTACTGAAAACAAACTGCTGCACCTATTATAACATGATAACAATTAATGTACCAATAATTACTTTATGATTACTTCTTATTACCCAGTACTAAGTTATGTTAAGTTATGGAAGTAAATAGGTAAGTTATGAATGCATTTTAAAGTATTAGTATGCAATCTGAAGGTCGACTGTTAACATTTGTAACAAATGTATACACAGAAGATGTAACAGGCAAATCATGACTACACACACTTGTACACCAGGAATCATACTTAATAATGCATAGGAAGAACAGATAGTACTGTATTACCACCTGATTAAAATCAACAAAATGCTGAACCAAGTGATGACAGGATAAATGGGACAAAGCAAAATAAAGAATGATGATTTGACAGGAAAAAAAATAAACTTCATGTATCAGGAATAACAACCAAGGTGTGTACACCAAAGAGTATATTTCTTCTAGCACAACTACTTTAATGATCACTTTCTACAAGGTTATCTGTCCTGAAGTCCTGAACCATGCAAGAACATGCTTTTAATGGAATACATTGATGTTTTAGGTTAAGCTACCTTACAATATACCTTTAAGTGCTCCACTCTGAAGGCAATGGTCCCAGCAAGCAGTGCCCTCTGGATTTTTATAGAGCTGTTTTAATGTACCATCCTGAGGTTAATTAAAGTGACATTTAAGGATTTTACCTGCATCTGGTGTAGAAAAGCAGGCCTGGCTTTTTCCAAATAATTCAGGTACTTGTTTAGTAATTTTTGAGACCAATAACACTCATCTCAGAAAAAGACATTCAGTCAATGAACATTTCTTTCTACTGCTCTGAAATAAAACTATAAGGTATAAACATAATGGAACTTACCTGAGCCCTCCTCTGTCACCATTCCCAGTCCTTCTGCTTTGTTCTGCCTCTCAAATGCATTAAGATCCAGAACACTGAAACACAGACAAATGTATAGTGAAATAACTAACTTCCTGTTGCTTTTAAAACATGTAGCTGCCACTTTGGTAAATGGACTAATCTTATACAGTGCTTTTCTAGTCTTGTTCATACGGTGGCCGACAAGGGCAAAGGTGCTGCAACGGCCCAAAACATTTCCGTTAGGGCATACGAGCTGCAAATTCAGATATGATGCAGATTCAAAAACACATTCAAAAATACAAAACAAATTCAACGAAAACGTTCTGCAAACGAAAAAACAAGCTGCAGGAAGCCAAACCAAACATATGAACAGCAAACACACTGCAAATACAGAAATGATGCAACAACAAAAAAATATCAACCTCCAAAAACAGTGCAACAAAAAAAATGCTGCATATCCAGACAACACAATAGAAGTGCTCCCGGCCTCTAGGGGGAGCTCTAGTATGAACCTATAAACCTACTATATGTTCAGAAGTAATGTAGAGCGATAACAAGATGAGTTTGCATACCACGGATGTATTATAAGACCATGGTGCATGCAAACATATTTCCTGTAGCTGATTTTTAAATGTACCTCAGCTCAATACTTGATTGAGTGAGCCACAGTCAGAACCCATGAGCTAACCAGCTGCAATATGAATACATTGAGAATATATTTGTTTCAGTCCAGAAGCAGGAAGCGTTTGTAGAGTTACCGAACGTCATGTCCCGCTGCAGTGATTGAGGTGAGGTGTGGGCGTTGAGAACGCCAAACTCCTAAAGGAATTATAATTAAAATGCCAGATTTGAAGTGGATCTTTCTAAATGAATTATTCCTGGAATTTCCTCAGTCATCTAAGAAGCTGAATCAAAACAATAGCATTTCTGAACTCTGATGTCCCCTAAAAATTGGAGAGTGGCCAATTGCCGACCCTGTTACACCTGCGAGAGAAGAGATGAATCAAGCTGAACTTGCTGCATTAATCCGCACAATGATATGAAAGGAAACAAGATAATATGAGCTGAAATAAAGGAAGCTATGGATAAACTGAAGCCTCAACTGGACTCATTAAAGGTTGAGCTTAAAGAGTGCAAAGGAAAACTGACTGATGTTGAGCTGGCGCTGTTGAGAACGCAAGACAAATTGGAGGACATGGAGAAATTCTGAAAAAGACTACAAAGAGAAAATAAAGGACTGAGAGAAAAGACTGAAAAGTTGGAAGGCTACAGCCGCAGATTTAATCAGAGTTTTTGGCCTTGACAAAGATGTGGAAGAGGGAAATCCGACCCAATTCAAGTCAACCCTCCTGAAAGAAGTTTTTAAAGAGAAAAAGGTCCCATGCCAGCCTGAGATGGAAATAGTGCATAGAGTGGGGCCAGCAACAAAATTGAGTTCTAGACCTATGATTGTCAGACTACAGAGATACCAGGCCAAAGAGGAGATTTTGGAAATTGCAAAACAAGAAAACGTGCTGAAATACAAGGAGATGAAAAATCTTCCTGGATTTGACTACAGAAATAGCTAAGAGAAGAGCACAGTTCAAGGATATCAGAATGAAATTATACCGGAAATAAAACACAACGTGATCCATCCTGCAACACTCATCATAAGTGTGAAAAAATATTTCCAGAATAATGAACCAGCGGAGAAGTTCTTCAATCAAGAAATTAAACCAATTCTTCCAGTCAGTGAAGCGGAGGATGGCCAACTGGGTGAGAAGTCAAGCGGGGTGAGTCAGCAATCTAGCTGATTCATGAAAGGGATAATGAACATGCCAAGCGGAAATGAAAAGGTACAGAACTTATGGATTGAGAATTTATGAATGTAGAGCTCAGAATCAGCAATCATGATGATTTATAATGAGGACAATGAATATGCTCTGTGCACAGGAACAATGAACTTGAACTTTTCTAAACCTATGGACATGGAAGTATTACATAGAAAGAATGTATGAATTGAACTGGACATAGTACCACTAAACATCTATGCGCTATGGAAAGAGAAGATAAGGATGTGAAAATTAGTTTGATTTGAACACTGGATAATTGGATTGGACAACTGGATGCCTCCCAAGAAAGACAATAAAAGAAAAAAAAAAAAGGAAAAAAAAAGTCATTAAATGCTAACTTTAAAGGCTAACTTTTTTTAATAAATGGATTCAATGGATGGATTCAAATGAGAATCTGGTTGAGGCTAGACTAGGTGTATTTGATAAACCTAAAATGTTTTTCATTCAATAGTTAAGGTTGATAACCCACCGCAGAAGGAATTTTTGTGATACATTTGGATTCAAAGTTATTAAAGTGACAGAAAGCAAATGGTCTACTTTAATGAAAGTGAGTCTGATGTTAAACGTGAAGCACGGACTACCTCAAGGAAGTTGTCCTCGGCCGCTTCTGTACTCAATTTTTACCAGTGATTTTCCTTTGGTGTTAAAAAGGGCTCATATGGCAATGTACACTGATGATTCCACAATTTATTTAGCTGAATCAACAATTGATAATTTAAATACAACTCTAGCCAGGAAATGAAGTCGGTTGTTGATTAGACAGACAGCAATAAACTTATCTTAAATGTATCTAAAAATATAAGTATAGAAATTGGAACGAACTATTCCCTAATTCCACTAACACTCTATGATTAAGAGATGTCCAAAATATCTGACACAACAAACTATCAAGCAAGTAATCCAAGCTTTGGTTTTTGTCACATCTAGATTATTGTTCAATAGTTTGGTCCAGTGTTTCAGAAGGGAATATCAGAAAACTGCAACTGGTCCAAAACAAAGCAGCACATGTCGCTCTTTCTGTTGGGTTGAGGACAAAGGTCACAAAAATGTATAAATGTCTTTCTTGGTTGGAAGTGAAAAACAGATTATTGTACTTGTTATTGGTAATTCATGAGGAATCTTATCACAACAAAGACGCCTCTTATTTGTTATGAAAAATGATCTTTTAGTTCAGAGATGCATAATTATGCAACAAGGCATACTTCTGGAGGTTGTTTCACACTGCGGAAAGCAGGAGCTTGTAATGTAATGTCTGCATTGTCTTTAGTGTGTGGATGTGTGCGTACTCGTGTGGGTGTGTGAGTGTGTGGGTTCAGGTATTGTGTAGACTGTACATGCTTATGCGTGGGTGTTTGTTTGTGTGTATGTGTTTGTGTGTGTGTGTGTGTGTGTGTGTGTGTGCGTGCGTGCGTTTTTTCTGTATACATGCTCATACGCGTGTGTGTGGTGGGGGGGTATAGGAGAGTGTGCGTGAACATGCTCATACGGATATGTGTGTGGGTAAATTATATGGGTGTATGGGTGAATGTTTTTGTTATGATTGTTGTGTGGTTGTGTACGTGTGTGTGTGTGCGTGCGCGTGCGCACTATTGCTCACGCGCAAGTGTGTGTGTGTGTGTGTGTGTGTGAATATACTGTATCTTTGTATTATTGTAATGTGTATTATGATATATGTATCTTTGTCATTGTATTGTGTGATTGTGATTGTGTATATGTTTTTGTATTGTCACATCAGAATTATGTAGACCCAAGGAAGAATAGCTGCTGCTATGCAAAAGCTAATGGGGATCTTAATAAAACAAACAAACCTGCATGACTGCATCAGCCCAGCCAGACTCTGAAAAAAGCCCACATCCTTCTTGTCTTTCAGATAATCCAACATTTTCTGTCAAAAAAACACAGTGGGCATAATATTTTAGACTCATTTCTGATTTAAACAAGTACAGAGGAAGGGGACAATCAGCAGCTATCTGACAGGGTCTCAACAAACTCTACACATTTCAAAATATATAGTATAATCCACAAATGTTCCTGTTAGTCTGTCTGTCTTGTATGTATTAAGTTCTTATCAGAATCTAATATACAGCCTTTCAAATACAATGCAAGCGCTACCAAACACACGATGACACATTTCATGACAGAGAGGAGTGTGTGAGCACTGTACTACCTGCTGCACAGTAGAGTTTCCTCCATTGAGAATAGCTATGCCCAGCTTCAGAGTAGAGGCCACCATGGGACCCATCTCACCTGTTGTAGGGGACATCATTCTTTTATCTACCACAGAGCACAGCCATTCCAAACATCATTTACATTTTAGTAACTTAGCCACCACTCTCATTCAGAAAGGAGATGAATGCAGCTGACAACTGCACTATCATTGCAATGACCATATGTGGTAGGTTACCAGGTCCTACCAATTTAATTAGTATTAATTATTAATTAATTAAAACTAATTCATCATTTGAATCATTAGTTTACAGTCTGCCAAATTAAAGTTAATAGTTTCACTGTAATGAACAAAGACTTGTTGAATGAATCTCTTTAATTTCAGAAATTATTATATCTTTAGCAAGAAGCTAGAAGCAAGCTAAAAATTGCCCCTCTTCTGATTTAGTTTTGAGTAAAGCAAAGTACTAAGTGAACCATACTCAACTTTGATTTTGAAAAATTATACAAAATATTAATTGCTTTGTTTCCACAACCTTATTGGACACCCCCTCTGTGGGTAGGTCATTAGTTTCATTGGTGTTGATTCTGCCAGTTTTGTGGATAGAATCTGGAGACAGACTCACACTATGAAATCCTACAGCAATGCTTGGTTTGAGTTGAGAGCAACACCTTCATAGGTAATTGGAAGGGTGGATAAATTTCAAACGTTTACAGTTTCATGGTCAACTGTATTCAGATACACACATGGCTGGTCCCTTGAGATGTGAGAGAAAGCACCTGCAGACTTTTTTGTGTTTTATCAGCTGATTCATATGAACTCCCATCCACTGCTGTCTGCCGAGTCATCATCTTCAGTTGTATAAATAAAATGATGGTAGCTTTTCCATTTAGTGTTCTCATGTTTTTTGCAATCTTGGTTCTTCTTTCTCTGATAAAATCTATCATTCAGGCCAAAACTATCCAAGAGAAATGACGGAGGATTTGAACTGACCTTTACTAGCGCTGATGGTTTGAAGCACCATCTCAGCAGCTCCTCGGTCATGTAGCCGAGCCTGCTGATACAACAGCTTCTGCTTCTCCATCTCCTTCTCCTGTTCATGTGAAACACAATACAGGTAGCATCAGAGTCTACAGCTAAAGCCACCACGAAGACTGACACAGAGTGACTGACCACCTACTTCAAAACTCTTCACTTCCTCCCCGTCTTCATCCTCTTCATCATGGCAACTCTGAATGAAAAAGAAGGAGCACATGAAGGCTACAATGAATACTGTCCACATCATCATCATTAGCATCTGCTATTTCACTTCTAAATAATGAAAAGATTTCTGGTGCTAGCATTCAGTAGCTGGTACCTTAGCCATGATGTCAGCATAGGCCATGTAAAGATTATCCTCATCCAGTTTACTGCAACAGGGAAGACACATACACACATGCACACGCACACACACAAACACACACACACACGCGCACACACACACACAAACAAGTTGACTATCCATTCTAATGACTTATATTATTTAAGCTGCATTATGTATTTATTTACGTGACCTTTGTACTGGTACTGCTGATCCCACTGAAAAGACAGTACAGCTTGATACAACTTTGAGCTACTTTAAGCTCATTGTTTTGATTGAAAACATGCCAACTGGAAGCAAACTACCTGTTCATGGAGAAGTTCCTTGTGAAGCCCCAAAAAACTAACCGTAGACTGTACAGATTCTTAACTTTTCTCTGCAGCTGGCAGAGATAAAACAGCAGCACAAGTTGACCTTAAGTTTGACAGGGCTGACAGGGCACTGCCCTTTTCCCTGGATGTTTAAATTGGCAGTTGTTTGTTAACACGGTACCTGTGTGCTCACTCTTGTCAACATGTTTTTCCTTCAAGTCTTCCTGTTCAAAGATGCTCAGGCAGCTTTAAGTAGTGAAGATGCTGTAAACACTCACTACAACAGTGATTATTTGCCTGACTGACTAGTATAAATAGTGATACACTGATAATTATAAAGGATGATAATTAGTGAACTTGAGTTTTCATACTGCTTATTATGTTATAATGCCAGTTCCTATGACTGAGACTTGGTAGCTTGTATCTTACATCTATCTGTGAAACCCACCACTTCTCTGTGAGGGCTGTTCTACTGAACAGCTGAATGAGCTGATGCAGTGGATCAATGTGCTTCACCCCTTCCTCTTCTTCGGATGGCTCTTGGTCACCTGGTTTCTGACATAAACACATGCTCACAATCAAAATAGACTCAAGGGTACACAGTGAAAAATACAATCTGGTCAAATTTCTTTACAGAGTAAAATAAATTATTCCAGGAGCTAAAGTAACCCCACTTGTTTTACATTTATATGACATGAACTAACAGCGAGGTCCTCGATGAGTTTATCTTCAAAGTAGTGTTCCTCTGCCTCGATCCAGGACTTCTCATAGCCCTGCAGGAACAGGTTGACAGCCCGGTGCCTAGTTCAGGGAGATACAGTAGTACAAGATGTACCAGCTGTGCAGTACACACAGATGCACACTGTGAATCTAATGTACAGAGTGTGTTTGTGCTGATGTGTGTGGGTGTAGAACTTACCTGGGCAGGTTGTAGAGCGGTGCCATCCTGAAGCAAGCAACCACTGCTCTCTTCCTCTGTTTGGACAGAAGTTTGTGCCAAACTGCCTTCTTACTGCGCTGAGGGTGCTCAACCTAAACACACAAACTGAACTCAGTAGTGGCTCACTATCTGGGGACCATATAAACTACACCTCTAGAACAGCTAATGGCACAGGTGCATTTTACAATACTGGCTACACAAAATTGGACCGACATGATTATTTCACATCATATCAGCTCTTCTAAGAAGCTTTTGCGCACACACGCACACGCACACACACACACACACCCACACACACACACACACACACACACACACACACACACACACACACACACACACACACACACACACACACACACACACCTGATCCAGATGGAAGAGAACATGAGCAATGTCCAGGACTCTCTCTACAGTTTTCTCTGGGTCTGAGGTGTCCTCATAGTGATTAGGGAGGTCCCTGTACAACGCCATCTGCCAACGAATAGCTGGGTCCTCCAGCTGGACAACACAAACACATACAGTCACAATTACATAGAGAAAATGCATTTAAATGTGTGGTGAGGTTGAGCACTTCTCTGAGCAGTTAAATATATATGTGGCCTTTCACTAGATTGAACTAGATCTTTAGTTTTTACCAAATATGCTTACAGGATCTTGATCTTGTTACAATCATGAACAGGATTGTAGTACTTGACTGTGTTCTTACCTTCCCTTGTAAATGGAGATTATTCCTGATGATCTCTCGGACTTCGTCCTCTGTATCTTTCTGTTAACAGAGCAAATGTATGGTCCATTAGTAGATCAACATAATCCTACATGGGTTGCCCATTGAGCTCAAGGGCTATCTAAGTCCTTGACCATGAAACACAACGTCCCTTGATCGAGTCTGGCCTTTGCTGCATCTCTCTTTCCCTCATTTCTGTCATGTCTGTACTCTTGCTATCTAATAAAGACATAAAAAGGGATAGTAACTATAAAAATGATAAGGTAACACTTTGATCACAGGTCATGAATGATTATTTGAACTTGTAACCCAAAAGCAAAGAAATATTTGGCTGCCTGAAAATTTTTTACGGTTTACTTTAATTTTACAAATTTATCCAAAATTATTGTATTATACATATAGATTTACAATACCAATACCTGTTACCAATAATCAATTGGTTGGCATATTCAATGAGATACAGAACTTAAAACATTAAGTCCATTGAAGTGTTTCTCTTCTCTTTATTATACAGATGGAATGTCTTATGCCATATCAGAAAAAATGTTCAAAATGTACTAGACAGAAGTTATTTTTCACACCTGGGTGAAACGGTTCTTAGCCAGTGCGATGAGCTCTTGTTCTCCAGGGGCACAGATGTTGAGTCCGACAGGCAGTAGACGCTTTAGAGTAGCAACGATCAGACTTGTCTGCATTGAGTATCGATCTCCCTTCCTCTTCATCTTCTTCCTCTCCTGGTCTGAAACTATTCCCTGAGCAGAAGACAAGAAATGCACACAGCCACATTCTATAATGTTAGCCCTACTAAACAGCTTTCATTCATATAACATAAATGTGAACTGATTGCTGGTTGTGAATGTTGATCGCCTATTTGCTCTGTATTTGTTATTGTTTTATATGCTCTCCTGCTGTATCATTCTGTTTGCTCATGCAGTGACTGAATTTTTTGCAAGAATGAATTAACATGTATAACTCCTATGTTTAGATGTGAGTTTGTACAAAAACACACATTGTTACAAGCCTTTACTCCCTTCTATGTGCCCATACCTTTGACATCTTACACTTGGTGTCAGTGATGAGGAAGGACATGTTGTTGATTTCATTCTGAACCACAAAGTTCTGCTCTTCCCTCTTGAAGTTCTGCAGACAGATGACAACATGACACCATTCATCACTCTTCTGTCACACTGCTGTGCTGTCTGATGTTGAATAAGAGCCAGGTTCTTGTTGAAAAGTCACTTTTATTAATCTGCTGGGATGGTCCTGAGACAGACTTTTTCTGTAACTTTCTGAAACAGATGATCCAACAATCACTCCTGCTTCATGCTGTGATTGGCCAGCTATGTGCAGGGGAGAAAGGAGCCAAGGACTGCACTTCTCTCTTTAACCTTTTTCTTTCATTTGTTGCAAAACTATTTCTGTGAGTGTTCATGAGAACAACCGAGTGCAACACTGTTAGCATCTTCCAGGAGAGACATGGTTATGGTTATGAGCTAGTTCAGAAGGACCATAAAAATGGCCTTTATTGAGAGATAAAAGGACTAAATTATAAAGACCAGTTATCAAAACACTAAGCTCAAAGCTGCTGAAAGCTCAATGGGGTGCGACCAGCAGTATAAGCAGCTCTTAACAGTGAGTAATTCAATCAAGTACTAATGATCAGAATCTTTAATCAGTGGAGTGATGAGAAAGTTAGCAGGAGTCTACTGGTGTTGTCTCTATCTGCTCTGACTCCTACCACTAGACCTTGCCTAATATCCCTGTATCTACCTTTCAAACAGCACTTTGCTGTTTCTTTGGCTCCTTCACAGTGATTTTCTTACATGAGACTTGGCCCAGAAGATGAAAACCTCAGCCACCATGCGGAACAGCTCCTCAGCCTCTGGGTTGGACTCCTTCAGCCATCTGGCCCTGTCAACATTAGTTGTTAGTTAGTGGATAGGGGCAGTTCTGTGCTGAGCTGAACTACTGATGTTCATTTTTCATCATCCTTTCCCTGAATGCAGCAAATATAAAACTTGCTGTTAGCAACACAGAGCATGTACAGGACAAACATGTGGGCTTGTCTTACATAACTGTCATGTATCATGTTTCAGAAAAACAGGAAGCCTTCAGTCTAAGCAGTGTACCTGTTGTAGTCAACAAATCGGATGAGGAGAGGGTAGAAAGCGTACAGGTCTCTGACCAATATGGTGAACTGGTCCATGATGAGAAGCTCCGTCTCTGACATCTCACCCCTCCCCTCTGCCTTGCTGTGTTCTTCATCCATCAACACAACTGCAGCTTTCTGCACAACACAGTGCAAGATGACTATCTGTTAATGGGCACACTAAATACATTTGATCATAGCAGTAATATTATATGAATAGGTTTCAATTACTATAACTGCTGTCTGCAGAAAGTTATAGTCCAATCTAAAAGCTCTTGTTATTGTGTCATGTTATTTTTGTAATAGTCTAGTTATTGTGTTATGTTGGCAGATGAATTAAAAGCTCCTGTGTGATGAAATAATATTTTGTTTGACAGGCCAATTGTTGAAACCACACTACTGATGTGTGTATTGGGCAAACCCTGTATGACCATGAAGGCAGATTATTAAACAGCAGCATTATCAGTTCAGTTGTAGGAATATGAATCAAATATTTCAAGGCTGTTTTCCAAAACACTGAATTAGACTTTTATTTAACCTGTGGCTGACACACTGTGCTTTAATGGTTTAGAGTCATACACTATTTTCCACTTGTGTTGTAACAATGTAATATGGCAACATGATAAGACTCACTTTTTTCAGTTTCTCCATCAGAGGCAGGAAGTGGGTCTTCAGCAGCTCAGCTTTGGCCTTGCTGATGATTGGCTGAGAGAAAACTAGGGGCACAGACAGAAATGGGGTTTTGCTGTTAAAAATACAAAAATGTGTTATGTGTGTGTGTGTGCGCACATGTGCATGTCTCCTGGTGCATATACAAACTCAGTTGCAAGTTTATTAGGAACACTAAGCTCAACCTAAGTCAGTCTGATCCAACAGTTCTGTAATAAATCCTCCTTCATGAAAGTTCTAATGTTCAGTTTGTGTTGAAACTGTTTCAGAGGTGTTGGTTCACCTGTGTGATTATTGTGGAGGCTGCAGTTTACGCTGCTGTTGAACTGCATTACATTATACAAAGAGGTGTTTCCATTGCTTAGTCTACTCTCATTGATATAAATGGAGAGGACAAAATAATAGAAACACCTGTCAGTTTAACACAATACAGTTTAACAGCAGCACAAACTGCAGCCTCCACAGTGATCACACAGGTGAATCTGAAACAGTTTCAAAGGTCTTGCCAATAGTTTCACCTTTCTCCTCCGATCAACAGGTGGTGGTAAGATATGCAGCAATTTGCCAGTCAAGGCAGTAAAGAGGAAGACTGCTAGCAAGTAAACATGGATGTAAACAATGCTGGATTAAAACGTGTGTAAATGTTTTATGTGAAAGAAAGAACAAGAATACACACAATGAAGTGAGTAACACTAGGTGTAAACATAACTCTTGTTATGAGAAAACTTCAAAGGGCCTCTTTATGATTTTATGTCAAGTCAAAAAAATAATTTGTAAAGCTCAGTTGTGAAGCATAAAGAAGGAACAGCCTGTTACACACAGTGTGTCATCATGTTTACCAGCTAGTCTTTTCATCCAGGCCCCCTCATCTATTCCAAGGTTGTTGTAGATGATCTTGAGAATGTTCCCCAGCAGAGTGTTCATGTGTTCAGAGGTCACGGAGGTGCAGCAGCTGTCAGCTTTGTCTGTGTTGCTCTCAGGTCCATGTTCCCACCAGTGAGACATATAGCTACATAACATGGGCAACACCACCTGCAGTAAAAGTGCAGTTTGACCGTGAATCACACAGAATTTCTAATACTTGGCATTGAATAAACCCGACATCCCGAGGCAACAAAACCAAGGATATGTGTAGAACAGAAATAAGGTCCAGGCTCAATCCCAGGACTTTACTCCTATTCTATTATTTTGTTATATGCATTTTTAAGGTAGTTATATGTCCCACCTCCATGACATGGGGCATCTGAGTGTATCTCATGCCAGACTCTGCCAACTCCATGATCTCCTCCAGAGACTTTTCTAAGTTTGGGATCACAGGACAAACCTCTCCAACGTGTCCTGGAAGACCTAGAGCTGGGAGAAGGAAAGAAAAATGCTTAAGTAACATATGGAGAATAAGCATAATTCTCAGAGGATACAATTAAAATATGACTTGTATATCTTGGTGTAATCCCTCCTACTAATGTATATGTGTACAAGCACACAGAGCCGCTAAACATTAAAAGGAATTCACATTCATCAGTACCCCCTCTGTCTTTAGTTCCTTTGATGTTGTAGATGGAGAAGCTGTTGAACTTGTTGATGTGAGGCTCAAGAAAGGCCACAGGGAAGGCTGCTGAGAAAGCAGCTAGACATTTTCCTAATGCTGGACGCTGTCTGGAGAGGAGAGGAGAGGAGAGGAGAGGAGAGGAGAGGAGAAAATAATCATTATTTTCATTGTCAATCATCTATTTAATTTTTAAATAAATTGGTTAACAATTGTTGTCTAAACATGCTAAAAACAATATGACTTTCAAATAGGTTGAAAGTCTCTCTGGTCACTCATTTAAATTTTATGAAGGCTTAAAGTTCTGAAAAATTGAAGGCGTGGCCTCTTTGAGTGATAGGTGGGTGAGCGTATGCTCACCAAAGTCGCGGCTCCACACACGCCCCTGCTCTTTGCCAGGAGTTAGGTACGGCCAAGATGGCGACAGCGGAGCAGCTCACTCTGAGCAGCTCAATCTGAGCAGCTCACTCTGAGCAGCTCACTCTGAGCTTCAAAAACGCTATTCAGATACCTGTGGGTGACGTAACAGAGGCTACGTCCATCTTTATTTACGGTCTATGAGTTTAACACTATTTCTTTACACAGAGAAAAAGGTGCAAATAGAGTTTCATGTTGCATTGTGTGCCGCATGAAACTCAGCACATCTGCGCACAAAAAAACTGTCTGTAAACTGGATTTTGTGCAGAAGGCAACAATTCAACTGTTTTATGAAGCTTAGCGATGAGTGAATGTTTTACACACTAACAGTGAATTGGCAGTGATCAATATTACTTGTACATATTTTACTGTTACAGCTGAAGCTAGAGGCACACATGTAAAACTAAACAGGTAACTGGCAGTGTTAAATTAACATGTGCCTTTCTCCTCCTTAGACATGATACACCAGCAAAATACACTCATTCATGGGGTAAATAAATATTTTTGTAGTATGTAAGGTACACTGATACTGCATCAGCATTCAGCACAAAGATACATTCATGACTTGTTACATGACTATTACCTTCATATTGTATTTCATGGTCTTGTGTTGTCATAGTTATCTAAGATATGTGGCATTGATGTTATTTGCATCTGATGGAAATGCTCATACCATCCTGACATATGGACTTCAGTGAGAAAAATCTGAGTGAATTATTCTGATTTTGAGTTGTATTAAATGTTTGCTGTAAATTCAATTCCTCTGCACAGTGCATTACATATGTGTTAGGTTTCCTGTCCTTATATGATATGTGTAGGGTATACTCCACCTTTCTACATAGATACTTTTGTTGGTTCCCAGAAAATAAAGGCTGTTGAGGATTCTATAGCAGGATACCTGGACATCATCCACTGGAGCAAGAGAGACAAACAACTGTCACAGTTTATATTTCAGGGAGTTCATTTTTAACAGAAAAATAGAAACTGCTAACAAATGGAAAATGTCAGATGTCCAAAATAAATTTTATTCTGTTTCATTGTGTTGAAAGGATTAATGATGGTAATTTAGAGGAAAAATTACCATCAATTAAGCCTTTCATCACAATGAAACAGAATCAATTTCATGTTGTATATTTGTTTGAGTCTTCACAAAGAAAGACTTTGAAAATATTAACTAGCAGGATTTAAACCTTGATGCCTCAAACAAACATGATATACTCACATATGAGGTCTTCTCCAAACATGTTCTGTCCGATGTGTTCAAATAGGGAGGAGAGGACAGGCAGCAGGGCGAAGGTGGTGTAGTTGATGATCTGAGTGACACCTCGCGGCTGCTCTCTGCTGTGGGTGAACTGACCGAGCTTCAGGTTCTCCTGTGTCTTCTCCAGGTCCTCTGCTGCACTCTCAAAGTATGATCGCAGAGCAGCCTTCACTGACTCCAGACCAGTCTTCATCACTGTCCTAATATATAGGGAGAGTTAGGTTTTTCATCCTTATCATTCCACCAACTGATAGAGACAACACGATCATTTTACTGTTGTGGTAACCACCACTGAAACATGACACACTCTTAAATAATTACATTACATCACCGGAGAACTCTCCTCCTTGAACCGTCACCTTACCGTGGTGGAGGAGTTTGAGAGCCCTAATGACCCTAGGAGCTATGTTGTCGGGGGCATTTTGCCCCTGGTAGGGTCTCCCAAGGCAGATTGGTCCTAGGTGAAGGGCCAGACGAAGAACGGTTCAGAAGATCCTAATGATGAATAATATCAAGAACCCGAGTGCCCGGCCCGGAGGGACACCGGGGCCCCGCCCTGGAGCCAGGCCTGGGGTTGGGGCCCGTGGACGAGCGCCTGGTGGCCGGGATTTGACCCATGGGGCCCGGCCGGGCCCAGCCCGAACCGGCTACATGGGTTCGTCTCCCAGTGGGCTCACCACCTGCAGGAAGAGTCAGCGGGATCTGGTGCATTGTGGATTGGGCAGCAGACCAAGGCGGGGGCCTTGGCGGTCCAATCCTCGGTTACGGAAACTGGTTTTTGGAACATGGAACGTCACCTCTCTGGCGGGGAAGGAGTGGGAGCTTGTGGAAGAGGTCAAGTGATACCGGCTAGATATAGTCGGCCTCACCTCGACACATAGCGTCGGCTCCGAAACCCAAGTCCTTGAGAGGGGCTGGTCTCTCCTCTTTGCTGGAGTTGCTCCGGGTGAGAGGCGGAGGGCCGGGGTGGGCTTTTTGGTGTCCCCCAGACTCTCTGCCTGTATGTTGGAGTTTACCCCGGTGGACGAAAGGGTNGTGATACCGGCTAGATATAGTCGGCCTCACCTCGACACATAGCGTCGGCTCCGAAACCCAAGTCCTTGAGAGGGGCTGGTCTCTCCTCTTTGCTGGAGTTGCTCCGGGTGAGAGGCGGAGGGCCGGGGTGGGCTTTTTGGTGTCCCCCAGACTCTCTGCCTGTATGTTGGAGTTTACCCCGGTGGACGAAAGGGTTGCGTCCCTGCGCCTTCGGGTCGGGGATCGGGTTCTGACTGTTGTCGGTGCTTATGCGCCGAACAGCAGTTCAGACTACCCGCCCTTTTTGGAGTCCTTGGGACGGGTGCTGGAAAGTGCCCCGAAAGGGGACTCCATTGTCCTACTGGGAGACTTCAACGCTCACGTGGGCAATGACAGCGTGACCTGGAAGGGTGTGGTGGGGAGGAACGGCCTGCCCGATCTGAACCCGAGCGGCGTTCAGTTATTGGACTTCTGTGCTAGTCACAGCTTGGCCATAACTAACACCATGTTCAAACATAAGGATGTCCACAGGTGCACTTGGCACCAGGACACCCTAGGTCGCCGGTCTATGATCGACTTTGTAGTCGTATCATCAGACCTGCGGCCGCATGTTTTGGACACTCGGGTGAAGAGAGGAGCAGAGTTGTCAACCGACCACCACCTGGTGATGAGTTGGATCAGATGGCGGGGGAAGACGCCGCGCAGACCTGGCAGGCCCAAACGGGTTGTGAGGGTCTGCTGGGAAAACCTGGCGGAAGAACCCGTCAAGATGATTTTCAACGCACACCTCCGGCAGAGTTTCGACCGCGTCCCGAGGGCAGTGGGGGACATTGAGTCCGAATGGGCCTTGTTCCGCTCTGCTATTGTTGAGGCGGCTGTTGCAAGCTGCGGCCGCAAGGTAGCTGGGGCCAGTCGTGGCGGTAACCCCCGTACCCGCTGGTGGACACCGGCGGTGGGGGAAGCCGTCAGGCTGAAGAAGGAGGCCTACAGGGCGTGGTTGGCCTGTGGGTCTCAGGAATCAGCTGACTGGTACCGGCGGGCCAAGCGGAGTGCAGCCGCGGCAGTTGCTGAGGCAAAAACTCGGACGTGGGAGGAGTTCGGTGAGACAATGGAGGAAGACTATCGATCGGCTCCAAAAAGGTTCTGGCAAACCGTCCGGCGCCTCAGGGGGGGAAGGCGGCAACTCGCTCACACTGTTTACAGTGGGGGCGGGGAGCTGCTGACGTCAACTGAGGATATAGTAGGACGGTGGAAGGAATACTTTGAGGAGCTCCTCAATCCCACCAACACGTATTCCGTAGAGGAAACAGAGCCAAGAGACCTGGGGATGGATGATCTAATCTCCGGGGCAGAAGTCGCCGACGTAGTGAAACAACTGCGCGGTGGCAGAGCCCCGGGGGTTGATGAGATCCGCCCTGGGTATCTCAAGGCTCTGGATGTTGTAGGGCTGTCTTGGTTGACACGCCTCTGCAACATTGCGTGGACATCGGGGGCAGTGCCTTTGGAGTGGCAAACCGGGGTGGTGGTCCCCATCTTTAAGAAGGGTGACCAGAGGGTGTGTTCCAACTACCGTGGAATTACACTCCTCAGCCTCCCTGGTAAGGTCTATGCCAGGGTACTGGAAAAGAGGGTCCGATCGATAGTTGAACCTCAGATCGAGGAGGAGCAATGTGGTTTTCGTCCTGGGCGTGGAACTGTGGACCAGCTCTTTACCCTCGCTAGGGTGCTGGAGGGAGCATGGGAGTTTGCCAATCCAGTCCACATGTGTTTTGTGGATTTGGAGAAGGCTTACGACCGTGTTCCCAGGGGCTCCCTGTGGGGGGCACTCCGGGAGTATGGGGTGGATGGCCCCTTGTTAGTGGCCATTAAATCCCTGTACCAAAGGAGTGTGAGTCTGGTTCGCGTAGCCGGCAGTAAGTCGGACCTGTTCCCGGTGAGGGTTGGACTCCGCCAGGGCTGCCCTTTGTCACCGGTTCTGTTCATAACTTTTATGGACAGAATTTCTAGGCGCAGCCGGGTGGTGGACGGGTTTGGTTTCGGTGGCGGGAGGATCTCGTCTCTGCTTTTTGCGGATGATGTGGTCCTCCTAGCTTCATCGAGCGCCGACCTTCAGCTCTCGCTTGGGCGGTTCGCGACCGAGTGTGAAACGGCTGGGATGAAGATCAGCACCTCCAAGTCTGAGGCCATGGTTCTCAGCCGGAAACGGGTGGATTGCCCGCTCCAGGTCGAGGGGGAGGCTTGCCTCAGGTGGAGGAGTTTAAGTATCTCGGGATCTTGTTCACGAGTGAGGGTAGAATGGAGCGGGAGATCGACAGGCAGATTGGGGCAGCGTCAGCAGTGATGCGGGCGCTGAATCGGTCCGTTGTGGGGAAAAGGGAGCTAAGCCAGAAGCTCTCAATTTTCCGGTCGATCTACGTTCCAATCCTCACCTATGGTCATGAGCTTTGGGTAATGAGCGAAAGAACGAGATCGCGAATACAAGCAGCCGAAATGAGTTTCCTCCGCAGGGTGGCCGGGCTCAGCCTTAGAGATAGGGTGAGGAGCTCGGTCATCTGGGAGGGACTCGGAGTAGAGCCGCTGCTCCTCCATGTCGAGAGGAGCCAGTTGAGGTGGTTCGGGCATCTGGTGAGGATGCCTCCTGGACGCCTCCCCGGGGAGGTGTTTCGGGCATGTCCCACCGGGAGGAGGCCTCGAGGCCGACCAAGGACACGCTGGAGGGATTATATCTCGCAGCTGGCCTTGGAACGCCTCGGGATTCTCCCGGAGGAACTGGTGGAAGTGGCTGGGGAGAGGGCCGTCTGGACCTCTTTGCTGAGGCTGCTGCCCCCGCGACCCAGATCCAGATAAGCGGGAGACGGCGAGAACGAGAATGAGAACGAGAACACCGGAGAACTGATTGATGATTTAAAGGCTCAAGTTCACAGAAGCAGTGTGAAGCAAGTTTTTAGCAGTATTCATATTATGTGTCCTTCAACACAGGCCTGGACAGAAAAAGGTATAACTTAAGCATCATCCCTGCTGTGATGATGAGGGGCGCGCACACACGCACACATGCACACACGCACACACACACACGGTTAATGTCTTCCCTTACCTGGCATCCAGGCTTTGTCCCAGTATCTGCAGACAGTTGACTATGGATGTGGCATTGTTACCTGGAAAGTAGAGAGGATCATGATAAACAGACTGGTTTGAGTCTGAGGTTCAATTCTCTTAGGAATGTGAAGTGTCACACACTAAGACACACAAACAAACACAACAACAGCCTCTACCTGCTGGAATCAACTGGAACTGTCTGAAAACAGAATCTGAAGAATCATATCCGTCATGTTTGTGTTTTAGTAAAAAGCACAGAAGAGTATCATTTTCAAAGAAAAATGATGTTCCATTAAAAAAATGAAAACTGATATATGCATGAGTAAAGGCAAACTATACAAACTATCTACTGTATATATTACAAACGTATCAACTCCAAGCCTTTTAATATGTCTGAAGAGATGGAAATGTTAAAAATATGAAATATCACCAAAGTTAATATTTTCATAGCCTAATAAACACCAATAATAAATATGAATATGTAACTTTTTATTAGTCAAAACATATGTCTTTGTTTCCAGTCATATGAAGGTTTAATCTGCAGAACCTCTTTTTACTTTGAGGAGTATAACTTGGTGTAAAACTCTCAGCATTTTTTGAACTCCCTCGTCCCTCAGTAATATCCGAGCTCATCACCAAGTCCAAGCCTTCTACATGTCAACTGGATCCCCTCCCCACAGTCCTGGTCAGATCCTGCCTCCCCTCTCTGCTCCCCCTCATCTCAGCTATTATCCACTCCTCACTGTCCTCTGGAATTGTTCCCACTCTCTTCAAATCTGCAGCCGTCAGCCACATCCTGAGGAAGTCTGGTTCAGATTCTAATAACTTCAATAACCTCCGCCCCATTTCTCACCCTCCTTTCATCTCCAAAATTTTAGAGAAAACTGTTGCTTCTCAGCTCTACACCCATCTCACCCAAAACAGCCTATATGAACAATTGCAGTCCGGTTTCCGTCCCCGCCACAGCACAGAGACAGCCCTGATTAAGATCACAGATGACCTCCTCATGGCATCTGATTCCGGTTTGATTTCCATCCTCATCCTCCTTGATCTGAGTGCGGCCTTCGACACCGTTTCTCACCCCATCCCCCTCAGTAGACTTTCCTCCATTGGCATCTCTCACACCCCCCTTCTCTGGTTCCACTCTTACCTCACTGGCCGCACTCAGTTCATTCATCTCAAGTCCTTTACCTCAAAGCCCTCCCCCGTTACTTCAGGTGTGCCCCAGGGCTCCGTCCTGGGGCCTCTCCTCTTCATCATATACCTCCTCCCCCTCGGCAATATTTTCTGTAAATATGGTATCCACTTTCACCGCTTCGCGGATGACACCCAGCTCTATCTTTCCAGTAAACCGAACTCCACTCTCCCTCCCTCCTCCCTCACCCACTGCCTTTCTGAAATCAAATCCTGGTTCACCGCAAACTTCCTCAAATTAAACAGTGATAAAACTGAACTTCTTATTATCAGCACCAAATCCTCCCTATCCAAAGCTGACAGTTTTTCCCTCACCATAGACAGCTCCACAGTGTCCCCCTCCCCACAGGTTAAGAGTCTGGGTGTCATCCTCGACAGCTCACTTTCTTTCCACTCCCACATTAATAACATCACTCGGTCTGCATATTTCCATCTACGCAACATTAATCGTCTCCGCCCCTCTCTCACCCCTCACACCACTGCCATTCTAGTTCACACCCTCGTCACCTCGTGTATTGATTATTGTAATTCACTCCTCTTCGGTGTCCCCCACAAATCCCTCCATAAGCTCCAACTGGTCCAAAACTCTGCAGCCCGTATCATCCCCCGAACCCCCTCCTTTCACCACATCACCCCTGTCCTCCAGCAGCTCCACTGGCTCCCAGTCAAATTCCGTATCACGTTCAAAATCATTCTCTATACTTTCAAAGCCATCCATAACCTCGCCCCCGCCTATCTAGCTGATCTGCTCCGCATTACCACCCCCTCTCGTTCCCTCCGGTCTTCCTCCTCCCTTCACCTCTTTATGCCATCCGCCCGCCTCAGCACCATGGGGAGCAGAGCTTTCAGCCGCTCTGCTCCCCAACTCTGGAACTCTCTCCCACCAGACATCCGTAACATTGTTTCTTTACCCCAGTTCAAATCAAGACTCAAAACTCATCCATTTCAGTCTGCTTATTCGCTATAATTTCATTGTTTTCTTTTTAACTGTCTGTTGTTTTTATTATTTTTATTGTGTTTTTAATCTTCTGTAAAGTGTCCTTGAGTGCTGTGAAAGGCGCTGCCAAATAAAATGTATTATTATTATTATTATTATTATTATTATATGGTCCAGCAAACGACACAACACACACAGCTAATGAGCAGAGGATGGTAAATATCATGCACGCATGCACACACACCCATGCACACATGGAACACACACTGTTACTTTTGATCACATAATGTAATTGAAAATCAATAATAATTCTAAAAGATGATTTCTTTTATAATGTATCTAAATTTGTTGTCAATAACAATAATTAACAAATAGATGACAGTGGGGTATGTCATTGGATGATAGAGAACTTCCAGTGTGGAAACCCTCACTAGGCCTCCCTTTGACCCAATTGAACATGAAAATGTTGCTTTTCTCTTGACTTTGGCAAAAGCCAAACATATAGGCTTTATCCTGAATTTCTCTCAAATGTGGTCAATCTATGCCCACCAGTGGACCCTGCAGTGTTCTGTGGGGAAGCAGCAGCTGCATATGGTGAGCCCCAGTTTGCACTTTGCATTCACTTGGGCAGAGAAGTACAAATGCAGGAAACTATGATGATTTTTGATCAAATTTGCGGAAGAATTGGTGTGATTGCGCAGAATTCACGGGGATTGGTTGAATTTGCATTAATTATAACGATCACGACATTGGGACTTTCTGGAGGGACTGTCTCATTCACACATCTGTATGAGGGGGCTTGGTTGGTCAGCTGTCAAGATAAGCTTATGTGGCAGAATGGGAGATTGCATCTCATCCATTAGAGAACTAAAGTGACATAAGTAACCTGAAGTTTAATATAGACTTTTGTCAATTGACAGATGATCACCTGATACACACATGACATTTCCCAGATCTAAACCACCTGAATGCTACAATAGAGACTGGAAGTGACTGGTCCTTTGTCTACTCTGAGGTTCTCAAAATCATATTTGTGCATGTTAAATAAAAAATCATAATAACACACCCAATTGGATAATCAAAAATCTGTAAAAACCCACCTAAAACATATTTTTGGTCCGCATTAAAATATATTAAGCTGAACCTCTGTGACCCTTACGGTGTGAGTAACAGTCTCATCAGGTTATCCAGCAGCTAGCCAGCTAGTCAATCCCAGATCCCTTTTCCTGCTGTCAAGGCATGACTGTATGAAGAAAACACAATTTTTCAGAAATGTAAAAATGCCGATGACTCATTGGTGTCAAAAAAAAAGTAAGGCAATATCTCGAAAGTTACCTTAACTTTGGTTTTATTGAAGGTCAGGACCGTTTTGGCCATAATGTGTCATTTGTGGTGAGAGGCTAGCTAATGATAGCATGAAGCCAAGCAAAATGAAACGACACCAGAAGACAAAACATCAGGACACTATTGGTGAAAGTCGGGAATTTTTTGAGAGGAAGAAGCAATTGGCACTATTAAAAAGATCCACGGACATCAGAAAAGCTTTTGAAAGAGCAGGCAGTGATTTATACGGAGCCATGGAGGCATCATTTGAGTGTTCGCTATTAATTGCCACGTTTTCCCTTCAGACCAGTAACAGTTCTATTTTATTTGTGAGACAAATATTGTGTGTAGCATAGGCAGGACCCCTTTGTTGGCATGTCATGAACCCACTCATACTGCAATGATCTAACACTCAGCACTTGCTTATTAAACCAAGCCTTTATGTCTTATCAAACAAAAAGCATTGTACATAAACCATCCTTACCAAAAGAGGATATCCTATGTCTGACAAGAACTCCCAGTTTGCAGAAAAGACTAAAAAGATTGAAGGAAAGGAGAGAGGAGGTAGAGAGGGAAACAGAAAAATAGATGAAAGGTGAGAGATAATCAAATGACAGAGACCCAGGGGAAAACAGAGAGTGTAGGAGACATATAAAGGCACATAGCCTGATGTCAAGCTGCTGAGACTTCCGACAGATGCAATTCTAACATACATCTTAGTCATTTACAACGATATGAAAAAAAATGCTACTGGCATTGTTGGCTTTCTCTCTGTCTTCTGTTGTATCATTTGCTGCACTCACCTGGTCACCATCTCTTTCTCCTTGTTGGAGGCGTGGCCACCACTGCTAATTGGATGGATGGCTGTGGACAGGAAGTAGAGCCTATGGTTTTTAAAGTACTGATCCACCAATGGCAAGACAACCTGTGGGTTAAATAGCATAAAGACACAATGTAATCACCTCTCAGATGTCATATTATTTATCAGTTTATAAGTAGTAATTAGAATGATTTGCAGTTTTGGTAACCCCCTTTGAGTTTACTTAAAAAAAACGAAGGTCAGACGTCAGAAGTTCTGACCTTTCCAAAGAACTTCATCTGCTGTTCATGAGGAACCTTGTCTCCCTTCTGTCTCGTTCCCTGGTCTAAATGACAGGAAGGCAGAACAGAATCAAGGATGATAACATCTGGATAGGTTTATCTGGTGATATTCACATCTGCACATTGTCTCAGTTGCAAAGAGGGAACCACAGCTTGCAACTCAAAGTAAACAATTTCTTTTCTCCTTTCTCTCTGTCTCTCTGGAGTACCTGGGCACATCTCTGTCATGAATATGGATGATGGCAGAATGGCATGAGCTTACAAACACAGATAGTATCTGCAGCTGCTATAAATAGAGAAAACCTTGTCTGTTTCTTCTGAACTTGTCAGCAGTAATGCTGCCTGTTGCATCAGAGGCATTAACCAGTTTTGAATACATGCTGTTTCCACAGAGAATAGTAGTGGTCACTGTGTGACATGTATTGTGCATGTTACCACAACAATCTTGTCTAAAAACAACTGTTCGTAGGGGAACCCTGTAACAATTACATTATATTCATTTCTGAACTGTCATCTGCCTTTCATTCATTCGACAGCAGAGTCTCACCAAACTCCATCATGTGTTGGTGGGCCTGGTCTACGTATGTGATGAGCTGCTGGAGGAAAGTGTAGGCGAATCGTTTCTCTATAGCTGGAGTGTCCAGCTCCTGTGACTTCACACCTCTGCAAACAACAAACACAATCTCAAAGGAATTATCTGACATTTGGGATAACACACACTGTGCATCCATTACAGAGATAGGTCTGGGATGTGTTTAGCCTAGCTTAGGAGTATTGCAGGCTGGATGTCAGGCCCTGCCTTTCCCCCCTGCCTTGCAGTAACCCCAGCTTTTTGGTTCTCCTGCTTGCCTGTTGTTGACCACTGCCCCACAACCTAACATCAGTAACCCCAGCCTTTTGGTTCTCCTGCCTGCCTGTTGCCGACCACTGCCCCACAACCTAACATCACCTCCTGTTTATCCTCACTTGCTTTTGTTCGTTGAACCTGAATAAAGGTGAACTGTTTTGAACCTTTACTGATGTCTGACTTGTGTTTGAGTTGTGACACTGGGAGTAGGAGGAAACATCTACCTTAGCTCTGTCCAAAGTGAACTCACCTTCCAACACCTGTGAAATTGTATTGTTTAAAACTTGAATAATTTTATTGAACATGTTTAAATATAATAATGTACTACTATTATATAAAATAATTAGATAACATAATATAATCAACAGCTGAGTGCACTGACAGTATACAGCATCTCAAAAGTCTTGCATATTGCTGTCATTATACCATGATACAATATATTATTTTTATTTGCCTGTATCTACTGTAGATGATCATTTCCCTCTTTTTACTCTCTATGTGGCATGTTAAGATAAACACATCCCAGTACCTTTGTACTGGACACAAAGAAACTGACACTGTTGTTATTTGACTTTGGGTCAGACACTTTGGCAGAAATCATGTTTCCTCACATCTCAGAAATTTCTTTTTGGTTGGTCCAGACAAATACACTACAGATACACACTGCTATGCACTCATTTTTGAAATTAGTCAATCAATTAGTCATACAAAATGAACTTGTCCTTAACTTGAAGTCTTCGTGTAGAGTGGTTGCCTGTTTCTCACCTGGACACAGTGTAACCGTTGATCTGGAGGAACTTGAGAATCTCCTGTGCTTTCTCTCTGTCTCTGGATTTCTCTTTGGCAGTCAGTGTGTCATAAGGAACCAGAAGGGGATGGTTTCCTCCACCTGTAGACAACAGCAGCACAGCAGGGTGGAGGACAAAGTAGGTTAGTACAAAGAGAACGCTTGTTTTCTGCTTTAAGTGTGTGAAGCTACAGGACTTTTCTTGTTTTGTTATATATTTTCATATCCTAGTTCAGATGAATTGTGAAGTATTTCATCATGGTTTCCACACTTACACTGTTAACATTCAGACTATGATGTCCACATCAGCTGGTGGTGTTGGCAGCAAAATAAAAACACTGTGGATGTCTTGTGTGAGAATTACCTTTGGCTTCCAGCTCCATTTTCTTTTTCCTCGCCCAGACATTATGATAATTCTCTGCGAGCAGCTCTGCCATAGACTGGACAAACACAATATGAAACATATGTGACTCTGTTACACTGCACAGATCCATTCATCTCATCCCCAGTACCCTCTAGTTTTATATCAATGTTCTTGCTACAATAGCCCAGATTAAGTTGCTGTCTTATTTGATCATATACTGTGTGTTGCTTTACACTTCTTTGTGTACAGTCAGTAACCTACCTGCATGTCTCTGGACAGTGTAACATTGCTCATATCAATGGGTCTCGGGCTGAAAGCTGGAGCGCCTTCAAAAGACAGCTGTGGAACAAATGACACACTCCATATCACTGTATGCCACTGTTTTTTTCTGTATGAATGCTTTTTAAAGCAAAATTCATATTTAATTTGTATTTGTGTGTTTGTGTAGTTGTGTGTATGTTGCTTCATATATGTCACTGTTTATGTGTGTGCATGTGTACCTGGCTAGCCTGTGATATCCTCCTGGACTTGTTGTGGAGGCTGGCGGGGTCTCCCTCTCTGATCCTTTCGATGCTCCAGCCCCACGACTGCATGGTCTTCAGAGACTCTCTGACTGACCAGCAGTACGACTCCTTATCCTACAGGAATACAACCCAGCTTCAATATACTATTATAGAGTGTCCAGTGCTGAAAGTGGAGAATAAAACATTATCCTCTCTTTTTAAAAGATCTCTTCCTAGGATTTTTCAGTGGCATACAGCTGCTTGTTCTGAATTAAGACAGCCAATCTACGTCTACACAGTATCTGAAGAAATAAAACATTTAAACACACACTGTTCTTCCATCAAAGATAGATTTAAGTTTGTTAAGAGTTTGGTCTCTTGCCACCAATATCAAAATTAAATCAAACTACAACCGTTTAGGCATGGGTACCAAAACCCGGTAATAAACGGGTACCAGGGCAACATTTTTAAGGGCCATAGTATCAATAAGCGTAAGAGTGATCTCTCTCTTTCTTTCTCTCTCTCTCTCTCTGACCCTTTGTGTGGCAGAGGCAGCTCTGTCTTACATGCTGTAGCACTGTGCGACACACACACACACACACACACACACACACACACACACACACACACACACACACACACACACACACACACACACACACACACACACACAAAGAGACCCTGCAATTAGCGACAATGGCAGATAGGACTACTCAAAAATGTGGTGGGTGTCTTTTTCATGTAAGGGTGGAAACAGCTCACACGGAGTTAATTAACTGCATTACATGAACATGGGTTAATGATAAAAAGTAAAAAATTAGCCAGCTGAATGTTATGAGTGTGTTCTTAAATCCAATCTGAAATGGACAGAACACCATCTGAATTGTTCAGAAATGATTAGTGATGTGGGGACTGCCGGTAAACTAGCTACTGCACAGTAAAAATACTGTCAAAAAGTCCTGTAGTAAATCATTGTGTTTTACATTTCCATCATTACAAAATCAGTCTATAATAGTGATCTGTTCAAAACAATGCTGTTGAAGTTTGCAACTCAAGTATGTTAACTGAGTTCATCTGATATAAAACAAAGTTAATTCTTTTCTTAATTGTTGTTTTTTCTCTTACAAAAAGACACTGGGTCGATAAGTGTTATCGATAAAAGCATTAGTACCATTAAAATCTGAACAATACCCATCCCCACAACCATGACAGCCAACTGCTTGGGCCACCAGTTTCCTACTTCTGACTTGGCTAGGTCACCCTAATGTTGGGTAACTCCCAGATTTATGACAGGCAATGATGAATCATACAACAGAATCAGAATTCCATGAGCAGACACTGGCCCAAAGCTGGCAACCACAGAACCAGAATCAATTCAATCAATCACTTCAAAGTGTCAATTTGAAATTTTGGAACATGAGAACATGTAACAACATGAGGCCAGTTGGTGTGACTTGTGTTGACTTCAGAGACACTTGAACAAGTTTTGTTGCCTGAGGTGAACAAACTCAGACAGCTGAATGCAGACTACCTTTTCAGAGAGGCCTTTGTATGGTTTCAGTAAAGGGTGGCTCTTGCTGATTTCACATATCTGTTCCCCATATGACCAGCCATTGGAAAACTGTACAATATACATAAGAAATATTTCAAAATTCAAACATTTTCTTACATAACATATCCGCTGAGACATCATTAAAACAAATCAGTAACAGGACTACAACAATTTCATGTTCGACTTGTCACCTGTTGCTTCCTTACCTTCTCTATACACCACTTTTCATGGTTGTGTTCTGCATATCTGGTTATGAAATAGTCCAGTTTCTCTGGGACAGTCACACTGATGAAGGCAGAAAAGAAAAACCACATTCAAACATGCAGGGTTTTTTTGGACAAAGGAGGATGTTGTATATTAGAAGTTATTTAACAAAGAAGAAATAAATATGTTGTATACTTGGTGGTGTCTGCAGGTTGTGGAGTGAAGTTTCCCTCTGAGTCCATGGATGACTGTTTCTCCATCATGGCCATGTAGTTAGACTCCATGTAGTCTGGAGGAAGAGCTCCCGCCACAGCACTGAGACATGGCAATGCCAGCTTAAACAGCTCCTGGTCATACCGCTACATCATGAAGACACACACAGATCACACTGCTTTACACATCATCACACAGCACTGTTACGCTTCCGCTGCAAATTCCCCCTCTCTGCTTCCACTGTCACATGTTTCTCTCCGGCCTGAGGTATCTGTGTGTTCACTGAATCATGGCTGAAGCAGGATCATTTAATTCAACCACACACAAACCTGACCTGAAGCTGTCTTAACCTTGAAAACCTCAAAATCTACAGTAATAAATAACAGTCATGACATGGTAATGTTTTCTTGGATGACAACTGTTGAGCAGCACGTTTTACTACTCAGGCCCCGATTTTTAGCATGGGTCACTTGCACACCCACGGACAGTAGAACGAACCTGGTTACATACTTTGTTTTACATTACTGCATGTCCAGTTACAGAATGCAGCTAACAAACATTCGAAAAGGTCATATCCCATATTACAACCACAACTACTATAATTATGTTATAAGTAATAATGGAATGCTCAGAGGTAATCTTATGAACATAATTGTATTCAGGGTAAGCATTTGTACATTTTCATAGCATTTAAATTTCAGTTTGTGAATTTATTTGACATGAATTTCATTGATTATTTAAAGGGAAAATCCACCAACGTTACAGATAAGGGTCTGTTTACATGTAATGGTTAGTACAACTCAGTTTGTGAAAACTATGTCTTCTGGGTCCCTGGGGGAGCTTCATCAAGTCTGAGAAAAAAATCCTGATCCTGATGATTTCAGAGCAATGTCATCAAGGTTATCTCAGTTTGGGCTTGGAGATTAAAAGATTATAATAGAAATAATAGAGCAGCTACCTCACAGCGAAAGTTGAACAAAGAGATGCCATTAGTTGCATTGTGGGGAAAAAATGCTAGGAGATGGAGATATAAGCCTTTTCTACAATCGATCCTCATGGGAAATGTCAACTCCCTGGCTAACAAGTGTGATGAACTGGAGGCACTTGTGAAGAACCAGCGAGCATATCGTGAAAGTAGTCTCATGTGTTTCACGGAGACCTGGTTAAACAACAACACTCCCAACCGTTGTATGGATTTACCCGGCTTCACTGCAGTATGAGAGGACAGAGACGCCAGAGCAAGTGGGAAGAATAAAGGTGGAGGACTGGTTCTGCTTGTGAACAATAGATGGTGCAACCCCAGTCACATCACAGTGAAGGAGAAGTTACTGGGATACTGAACTGTTGGCAGTTGGTCTTAGACCGCGCAATGTACTGAGGGAGTTGGAGTTCTCTCACATCGTCACCATTGTTGTTTACATTCAACCAGAAGCAGAGCCTGCAGTCGCGTCTGACGCCATTCACGATACTGTTGCAAGAGTATAGACCCAGCACCCTGATGCATTCATTACAATATTGGGGGATTTTAACCATGTCACTCTCACCTCTCACCTGACTGGCTTAACTCACTATGTTGAGTGTCCCACAAGGGAAACTAAGACACTTGATCTGTTGTATGCAAATGTCAAGGAGGCCTTCACTGCTTCAGTTCTACCACCACTTGACAGATCAGATCATAATCTGGTTTTTCTTCAGCCTTCCTCCAAGTCCTGTGTACTGAGGCAGGCTGCAACCATCTGCTCATTCAGGAACTGGACCCCGGAGGCCAGTGAGTCTCTAAAAGACTGTTTTGAGTGCATAGATTGGAATGTCCTGTTGGAGTCGCAGGGAAAACAGCAAGGACCCTGACCTTGATAGAATGGTTGATTGTACCACAGAATACATTAACTTCTGTATGGACACTGTAATACCAGCAAGGACTGTACACTGCTTTCCAAACAACAAACCCTGGATCACCAGTAACATCAAGACCCTCCTCGACCAGAAAAAGAAGCCTTCGGGGATGGAGACAGGGAGAAGCTCAGGCGTGTGCAACATGAGCTGAAGAGGAGATTAAAGCAGGCGAAGGAGGATTACAAAAAGGAAGTAGAGAGGAAGCTGCAGCACAGCAACACCAGCGAGGTGTGGAAGGGGATGACGACCATCACTGGCTATAAAGAGAAGAACAGCCAGGCAACATCAGGTGATGTGGACAAGGCCAATGAGTTCAACCTGTTCTACAACAGGTTTGACACAGCGTCATCTGTTCTCTCTCCCACTGCTTCAGCTGCAGCTTCTCCTACGACATCTCCTCTACAACCTGACACTGCAGCTGCAACAGGAGACTTGACACTGGAGTCAAGTCTCCTGTCCTTTACAGTGGAGGAGGTGAGGGTGGAGCTCCAGAGGCTACGTCTTGGAAAAGCAACAGGCCACACAGATGATGTGTGTCTGAGGCTGTTAAAGGACTGTGCAGCCCAGCTGGCTGAGCCAGCTGAGGATCTTCAACTTAAGTCTACAAACAGGGAGGGTCCCGGTCCTGTGGAAAACATCATGTCTTGTTCCGGTACCTAAAGTAGGGCGACCGGCTGAGATAAATGACTACAGACCGGTGGCCAGTTCTAGTAAATTCTCACAAAAATATACTATGCATTATAAATATACTGAATGTCAAACTTATATATCCAATGAAATATTATATATATATATATTTATTTATTTATTTATTTATTTTTTAATGTGTCTTAAGTCTAATATATGTGGTATGTCTCATCATGGAGCGGAAAGAGTGAATGAGTTTTATCACTGGGCATCCTGGGGAAGGGAAGGTCTGCACGGGCATGGGACTGATTAGAGCTTGCATGCATTGCTAAGGGGCCTACGGGATGGCAAGAGAGTTATTGCATGTGCCACTGAGGGACAGCAGCACTGCCCAGAAAGTGTATATAGTGCATATTAATACTGCTAAGGATAGATAAAATAGTAACTGTGTAGATAATAAAACAGTGTTTACAGTGATTTAAATTGTATTTGTTGTTAAACTGTTCATATCCTAAGGGAGACCAATACGGATGAATGAGGGAGATAGTGATAGTGAAGATAAGGTGTCTTTTTAGAACATTATGAAAATAAAGGAGATATAAAGATACAGGGAATAAAGACACATTTCTGGTTGGAGCGGAGACGATGAGGGCTTGGAGCAGTGGCAAGTGCAAAGGGAGTTTCCTGAAGTGCAGGGGGAGGAGGTGATAAGCAGGTGGTAAACCGTAGTGACTGTTGTCACAAGTGCTAGAGCAGCTGTAAGGCAATCAGGGTAGTAGACACTATCTCTCTAAGTCAAGTGCTGGGAGTGTCAGAGGGAGTTGGCAGGCAGAACAGGGTAGCAGTGAATGACAGCTGTGTATCACTGTCATTTCCAGGAGAGTGAAATGGGATGCAAGCAGATTCTAATACATTGTTAAAACCCAAGGAGGCAGGACAGAGAGAATTTATATAATATGATAATAATAATAGTTCATTTGTATAGCACTTTTCAATACAAATAACAAAATGCATCACATGAATCAAATACAAACATCAAAAACAAATCAAAGTGAAATGCAAATTAAATTATAAGACAGACAATAAAAGCATTTTTTTTTATAAAAGTGTGTCTTAAGAAGTGAGATAAAACGGGAAACTGGCAAATTTAACCCTATAAGGGGAATAAAATAAGCCTGGCAGTACTGCTGATAAATACTTTTGTTAAACAGGATAAAAGAGTCCAACGAAGCTCCAGAAATCCCCAGATTACTATCAAGCAGTCGAAGATAAGGATATATGGGGGCTAAACTGATTAAAGGAGGTGTGTCAGCACCAGAGGATTTGGTGATAAACCAACAACCAGAACATGAGAAACAGATCCAATTGTGTATGGAAAAAGTGGCATAAACACACTTCAGGAAAATTACAGTGGCCAAAAGAAGGCACCTTCAGAGGAGCCTGCTGTGATGAAGTGGAAGCAAACATAAAGCAAAAGATACAAGCAGTAAAAGAGAATGCAACCAAGCCACAGAGAGACATGTGCTGCAGTGGTTTAAACTGGAAAGTTAGAGACACACACCCACCTATGGCATGCAGTCGAGGACACAATTGAGAGATGAAGAGAAACAGGAGGAGAAGAGTGAGAAAGAAAAAATGAAAAAACAAGAACAGCAGCCTACTGCCCCACTGTGGCCTGGCAGACCACCACCATATTCTCCCAACAGAAAGCCTGGATTAGGACTATTCCCAGTGACAAGATTAACAAATGGAAAAGAGAAACAGAAAATAAAAGGCGAGCTGCTGCGGAAGTTCACAGTGACATGGAATGAACAAGCAAGTGACAGAGGGAAAATAAAGACATGTTTGAATAAAGGCAAAGAAAGAAATAGTGAAGGCCCACTACTTGTGGCAAAGGGACATGAATCACATGAACTCGGCACAATGGTGAATGCAGGATTACGAATACAGGAGGGGATTACATTGAAGTAGATTCACATCTCACCAGGACAACCACATATCAGAATATCATTAAGAGCATGTGATGAGGGGGTGGCAGAAAGCTTCCTAGTTAATGATGCCACTGACACTGATGCCACTGACACCAGAACAGTTGCCACAAGAAGTGTGGTCAAAACACAAGACTGATGTAGGTAGGATTAAAGTACTGCCACCTATACATATCAAGCTTAAACTAGGAGCTAGGTTGCCATACAGAAAACAATATCCACTGAAGCAGCATGCTATAGAAGGAATCAAGCCCACAATTCAGGGCTTGACGGAGGTGGGGGTTCTGTTAAAAACATTTTTCCAATCAAGAATCCAATCCAATCCAGTTTCATTTATAAAAACAACACTGTTGACCAAAGTGCTGTACAATAACAATAAAATACAAAAAAGACATAAAACACAAGCAAAAAATCTCACATTAAAAGTATACGAAGATATAAAACAACACCAGTTAACCAATAAAAAGGCAACATCTCACACTGTGTCAAGAGCCAAGGAAAAAGGGTGCGTTTTAAGAAGACATTTAAACTGGCAGTGAAGAGGCCTGCCTAATGTGTAAAGGCAACTCGTTCCAGTGTTCTGAAGCCGCAACTGCCCGATCCCCTCTGAGTTTCAACCTAGTTTTCAGGACCACTTAGAGCAGCTGATCAGCGATCACCTGAGAGACTGTGAAGGTACATAAGGTTAAAGCAGGTCAGAGAGATAGGATGGAGCAAGATCATTCAGGGATTTATAGGCAAACAGAAGAATTTTGAAATTAATTCTGAAGCGCACAGGGAGCCAATGGAGGGACGCTAGAATGGGGGAAATGTGCTCTCACAATTAAGAGGTGAGCAGCAGCATTTTGAACCAACTCCTAACGTGAGAGGGAAGCCTGGCTAACCCCAACATAGAGAGCATTGCAGTAGTCCAGATGAGTTGTAATAAAGGCATGTATCACCTTTTCTAAGTCCTAGCTCGAAAGAACAGACTTGACCTTGGATAACTGCCTCAATTGAAAAAAGCTGGATTTTACAACAGAACTGATGTTTTTAGTTTAAAGTTTTACATTTAAAACCACAGTCCATTTTCACACCTAGGTTTATAACTGTGGGTTTTAAATAAGGTGCCAAAGAACCCAGGTTCATAGGGGGGGTATCATGGGTACCACTGGATCCGAACAACATTACTTCAGTTTTCTTATCATTTAAATTCAAAAAACCTTAATGTCATCCACGTTTTGACGTCACTGAGACACTCAGTTTGACATAGTACGCATCTTTCTGCTTCAGGGGTGCATAAATTTGACTGTCATCTGCATAACAGTGGAACGAGATTGCCAGGTTTTCTGAAAATAGGACCAAGGGGGAGCAAATACAGTGTGAAAAGAAGGTGCCCAAGAAGAGGACACAAAATCACCAAGGCTGACACAAAAACGTCTTTCAACCAGGTAGGACTTAAACCAGTCCATTGCTGCACCATTAATTCCCACCCAGTGCTCTAGACTAGAGATAAGAATATTGTGGTCCAAGTCTAAAAGCACAAGGATGACACAGTCACCAGAATCAGTAGCTAAGAGGATGTCATTGAAAACCTTTAAGAGTGCTGATTCAGTACTGTGAAAAGTTTTAAACCCAGACTGGAACACCTCGAGAATATCATGCTGGTCTAAGAATGCCTTTAATTGGGGGAAAACAATTTTCTCCAGGATTTTAGAAAAGACGGGAGCTTGGAAATAGGCCTGAAATTAGAGAGATGAGAGCAGACGAAGCTGCAAAACATGCAGCAGTTGGCACAACTACAGGCCCATTGGGTGCAAATTAAGAAATTAAGTATTTTCTTAAATTCTTTCTTAAGTTGTTCTTAAGAAAACTCGTCAGATTCATGAACGTGTTCTTAAACCCCAGAAATGTGTGCACCCTTTTTAGATTGATGAATGGCAATCCCCCCCTAAATTCAAAGCATGTGCCAGCTGGCCCTAATTAGCATAGGTAAACACCCGAAAATGCCCTTAAAAGGGCATGAGACTGAAAGGTCCTGTGCAGACACAGACAGAAGTCACAAAGAGATACCACAAGGGAAAGTTGAGGAAATGCCAAAATGAAAATCTAAAGATGGAGCACCGGAAAAAACGCAAAAGGAACTTTAGTAGTAATAGAACATATCCCGCCACTAGATGGTCCATTTAGGCACCCAATGATAGATTTTGTGGACATGATCCAGCGAATAGGAAGAATGAGATACATTTTGGTTGTGGATGATAGATTTAGTAGATGGACTGAAGCAACACCAATGACGTGACCAGACTATAAATCGATGGCCAAGTTCTTGTGCAGAGAGGTTTTTCCGATAGATCAGTTCAGACAACGTCCACATTTTATAGCACAAGCAATTAAGATAGCATTAAAGATGCTAGGGCAGAAATAAATAAAGCAGGAGTTTGAGTGTGTATACCATCCTCAGTCACAGGGAGCAGTAGAACAAGCTAATGGCACTTTAAAAGCAAAGTTGGCTAAAATAATGGCAGACAACAATGGTAAACTTAATTGATGGAGGCTTTACCACTTGCACTAATGTCTATGAAATCACAGACTAACACACCTAACACCTCGTAAAATGAGCACAGGGAGAACAATGCCTGTACCATATCTTAGAGGCCTGTATGAGGGACCTCCGCTTGAACAGTTATAAAAAGAGTTAACCAGTTATGTATAGCAGCTAAAAAATCCATAAAGTTATCTTCCAATAGATGAAAGGTACCACGGAGGAGAGGGAAGCTGCCATCCCAGACCAGCAGCAGAGGATACGTCCAGGAGAGTGGGTATACGTTAAGGTGCTCAAAAGAAAGTGGGACCAACCCAGGCATCTTAGCAACACCAACAGCCTTAAAGGTTGAAGGTAAGGAGGTTTAGTAACATCTTAACCACTGCTGCAGACGACCCAGAAAGAACACTCTAAGCCCACAGAAGGAGGGCATATCCTGGACCTGAAAGGGACGGTAAAACCCCCCACAAACAGTTAGACGATCTCAGAGCCCGCAGGGAGAGAAGCAATCCCAGAGATTGGCTGCCAGATGGGCCGGTAACAACACACCAAGTGGTGGATCATTAGCAGCAAGGCAGGGGAGTGGATCAGACACAGAGGATGAACTCACGAGCTCAGCAGGATCAGACTCAGCTGGACTGCAGGAACATGTAGGCAGAGCAGCAGGAGGAAAGACATTATGGAGATTACAAATACTGATTATAGTTTTATTAATATATGGGGTCTTACTACAAAATTATGAAGACTTAAAATCAATCATAAAACAAGGACAGTTGAATAATTATGCATTAGCAAGAAAAGTCACAGGGCCACTAGGTAAACATGATAAAAAACTGACCCTAAGATGACCTAGTACAGCCTACGCACGTTTACTGCATGTCTTTACTAACCAGAGGTCTGATAGAAGTCATCACTTGAAGGCTAAGACAGGACATAGGATGCACCTGTACTGTTTAGAACTCACACTGCACTAAAAAGGTATGGGAGGAAAGGCATAGAGTAACTTTCTCACAGATGCAAATATATTTACAGACTATATGAAGACAAACTTATGTTGCATACTGGTAATCAAGCAATTTCATATTACAAAAAAAAAGTGTACTAATGGAACTTTGTGATTATCTTAATAGATAAGTCATGGCAGAAGGCCCAGGATACAGTTGGGAGAGCAACCAACTACCTCAGGATACGCAGTTCCAGTCCAAGGCTGACCCACTACAGGAACCTATATCCAATTAAATAGCTATACTCACAACTGAGGTAAGATTTGTATGTGAACCAGCCTTTGCTGAATAAAATTTAAAAAAATGGTCTGAAGGGCCCCTGAAGCAATGGTGTTGGAGTAGCAGCTGTAGCAAGGCCCAGGTTGAGGATATATAGGAGCCTTAGGTTGAGGATAGATAGAAGACTTCTGGACACTAGGCACTACTACTATTCTCTGGCATGCCTGGTTTGGGGAAATTCCACGTGGGGCTGGACATCATTGTTCCCATGGCAATGATAGGTTCGCTTTGGAAAATAGGTGGAGAGCCCATCTAAGAAGGAACTACACACGATGGTGCAAAGGCACTCTGTCTTCAGTTCAGACCTGGATCTGATCTCGCTTTAGTTCTTGTGAAAGAATAAATTCTATTGCATTGGACTCTGACCATCTCGAGTGACTTCTTTTTTAATTCTTTTTTGGCTCCAGTAAAGTAGAGCTTTGTTGAAAGTTAAGTGTTGGTGAAGAGGTCTGGACTGGCCCGGACTTTTTTCTCCAACAGGCCCTCATATTACACATCATGAAGACCCTGGAGACATGAACAGAAAGAGACTGGACAAGCTGGTCAAAAATGCTAGGTCTGTGCTTGGCAGGAGTCTGCACTCATTCAGGACTGTTGTGGAGCGATGCATGCAATGTAAGATGGAGGCCATCTTGGACAATACCAACCATCCTCTCCACAACATTCTGGCAGGACAGAGAAGCAGCTACAGGTGCAGCAAACTTCTCATCTCACTGCGCTGCAGAACAGAGAGGTTCAGGAGATCCTTTGTGCGCACTGCCATCAGGCTATACAACACCTCAGCCAAAGGAAATTATTATTGTTTATTTATTATCAACTGATATTATTAGTATCAACAATGAGCTAATGGACATATGAATTTCCCCTAGGGGCTAAATAAAGTATCTATTTATCTATCTCTGAAGAATCCAGTATTTTTGGACTAAAAGTTAGAATACATCAGCCTCTACTGCTCTGATTTTGATACATCTTGTGAGTTCCACAACTAGTTGTTAATACCATTTACACATTCATTTATTTTAGTATATATAAATGATTTGTATTTAGTATTTCATTTGATGTTCTATGAAAAGATAAAGCTCACCTTGTATGACAGAGCATCAAATATTCCCCAAAACAGTTTCCTGGAGAGGTGAAGTTCTTCATCTGATGCAGCTCCAAAGTTGCCCCAGCCTCCAGCCAGGCAGTAATACTTCCAACAACGCTCATAGTGATTGGTCAACAGCTGGGGAAAGTCAAAAGGACATACATCAACCATTTGCCGACTTTAAACAAGCTTTAAACAACCAACAGTAAGTCAGAATGCAATAAAATAAATGTCTCCTACTACCATGACACATGATCACAGTTTCATGTCGGAGTGGAAAATGTTCTGGCTCCAAGCTGAGGTTAAGACCACAGTAAGAAAGTGTACATTGCATATTCTTCTTAATATTAAAGCTAAATTCGAGTCCCTGTTGACTCCTCTGAAAAGCAGAGATTTTACTGATGTGTTTCTCACCTTCAGAGGCATCTTGGTGTGTTCATTAAGCAGAGGAACGTCAAACACCAGCCTCCTCAGGAGATGCTGCATCATTGAGGGTCTCAGCTTTCTGCACATAATTAAGATCACACACAGGTCACACGAGTTGGCGGTTTGCACTGACATGAAATAAGTACTGGACTGTAAGCAGTGTAAAAACACAGGAGACAAAGTGATGAGTGTGACTTCATTAAAATAAACATGATGATCAGAAGAACAGGAAAAACTGCCAAATGACAAAGACATTGTAACAAAACAAAAAGGAACTGCTGACCAAAAAAGCATCAATTATAGGAACATAAATAATTCACATATTCTGATGACACATATACACATATAAAAGTCTCAATTAACACACTCCATTTTAATTCCAGTCTTACCCACAAACAGCCAGCAGACACTCCTCTATGGCGTCCCTCTGGGCCTTGGTGAGACAGCAGCCTTTTGACAGGCGGTAAATGGTGTGGAGGAGGGAGTCAATCAGTGAAGCAAACGGCTCTGTCCCCGCAAACAGTGGTGCACATTTAGTCAGGAGAGGCAGCACAGCCGTACACAGATACCTGTTGAGAGCGAGTGCCATGTCTGTGGCACTGAGAGCAACCTGGCAAAAATACAGAGATGAATAGAGGAAGATGAATGTCTCAGTGTGTGATCAGGTTTTTTCCGGGAAAAATCTGCATTGTAAAAGCAGTAGGATTAAAGAGGAGTAAAGCTGAGTAAGTGTACAAGTCAAAAGTCCTGCTACAAGAGAATTAAACTGATAAACATAGCAAGCCATCCACTACTTGGATCATTCTCAGTGATGCATGAATATTTTCATGTCAATGTACTTTTAGATTTTCTGGTAAATGAGAAATTTTGACTTGGATTGGTTCATTTTGTACATTTGTTATTTTATAACAAATCTTTTACATTTCAGCTTTTGTTAAAATGCCTTCAGAGGGCTGTGTTCCAGTTGGGGTGGTGTAATGTCGAATTTGAATATAGTTGTAGTTGAATTCAACTACAATTACCTCCTCATGGTTGTCTGCCTCCACCACTCAGACTAGTTTCAGGTTAATTCGTGTTTATCCAGAGTCATAAAAATTGTTTTGTGATGTGACACTGATCGTGACTTTTGACCACCAAAGTCTAATTAGTTCATCCTTTACTCCAAGTGAATGTTTGTGCCAAATTTGAAGGGATTCCCTTGAAGAGTTCTTGAGATATCTCGTTCACCAGGCCAAAATCATGTTTTGTGAGGTCACGGTGGACCTTGACCTTTAGCCACCAAAATCGAATGAGACTGTGCTTGAGTCGAGGGGAATGTTTTTACCAAATCTGAAGAAAAATTCCCTCAAGCTGTTATGGAAACAAAATCGCATTTTGTGAGATCACATGACCTTGACCTTTGACCCTTGACCCTCAAAATCGAATCAGTTCATCCTTGAGCTCTAGTGAATGTTTGTGCCATTTTTAAAGAAGTTCAATCAAGGTGTTACTGAGATATCCTTTCCACGAGAATGGGCTTTTGGGTAAAAATGTAACAAATGAAGGGAGTTTGAAAGAACTGTTCTGTCATTAGTTATTTGTCCCTATTGCAGGTTGAGACATTCAGGTGCATTGGAACAACTACAAACACTGACATGTTATCACCTCATGAAGTTGTTATCAAATATTTTAGCAAAGAATTGAGTATTTATATATCCAGCAGACACATAGCAACATTAGCTTCCACATGCTCTGTTTTTGGTCTCTTTTTGGCTCTTTAGCTGTTAAATGCTTCACAATGTTCACCAGCTGCTCTCTGACAGTGTCTATCTGCCGTTTGCTGTTGACAAGGTGGTGGACAGTGGCTTTTTACAGTTGTTTTTTTCTGAAAACAGCTGCCTGCAGCTGGAAACAGGACAGATGAGAGCTGTGAGACTTTTGTTGCAAGCTGGAAGACCAAACAGAATTTGATCCTTTGTCAATATCAATATTAAAATATTTCTTAGTTTAGTTTGAAGGAAGTTCCAAAAGGGACAACACACACACACACTCACAGTGTCCAGCGAGGCAGCAGCTCTCAGGTCTGGTAAGAATCCGACTTCCAGCAGGTGGAGCAGGAAATTCTGGTCTTCTATACCATAGACCCTGTCCAGGAACAGCACCATGGCTGCCTTATGGTCTGGACAGAAACCAGCTGACATGTCTGGCTCCACCACCACCCCATCTATGCATGCACACGCACAAACACACACATGAGAAACAAAGGTCAACATATAACCATTTGTAATACTGAAGTAAATGTTGCCATTTATTTTCATCATGGATGCTGTGCTGGACCTACTTAAAATCAGGATTACTGCAGTATGCACATCAGGTAAGGTGGGTGCTGGTGGTGTTGCTTACCTTTAGCCAGGTTGGGCATGGAAAATGGAATACTGATTACTCCCACCAGGTCTTCAATAGGAATGAGAGACCTCAGAATGGCTCTGATACGGATTGCTTCACCTTTACCAGCATGGATTAACTGATACAGAGTAAGAAACGTTAGTGTGAACAAGTATATGAGTCTGTGTATATGAGTCTATCTGTGTGTGTGTGTGTGTGTGCGCACGCGCAGGGGGGTGGGGGGTGGGGAGTGGGGGGATGGGGTGTTGTCACTAACATGCATCTCTGGAGCACAGCGACCTAGCAGATCAATGAGAGCAGCATAGAAGGTCATGATGGCATTTCCCATGTGGATGGTATCATCTTCCTCTTCTTCCAGCATGTCACTGCTAAAAACACACACACACACACACACACACACACAAACACACACACACACACACACACCTTTAAAAACATTAAAAACACATTAAAAAACGTCTTTCTTTCAAGATGTGACAGATGTTATGTTCTTACAGTGTTCTGCTGCTCTCAGATGTAGGAGAGGGACCATCCCTGGAAGAATCCTGAGAGATCTTAATGGCTTCCTCCATTGCTGCCAACAACCCATCACCACCCTCACCCCGAAGAGCAGGGCCAAAACATTCTGGTCGGCGAATCAGAAGCCTCACCACAACATTGGCATTCTCCTCAACACTTTCACCTGACCACAGAACAGTAGAGGTGTTTATGCCAGACACACACTACTCTGACAAAGACGGACAACAGTTTTTAGTTGAAAATAGTTTGACCAAGAAATTGATTCATCAATCAAAACTGTTTAAATTGTCACCATTGCAGAAGACAGCAAAGCGCAGGAAGTCGAGGTAGCGTTCGCCCTCCACAGGGTTCCAGCCGATGTCGGGGTATCCCTTACGCACCAGCATCACACAGCTCTGCAACCCACAGCCGGCCAGGTACTGCACCACCTACAGAGGCAGACAAAGTGACACGTAGAATGCTTTTAGTGATATATCATAAAACAAACAAAAAAAAAACAGTGGCTGATTCCAGCTTCTCAAAATGAAGAATTTGCTGTGTTTTACTACTTCATATTGACACTGATTGGTGGGCATTTATGTCAAAACAATATCAGACAGATGAATTTACAGTGAAACAGGTCTAAACTGAACAGCAGGGTGTAAATACTGGAAGGCAGGTATACACTTTGCTGTTGTTGTTTCTTGTTAGATGCCATATTCATCATTACAGAGTGAAGTGGACAATCTGTATATGTGTCAAAAGGAAATTTCACAATTTATAAGTTTACTGGTGTATATTTACCCTGATATCAGTTTACATTTTACATTTTTATCAAAAGCGATTTACAAGTGAAGCTTTAGTGCAGTATGAAACCTTAGCGTAAACATTAAGTACTACATCTACTGTATTTAATAAATGCAAGGAGATTATATTAAAGAAGTGCACCAAAAGTGCATATTAAGAGCTAGTAAGATATGTTAGGGTTTTAGGTTTAGGTTTTAGGTGCTCTCTGAAGCGATGAGTTCTTGAAAATAGAGAGGGACGCCCTTACTCTGACAGAATCTGATAGCTTGTTCCACCATCAGGGAACCACAGACCAGAACAGTCTGGACTGAGATTGTCTTGTGTGCAGGGATGGTAATGCCAGACAACATTCCTTGGAAGAGCACGGTGGCTGAGAAGGAGCACAAGGCTGAATGATTGAATTCAAGTGGATGGAGCAGACCCAAGAGTAACTCTGAAGGCATCATCATCCATCCTTCATCCATGTGGAGATATCAGAGAGACAGCACAAGATCCACTCAGAGACAGTGGAGTCATCTGGTGGGAATGACAGGTATGGCTGGGTGTCGTCAGCATAGCAGTGATTTGAGAAGCTATGTGAGAGGATAACTGGACCCAAGGAGATAGTGTGTATTGCAAAGAGGAGGGGTCCCAGAACTAATCTTTGGGACATTTTCCCTTGCCATGACACACTGAAGGAGAGACCAGTGAGAGAGGATTCAAACCAAGAAAGGGCTTTGCCCAAGATGCCCATGTTGGAGAGTACAGACAGCAGGATGGGTCACTGTATCAAAGGCTGCTGAGAACCTAGGACTGACCTCCAGCTCTTGCTGCTCTTAGAGCTTCTGTCAAGTTTATTAAATAAACCATTATAGTGAGATGTGTCTCTAATACTGTGTAGTTTACCTTCATTGATAGAAATGAATTTTACCTGGGTTTTTTAAATATTAAAAACCTGGAACTTTTCATCCAAATACATCATCTACTTTTGGTCAGAGTGAAGTGAGGGCTAGGGTGGCACAGTGAATCCTCTGCAGCTCTGAGTCTTCTGAAATACATGTTCACCACATTCTTCCATTAAAGCAACCACTGAGTCTCTGTTTGTGTGTGAGTGTGTGTCTGTATAAATGTTTTTCAACCTCACCTTCTCCAGGTCTGGCTCTCTCAACGCCAGAGCCAACTCATTATTATCCATGACTGATGCTGCAGCCACATCAAGAGGAGTGGAGCCTCGCATGGATGGAGAAGCTGAGGAGAGGAAAGGGAAGGAGAGAAAGAAGAGAAAAATATATAATTACTATAGGTACAAATAAGATTACAGGGACTGTCACTGTTATGTCACTGTTCAACCTAATTTCTGTGAGTGATATGGGACAAAGATATAAATACAAATTGAGCTCCACAAAAAAAACAAAATCTCATCACAAAGCAGCTCAGTTTCTTCCAACTAGTTAAAGAACACAGGTGAACACAGTGAAGCAGGACAACACATGACCCTCATTTTCACAGGTACATTTGTGTTTGTCAATTACTGTACATTCATCCTCTTGAATCCAGTACTTGTAGTTCCTTCAGCTTCAGGCTTGATAAAAGTCTCAGGTTTTACTACCAAGATTACTGCTGGATGACTTGATATGTTACACACTCCCAGTGTATCAGAGGATTGCTCTTTGCTCTTCTATAATGAACACACAGCCTTGAGGTGTGCCAGTACTCTGTGTGGCAGTGCTGGAGGTTCTAGACTACAGCCCACCAGTGAGGAAGTCCAGGACCCAGTGTTAGAGAGAAGTGGTCACTGACTGGGAACTTTATCCTGATTGGCTGAAGGCTTCATCTACGTTTTTAGTCTAAGAACTTCAGATCCTCCTTTACAGGGGTGAACAAAGTACAGAGCTCCATTTACTATAGTCAGATCATAGATCCTCCTGGTCAAATATTACTCCAATACAAGTGAAAGTTGTTAACTTTTTACTTGAGAAAAAGTACTGGGGTACTTGATTTTAAAATACTTGAATGTTCAAAAGTAAATTTTTTTGTCAACATATTGTTGTATTGTTCCACATTTACTGCACCTGATGACTATGAAACAACCTCCTGACTGAACTGAGAAGGAGAGAACGGACCAGCACCTGTAACTCCAAAAAGTCAACTTCCATGCTTTTGCGCTGCCACAAAGGAAGCCAGCTAGCCATAGCCGCAGAGGAGCGAGACTACGACCTGCAGAAGTGTACGCACTCCGAACACACCGGAGCAACACAAAGTAAGAGGCTTATGTCTGGGCAGAGACTTAGCATGTAGATATTTTGATGTATTTTACTGTCCAAAGCAGTATTTGTTATTGTAGGACTGCTGTGTCTTTTGTTTGTGGGACCACCATGTCCTGTGTTGTGAACACTGCAGAGTGTTGAACATTGCTGCTACATTGTTAAATATTGTTGTGGCCGTATTGGCTCACCGCTAGGTCAATACCTGAAATTTTACCAGTTGAAAGACCGGTGCCAAGCCAGACGAGCTTCCATTCGCCTGCTTTGCTAAGGTGTGGTAAAAGAACAGTTTATTGCGCTCTAACAGCAGCCAAAGTCTTCCCTTCTCTGTCTCTCTGCATGCTTCTCTCTCTCTCCTCTCCTAACCCACAAAACACACACACAGACACATTTTGATGGTATGGGTCACTGGTACTGGGATTATCCTGACACATACAGTATGTGGACTGAATGACTATGGTGGGGCCGCAGAATTGCTTTATAAGCAATCTTTTTTATTTGTGCAAAAACGCCCAGTGCATTTTCTCCTCTTGTTGAAAACTTGACATGCTGATGGAATTTCAGTAAAACAGTCTTTACATCTACAGCAGGTTTGACACAGCCTCACCTGTTGTCTCTCCCATTGCTTCAGCTGCAGCTTCTCCTACAGCATCTCCTCCACAACCTGACACTGCAGCTACAACTCCCTCCACACTTGGGTCAAGTCTCCTGTCCTTTACGGCGGAGGAGGTGAGGGCGAAGCTCAAGAGGCTACATCCTGGAAAGGCAACAGGCCCAGATGGTCTGTGTCTGAGGCTGTTAAAGGACTGTGCAGCCCAGCTGGCTGAGCCTCTCCAGAGGATCTTTAACTTAAGTCTACAAACAGGAAGGTCCCGATCCTGTGGAAAACATCATGTCTTGTTCCGGTACCTAAAGTAGGAAGACCGGCTGAGATAAATGACTACAGACCGGTGGCTCTCACACACATCATGAAGACCCTGGAGCAGCTGCTTCTCCACAAGTTGAATATGCACTAGACCCCCTACAGTTCACCTACAAAGAACATATTGGAGTGGATGATGCCATCCTTTACATGCTCCAACGGGTCCATTCTTACTTGGATGAGCCAGATAGTTACATGAGGATTATGTTCTTTGATTTCTCAATTGCATTTAAACCCATCCAACCCCCCATTCTTAAAGACAAGCTGAAAGGGATGGGGGTGGATCCCTGCTTTACATCCTGGATTGTGGATTACCTGACAAGACGACCACAGTATGTCAGGCTGGGTAACTGTGTCTCAGGGACAGTGATGAGCAGCACTGGGGCTCCACAGGGGACTGTTCTGGCTCCTTTCCTGTTCACCCTGTATACGGCCGACTTTAAATACAACTATGAGTCCTGCCACATCCAGAAATACTCGGGTGACACAGCTATTGTGGCGCGTATCAGGAACGGGCAGGAAGAAGAGAACAGGGATCTGACAATGGCCTTCAGTGAATGGAGCGACAAGAACTGCCTCCTTCTGAACACCTCCAAGACCAAGGAGATGGTCATGGACTTTCGGAGGTCTAGGCCCACCCTAGTGGTCAACATTCATGAACACAAAGAGACTGGACAAGCTGGTCAAAAAGGCTGGGTCTGTGCTTGGCAGGAGTCTGGACTCACTCAGGACTGTTGTGGAGAGACGCATGCAATGTAAGATGGAGGCCATCTTGGACAATACCAACCATCTTCTCCACAACATTCTGGCAGGACAGAGAAGCAGCTACAGCTGCAGCAAACGTCTCATCTTACTGCGCTGCAGAACAGAGAGGTTCAGGAGATCCTTTATTCCCACTGCCATCAGGCTATACAACACCTCAGCCAAAGGAAGTGGACTCATTTCATTATTATTGTGGTGATAAATTTATTATCTATCTATCTAACAGCTCTCATACTGCCTCCGTCATGTTAGTGTCACAGGGGGCCGGCAGTGGTGAACACTCTCATCAGATAGTATGGCTGGCACTTCTTGACTTCAACAGCAGACAATAGTGTTTGGACAGTGATGACTCCTTGCTAGGGACAGGGACAAGGCTTGTTTGTACTCACTCTAACAATCTCCAGAAGATCCAGGTGGCTCCAGCTGGTGCTGGCGCAGGTCCTTGAGAGGCGGCTGTGTGTTCTATAACAGGTCTTAATAACATCAACGGTGCTCTACTCATACTGACATAAGTTAGAGAGCAAAGTTTAAGTTAAGATTATAGTGTCAATCAACTATTTTCAGTGTCAGGAAAAAGGCCACTCAGGTGCTGGACACATGAACAGTGAGATGGTCCAGTTAACCACATGTCTGCACTTGTGTTGTGTCTTAGTAGTTATATGTACATGGTGTACATCTGAATGTGAACCATATGCAGTATGGTTGACTTTTAAGAAAAACAGGGAGGGAAAAAAACAACACATATAAGACACACACATTCATACACTCACCGAGGCCAACACTGCTGTTCTCCAGAAGGTAGCTGAGATGGTCAAACATGGCCTTCTGGTTCTGACGACTGATCCGACAGAAATAACAGAGAAAGCGACAACAGTTGGCCACCATCTTAGGAAAGGTTATTTCCTGCAAAACACACATCATGTAAAGAGTAGTTACACAAACATCATGCAACATAATGTTTTATCATCACTTCATTAGTTTATTTATTCAAATGTATTTTAGTTAAAATAAGTTTTAAACACACTGTAAGTTTCATCAACAACCTGACCCAGCTTTAGCATTTAAAGTCTATTTATGCTTCACACCTTTGAGTCTCCCCCACTGAGCACGTTCACCATCACCTCCATGACAGTCTCATGCATCCCCAGAGCTCTCATCAGGTTAGGATGCTGGTAAAAGACCTTGTTGTTCATGATGTCACTACAGAGGAAGGAAGTTAAGTTCAAAGGTCATTAAGGCTCTCATCAGGTTAATAACCACTGACTGAACATGTTATACACAGTATATCAAAAGAACATTCAAGTGTCTTTGAAGTTAGATTAGCACCAACATTTTTGACTTTTCCTTTTCTTCAACATTACTGGTGTTAAAATAAGTCCCTACTACACTACAATAGCTGGTGTTTGGCATCTTTAATTTTGCTAAAAGGAACAAACATACATAAAAAAAAAAGTCTTATTCTTCACTGAAGGAGGTTTCGGTGGTTTAACTTTCATCAGGTGTCTTCTTGTAATTTATAGCAAGTGTAGTTCAATGTGACATAGTGTACCATAACATTTATATTTGTGGTCTGTTCTAACAATCTCTTCAAATACAGTTTTTAAAAAAGTGAGATGCTTGAGGTGTAAAATCTATTCCAGTCATGCTGCATCTCAGACGATGGAGAAAGTATGGTTCAGTTGTGTATTTGATGACCTTCCAATTCAGATATATCCATGCATTCATGTAACCCCAGTAATTCACTACTGCCAGACATTTGCCGATATCAACTACAATTAGAAATTAGACTTGGTAATTATATGATGCAGTGTCAGAGATGATTTTCAGTATGGTGAGTGCAAATATTTGTCCAGTTGTCACAGATTAATTAACAAGAAAGAGAGGAAAAATGAAGCAAAATAAAATATATCTGTGCTGAAGAGCCTGACAGACAAGTGTCTCCTCACCCTAGCCCTCGGATCATTAGTTTCTCCTCCTCTCTTCCCATGCGGACACTCAGTAGAGATCTGATCTGACCCAGAGCAGCCAACAGGTTGATGGTGTCCTCAATGGAAACTGAATTTATAGTGTAGGTCTTAGGAAGAGCCCGCACCTTAACAGAGAGAGAGATATGCACATTTCCTTTGCTGTCAGACTGTTCAGACTTTTACATTACAGACTGTACATTCTGAACAGTCAGAAAGTACAGATTACAGTACAGACTGCAGAGTACAATACAGATTGAGCAGAACAGTTTGTCATCACTTTCCATAACATCAAAATGACAAATGATGTTTTCTGTTTATGACAGTATAATAGATGTATAAAGGTAAAGATGTAAAGGTCTGATTTGTAGGATATCCTACTTTAAATGTGAAGTATTGCTGTATATTCACAAACATATTTTCAGAGCAAACTTATTACACATATACTAATGAAGCCACTCTCACACTTGACCAAGTTATCATATTTTAATGTAACAGAGTGATATCTTCTTTCTATTAAAATGAACACACACACACACACACAAACCTGTCCTCCGATGCCATCATACTGGCGGTGCAGCAGGACAAACATGGCTCTGACCAGCTCTGGATCCTCAATAACCGACTCCTGAGCCCAGCGGACCATCGTGTCTGAGATCAGTTGCTGTAACGTACCTGTACAGACACACATACAGTGATGGGGTAATCTGAAAATCTTATTTCCTCTCATTTTTTTTTGTTTTTGTATATTTTTCACTTGACTCTGAGGTCATACAAAATCAATATAGTGAAACAATTTGTAAATAAACTAAATATTCTGGCAAACTAAACCATTGGGGAAGCTGTAGTAGATCAAGGAGAAGCCCTGTAGAATAAGTGGCTTTCTACACACAAGTGCACAGAAAATAGAGAGAGAGAGAGAGAATTAGGTGAGTGAGCACTCTCAGACAGACCAATATATTCTACTTCTTTCTTCAAACATCACTTGATGACCTACTTCTTCTGTTTGTGTGTTTGTCTGTCTGACTTACTGGGTTTCCTGTCCTTCTTCTCCTTCGGCAAGTTGGCCATCTTCTTCTTCAGATAAGCCACTTTCTCCACCAGTGACATGAGTCGACCTCGGATGGTGAAGTCACTGTCACCATCTATGCTTCTGTCCTCATCCAATTCTATACCTGACAGGAAGGAAGTATCACTATACAGTGCATACTGTGTGTTTGAATTTACATTATACAGATATTATTGATCTATTGTTTCTGTTACTACTGGTCTCTATTCTTCTGTATGAGAACACTGGTCATTGCAGTTCATTCGAACATTTGCCAAACTGTTCAGGTGAAGCTGACTGGTAGTTTACCACAGTGTCTCATCAGATCTTCATGAAAGTCGAGCAGCTGTTCTCTGATGTATTCAGGACAGGGACACTCCTGCTTCTCATCCTTAAAGTTCAGCAACATGTTGATCTGCAGAAACACAACAAGTCCTGTTCATTACATACCTCTACAACCACCTCTGGAATGACCTCATAGAAACAATCTTACACTAAGATTTTGATAGATAATAGGAACATGTTTCTACCACTGTGTTGGCTATTGGTAAAGATGCTATTTGACTTAGGGCTGCAGTGTTTTAGCTCAATAATGGTATCTCATTTGATATGGAATTTGTTCCTGATTTTAGCTTCTTTATTCAGTATGTCTCTTAAACTCAGCTTAGGTCTTTCTACACTGTCCGCTGTTCTTTGCTTATTTTCTACTTCATGCTCAACTGTGGTCTTTTGTTTTACCACTTTCTGCAGAGAATAGACTTGATCTTACTTAATAAACTCTTAATGCACAACATTTTATGATTCTCCAGCCTCCCTGTGTTTTGTAACCTTTTCTTCTGTACTCTCCAGTTCCCCAGCTCAGCCTCACTCTTCTTCAGTGGTGTTCCTACCTGTTCCTGTGGAGGTGATCTGAACTCTTTGGTTTTCTTGGCAGTGAGAGCTGCAGACATGTTGAGTGCCAGCATCACCTCGTTGTAGCGGAATCGCTGGTTGTCTTGGAGACAGGCCACAAAATCATCAGAGAAGGCCACCACTGCCTCGATACGATGACGCACCTGACAGTCACACAGATACTGTAGCACATGGCACATCTGCACGTACGCACGTACGCACGCACGCATGCACACACACACACACACACACACAAACACACACACACACACACACACACACAGATTAGACAGCACATATAATGTTAGGGCAACTCCATATTATGTTGAAAATCTCAAATAGATGAGAAGAAAAGTGTAGGATAAAAGAAAAGTTTGTAGGATACAGTACATCCCTGTTATAGCAAAGTCTTTGCAGGTTCAAAACTTAGAGGAAAAAGAAATCTGTGAATCTGTAAGTAAAAGGTGTTAATTGAGTTAATTTCCTGTTTCTGTTCTGATGCTGGATTTTAAAACAGCTGGACAGTATTTCATAACAGTGAGAAACAGATCTTAATACTGTATGTTCCATTGCTCCTCACTGGATGTCTATTTTCATTTCATTAAGCTAATTAGTGTCAAGGAGTTGTGTGCAGCCTTAATTTCAGAGTTTTACAAAAGGGTAGAAAATGGCACTATATGGACTTAAATACAGTGGGGTCCAAAAGTCTGAGACCACTTTTCCATTCACTTGAATGTCTGTGCACACACAGTATATGGTTCAACCTCAGAAATACAGAGCTTGTTTTGTTATTGATGAGGTTGCTGTGCAGTATGTGACACATGCAGCAGCCACAGGTTTTGATGCTCTGTTCTGCAGACACAAACTCTCCATTTGGTCTCTTGTTGGACTGAACCCAGTGATGCTCTGTTGTATTTTTGACTATGTACGTCTCTATTGTCTGTTGCCATAGCAAGCTATAGCTTTGTTGTTTGGTCATGGTCTTTGTTAATTCTGGATGTCTGTGAGAAAATCAAGAACTAAAGTGATTTTTACCTGCGATTTGACATTTTTTGTGACTTTGATTGGACAGTACATCACATGTGTAGCTAAATATACATATGGTAGAAACACAAGTTTGACTGCAACTTAAAAAAAAAAGCTTAGTTATCTCTAAATAAGATCACTCAGTGAAAAAAACTAAATTCCCCAAATAAATCATAGAAAAGCTGATTATGAATACTGTAATACTGAAAAGTATGTTTGCAAATACAGTAGGACAAAAATATAACTGTATTTACAAACAGTTACCTGGAGTTTTACAGGCTCTGGCAGCTTCATCTGCAACAGTCCTTCTTTTGGCATGGTCCTCCCTCTATCCTCCCCTCCAACCTCAGTCTCCACCTCCTTCACCATCTCCAGCTCCATGTGAATCTCCTCCTGCCCTTCTCGCCTTTCAGAGAACACAGATGGCTCAATCAGTCGGAGGATGTTCTTCAGATCTCCATTTTGGAAAACTCCCATGATGAGCATGGTGTAGAAGAGCTTGATAAGGGGAACAAAGAGAAACTCAGTGCTGCCTCCTATTGGATCCCGTACGTGCATGCTTCCCTCCCGCACAGCCTCTGTCAGCATCTCAATTGTTTTGACTTTCAGTATATCTAAAGGGAATTCAGGGCTGTACTGGAAACAGTCTCCTGATCCTGATCCGCTGTTTCCGTTGTTTCGATACAACGATCCGGTCCCGCAGACAAAGCTTGGAGATGAGAAGTGCATTCTGGGTCTCAGGGAAGTGCTGAGGCCAATGCCTGGCAGGCCATGTTTCTTCTTCTCGTCAGGAAACAGGGTGATGCTCTTTGTTTCATCTGTCATGGGAACAATGTACTCATTGTTCATCATGAGGCGAGCTGTGGCGTAGCTGCTCAGGTGGATATCGATAAGGAGGTCGTAATAGCCAGCACGAAGCAAACCTGTGGTTGAGAGACAGACAGAAGGATTATATTATAATGCTCAACCAACATTATAATTCTGCTTTCACATAAATGAATTAGAAAAATAATTCATTAATGTGACATGTATAATAGTAATATACAACCGCATAATGCACCACACAATTCTGCATGAGTACATTTTATACTTTATTTGCATTCTGCCAATAATATGCCTGTATGCAGTGTTGTGCACGTCCAACACGTTCAATTACCTGCATTCATGGAACATGTTCATATTTTTTGTGAACGCTGAGCTGAACGAATCAGTTTACACAATCTTGTGAGTGAACGCCGTTTTATGGTACGCCACATGACGTCTCCATAGACACAGCCCAGCATCGCTGGTGCTAGCGGTACAGACGGTACAGACGCATTTACTACTGCTGAAGCCAGTTTGTTTGAGCATTTGAAGCAGTTTTATGAACAAACAAGTGAAAATTCAGACAGATTATATTTATATACGGATTTTAAATGTAACTCATGTCTGTGGTTCTTCAGTGCTACAATAATTCATATAGTTTGGGAGTGGCAGTGATTTGGGCTGGTGATGGATGGGTAGAAGGAAGTTCTATTGAGAGAGAATAGTGGCCTATTTTTATTTTTTTATTTTTTTTATTTTTTTTAAAAAGGAACAAATGAACGTGAAATAGTTCATTTTTGGAACTGTGAACTTAGTTCAAAACTTTAAAAAATTAACTATGAACGTGAACTAGTTAATTTTCATCTGTATGAACTGAACTTTGAACTAGTTATTTTTAAGTGTGAACTGGCACAACATTGTATGTTTATTTCATGGATTGTTCTGGTTCTTCTTGTCAACAAATCTCATGTGCAGAGCCAAACCAACAGTGAACATCTCCAACTAACCAGTCTTTGTATCACAGCATGGTATATCTGATCCCGCTGAGCCACAGAGCTCCATTGTTTCCAAAAACTATTAAAAACACATCAGTGAGCCACACTGTTACTCTGGGTGACATGTTCCTTCATCACCATGAACACTAACACTGTAATTTGTTTTGGCTCCGTCCCACACACACACACACACACCATCCTGCTGCCACAAATACTTACTACAGCACCAAATGTGGATTATGCACCGCCACTATTTCCTCCTGTTTGAGTAATGTTTGTCAAAAACTAAAGCAGGTAGCTGTTTTAGGAAATTACTGAACCTTTTAGAAAATTAAAGTACATGGTTCTGAGCTGTTCATAAAGATTAACGTCGTCAGTAGGAACCAATGGGTATGCAACTGAGAGTCACAGGCAGAGTACGGATGTCGAAAAGTGTTGAGAGACTAACACACAGGTGATTTGGCTCTTGCACCTGAGATTTGTTGACATTGAGAAAAATATGCAATACTACCAGCAGAACTTGTGATGCAGTATTTTTGGTATTACCAATTTTAATTAAATAAGGATTTGAACTATTAGATACATCTAGATGCTAACACCTTAAGTTACTTTGCTTGAACCACTACATCCTGCAGTTGGTGGGTTGGCAGTGATGGCCAGTCATTGACCATCTTCTCCTGGCATCCAGTTTGACTCCTCCCATCTGTTCCAGAGCCAACAAGAAGCACTTTCTGCTTCCTCCCCCAACCTGCGTGCAGCTGGCTTCCTCTCCCTTCCTGCTATACCCAGCTCTATGACCATCCTCCACATAAACTGCGCAGGGAAGCCCCTGCAGCCTACCTCAACTGGAAATAGCTAGGCCTGCCAACTTTTCACCCTGCACTGTTGGATGAGGTCTTGGTACTTGGTGGCCTTCCTCTTCAAGGCCTTTTTTCATCCATCTTCCCATGGGACCATCAGTTCAGTCAGTATGATCCTATTCACCTTATCTGACCATATGACTATGTCAGGCCTTAGGGATGTTTGGACAACCTGCAGAAAGTGTAGTTTTCTTCCTGGTCCACGCTCATGTCCCATGATTATGCCAGCCACAGGATTGGTGTCCTATATCCTTGGAGGAGGGTGGCTTCTCCCCATTCCTGATGAAGTGTATGGATGGGACTGGCCTTACATACATCTCTTCTGCTCCAAGAGGTCAGCCGTAGGACCTGAGGACCTCTTTGTGACCCTTTGTGACCCAATCTGTATCTCCCCTGACTAAGTGCAGTCTTGCATCTCGCCACCTGTGCAGTCTCCATAGTTCAGGCCACGTAATCCTCCACTTTGGCAAGTCCCACTTTGTCCAGGCTCCTTGTGATCCAAGTTGACCTTGACCTTTGCCCTTCCTCCTAGAGGAGTTGGACCTTGGCTTGGATCATGTCGCTCTTCTGCCCTGGGTCTGCTTTCCCCCATTGCTGGAAGTGGGTGATTCCAAGTCGTTGTTGCCCCACACACAGGTTCCCGGTGACATCCTTCAACTTCAGCATGCTGATCTTGTGGTGACACCTGCAGCTCTGATCCTTTTATCGCTGGAGTCTCTGTACATTATCTCAACCATGCACTTTGCACTTTTCAGACCTGATATATAGTCCAACTGATTTGAATACTTTTTCCAACTCACAACAACTTCTATAATGCGATGATGATCTATAAGTCTATGAAATGTCAACTGACTACCAACTAGGGATGCTGCGATCACGTTTTTTTGCCACATACTGATCATCTATGAGGGAGATCGGCCGATATCAATCATTTTTGGCATGCATTGCAGATGGCATACGTTGTATCAGTCTCACACACTTTGTAAAAGTTCCACACAACCAACATGTTTGTTTTGGTGGCCTGTCGTGCGCCTTGCTGTGAGCAAGGTGGGAGGTGGGACTACACTACACAGCACACAGTGCATCCCTCAGCCGCCGACACCACATCGGTTTTTAGGTGATTGCGGACTAGAAGTATTTATGCAAATCATGCATTTTTAATGAAAATCAGCCAATAATGATCGGAAGCTAATCAATCGGGTCATCCCTACAACCAACCATAGAGTTAACTGTTGACTTTGATATATAGGGATTGTGAAAGAGTGAATGAGGAAGGGAGTTTTGGAAACAGCCACAGCCTTTTACATGGTATGAACTAATCATATTTTGAATCTCTGCGAGTGGACGCTATCGCTGACGCCACAGTAGCTGAGAACACCTCCTGCAAGCACAGTGGAAGCACAGTGGACTTTTCCTTCGTCAAGATGGCGGACAAGATTCAGCTACAACCAAGGGCATGCAGCTGGTCTTCTTACTACAGCCCAGAACTGGCAGATGAAGGCTGAGAAGTTTGATTTCTAGAGTGGCTGTGGCTGAAAAAGAGTGAGGTGTGGTCAAGTGCTACTCAGACACAAGTTGGGGCCTGATCAACTCCGGCTGGGTTGCCCGGGCAACGGTGTATAATGCTGAAAGACCTGAAACACCCTCTGACCCCGCATTCCATTACCAATGATGTGTCTTCAGAGGATGTATGATACAGGCTCTGACTATCTTCTGGCCTGTAGTTCTTTCTCAGGGACAGACTCTATTACTTTGCAAGTTATTCTTTCTATATGCTGTGTATATTACCTGGCATGTACTTATTCTCTATAGCCTGCAGCAGCTGTGCTTCGTCCACATGGGAGCAGAGGGCATGTGCCACCCGGTTGTTTCCCAGAGCACAGATTGCAGAGTACAGTCTGAGGGTATGGTAGTGAAACTTTAATAAGTCCCTCTGCTCTGACAGCTCCAGGATATCGACCGACCTGGACAACACAGTGAGAGAGAGAGACTGCATGAAAAACCTGAGAGCAGGAGGAAGAAAATGTGTGTTTGTTCTTGTATTATTCATTGTGAGGACATAAATCATAAATCTGTTTATTTCTATGTTGTTTTATGTTATGTTTTATGTGTGTGTGTGTGTGTGTGTGTGTGTGTGTGTGTGTGTGTAAGTAGCTGTGGATACTCAACCTGTTCTCCTCAGGTATGTGCAGAGACATGAACTGCAGGGGTTCACTACACTGGACCAGCCAGCCATGTCTGTCATTCACTCTGGATGCTGACACCTGAAAAAAAATAACTGTTAGCACTTCACAGACAGCATACATGATGTTTCATGTTATTTTCTGCTAGCCAGTAGTAACTTAGGGTTATGAATATAACTCTGGTTCTCTGATTAGCATGAGTGAGTATCTCACTATGGGGAGTGCATCCTGTGTGCTCTCATCAGAGGCACAAGTAACATTCCGCCAGCCCTAATTGGCTGGCCGGTAAAAATGCAAAAATGTGAAAAAAAGCAAAGTATTGCTACTTCCTAAGGTGAAAGTATTGCTACTTCATACCAAAACTAGCTGTAGTACTGTACTACCAGTATTGCTACTGTTCGTGAGCTAGCCTGCAACCGTACAACTGGGAACAAAGTGCATCCTGTGCGCTCAAATCAATGGAAAATTTAGCTTAGCATCCAACAGCATTATTATCAAAAGGCTTCTGTGAGAAATGAGAAGGTTTTTGAATCACAACTGACACTATGTCAGCCTAATGTATAGGAGGAGGGTCCCATCCCCTCCTGACATAGACGTCACTAAGGCCAGCCAATTAGGGCTGGCGTAATGTCATTTGTGCTTCTGATGAGGTCACACAGGAGTAGCTCCCCATAATGAGACATGAAACGAATCCTTTGAAAGAGAACTGGCTCAGATCAGCCCACTGCAAGGCCCAGCAGACAGTTCACCATGCTGCTAATATCAGAAACATAGCATTTTAACATAGCACTGCAGTCAGGAAATCAGCTTTCCTGTTCCAAACCAGAGATAGTGAACAGTTTCAGACACACTTCTAAAATGGGTCTAAGAGGTGAGCAGAATGTAAGACAGAAAGCTGTGTGTATTCACAACTGTCAGCCTTTATTATATGTATACAGTGTATTTCATTACACACAAAATCAATTGCATTTTTTTCCAAAAAGCCATATATTAAAAAACAAAACAAAACAAAACAAAAAACACCTGCAAATAGTTGTTACCTTAAGGAAGTGGTTGGGAACACGACTCCATAAAACAGGAGTAAGAAACTGGACATGAAGCCGTGGAGGACACTGAGGAACCATGTTCTTCCTCTCACTCTTAAACAGACCAGCTGACAGAGGCATCACATTCTGACAGGAAAAAGAGATATGTCTTAAGATCAGGCTCAGAAGAGCATGAATCCAAACCAGTTTGGATTTTCTTTGTGAGTCAAGTGAATATCATTTTAAACAGTCATGGATTGGATTCATGTCACAGAGATGGACTGTTTCTTCCCAGCAGGGATAACTGTGCTGACCTGTGATATTATGGTCATGCTTATGTCACAGGTTGTCATTTGTTATTATTTGTCATTTTGATTGGTTGTCAAACTTCAATTCTACTTCAGCTAATATGACCTGGTCAGAGGGCAGAGATCAGACACTCACTCTGTTTTGTGGGCTATGATAAACAATGACTGATATCTCTCCTTCCTAAAGTATTTGGGTTCTGCTCTGTGTGTTTCTTTGTTGACCTAAGTGAACTGAAACCAAGGCTGAGCTCATTGTACAATTGCTGACATGAGAAGAGGACCAGAGCAGACCAGCACCAACATAGTTAGTACAAGTGGTGTTGCAGGGAAGCTAGCTGAGCTCTGCTGGGTTTCAGGTAAGGACTGCATTCTTTTTATGTTGACTGGACATCAACATATTCATTGAGATCAGCGGGCCTTTGGCAGATCAACAGTGGTATTTCTGTAACAGTTATAAGAACCACAATGCAAGTGGAACATCTGAAAGGGGAAAAAATGGTGGACAAAATCATTACAAAAGCCCCACACTGCAATTCAAGCACATTCAAGTTCTGCCAGTAGGACAGCTAAAGCAGTACTCCAGTTACTTTATTTAGGTGATAAAGTTGTTTGTGTGTGTGTATGTATGCATGTCCTCCTCACCTTTATTCTCCCCAGTTCAAACTGGAAGACATTGGGGCTGGTCGCCTTGGCAAAGACTGCGGGGAACAGCTTAGTACTGGGCTCCACCTGTGCAGTGGAAAGAGAGCTTAGTTATTAAAGTCCAGCAGAAATCACATGGAGCCATTTCTTTTCTACTGTCATATATCAAGTCAAAATGATTGTTAAATGTGGGGCGTCGAGTGGTGCAGTGGGTTGAGCAGGCGCCCCATGTGTAGTGGCTACAGTCCTCGCTGCAGTTGGCCCCGGTTCGAATCCCGCTTCGAATCCCGCATCGAATCCCGCATCGGACGGCCCTTTACTGCATGTCATTCCCCCTCTCTCTGTCTCCCCATTTCCTGTCTGTCTCTACTATACTATCCAATAAAGGCATAAAAAGAAATGTATTTTTGTTTGAATTTTTTTTTAAGGGAATTTTTTTTTAAGGGGATGAAAACATTTTTTATTTTCAGAAATGTTCCTTTTGTCTCTAAGCCTCTTGCAGGTCAATGTAAGTCACTGACTGAAAGCTGAACAAGCAGGTGGTGTTAACTTGAGTTACTGTTGGCCAACGAGGGTGATGCTGCTGCTTAATGCAAATACTGCTTAAAATGAAATGATGTGATTGGCTGTATGAACAGCCGCTCTCTGATTGCTTAATGCAAATATTGGCGGTTCAATCATCATGAAACCTAAGAATGTAAAATATAAATTTCTTTTGTTTTCTAAACTTTTCTCAAAGAAGGACACAGTCAAGTGAAATACAGAGCAGAAAGTGTGTGCATGCTGGACTTGAACATATATTGGAGAATGGAAGAAAGTGGTATAGCTGGTGCCAGATTGTTATAGTGAGAGGGTCTAATGTTACACATACAAGTAAAACATAAAAAGAAAGAGAAAGAACAAGACAGGAATGAAGGACGCAAATGATGGTGTAGGAAGCAAAATTAAAAGGAAATACAGATGAGGAAGAAGGAAACAGGAAACAACACAACAACAAGGAAGAATCAAAAGCCTGTGACAGTACATCAAATATTTACCTGGTAATATGTGCTGAGTTCTTTGCCGTTGGCAGTGAAGGTCAATAGTCCATTTGTTGTGTCAACTAGACAGCCTATCTCTAAGCCATTGTTGTTCCTCCCCTGACCAGGACTGCTGCTCTCTCCAGCCCACACCATGTAACAGTTACTGCGCTTTATACTGCAAGAAACACACACAACCACCATGTAACAGTTACTACACTTTATATCGCAGGACAATAGTCACATGGTCTTCCTCAGATCGTGGATGGATTGTGTGGACATCTCAACCTGCTGTTTTGGTTCATGATTATGCAGCAATGGTGCAAAGGGCTGGGTGAAGGTGAATATAGATTGGAGGGTGTGGTGATGACTAAATCTGCTCAGAGCCAGTCACATCACTGGTCACATTGCTCTGAACAGCTGAGCCAATCACAGCTCAACAAATGGAAAGACGCTTCTCCAGGAAATCATGTTGTCTGGATGGTGCAGATCTGAACACAAAGCAGCTCACATCAACAGCCAGAGGCAGAAGGTGAGGGTTTTTAACAGGTAGTACAATGGTGATAGAAACAAATAATTAAAAATAGCTTGGTAAAGCAGTTTATATGACTATAATATAATTTTACTGTATTTCACATGGTCAGATTATATCTCAGCAGCTCTTGCTTCATAATGACTAAAACCTGTACTGCTGATTTTTGCCCCCCAATTGGAAAGGGAAAATAGGCTGTGATGCAAAGGATTAATAAACTTTAGTAATCTAACATCTCCTGCATAAACAACAAAATGCTGAGTCATGATGGATTAGTGGGGCCCATTAAAATGACTTGTGAACAACACTGTGGCTTAAATAGCTGTTTCCACAGTACGAGGTGAAAAGTAATACATTGTTAGCTGTATTTTCCATGTTGCCAGGCATTTACCAGAGGATACTACAGGTTGTAAAGGGTGCAAAGATGGAGTAATGTACAAGTCAGGATTAAACTGCATTTCTGGGCCTGTCATAAAATTATAAGAAAAGAAAAATTAACCCTAAGCTATGGATTGGTTGGAGCTTGACTAACCTCTCGTGAACTTTGCCTTTCTCGTCTCCCAGGGTAACAGTGACCGTTCGGACCTTGTGCAGTTCGAAGCCTGGGTCATACTGATGGAAGTCAGAGGTCACCCAGCCTACCCACACACTGCTGGGCTCCTGACCAGGGAAGATCCGAACTGAGTAGTAGTGCTGCATAGAGAGAGAGAGAGGTGCAAACAGGTCAAGTTTAGCTGCACTGCCCCTGAGTTTCTTTGTCAAAAGGCTTCACAGCAGAACAAATTATGAAACAATAAATGGATATGTACTTTTTTAACAGGATTAACCTTATTTGCTAAAAGACAACTTGAAAACTACAAAGAAATTCATATTTCATATTTAATTAATTTAATGACTGAACTACACTTTGTTTGTACCTATAAATACCATGTGTTTACTTTAACTGTCTCTTAGATGTTTATAATGTCTTAATTTCAGAAGCATTTTCTTTAGCCTCATTTCCTTTCATGATGTGGGGAGGTGCGGGAGGAGTGAGTGTTTTATGAATATGATTTTGTGTGTGTATTGCCTTACAGTGGAGGCTTGCATGAGGAATTCGTACTCATCTCTGTCATCAGCCATCACTTCCTCTGACAGTCTAGCAGATGAGGGGCAGCTGTTGTCTGGTTTGTTTCTCTTCAACATGAACCTAGCAGAGCAGATCACTGGTTTAGGTTTGAACTCGGTGATCAAACACAATGACAGTAGCTAAAAATACACCTCTAATGAGTGAACAGTCTTTATATGAGGAGACAGAGGGTTCACCGTTGTTTGAGCTTGGATGGCTTCTCCTGGTTATAATCTTTGTGGTTGTTGAATTCGTCTCTCTCAGGTCCATTGGGACCATTGTGACCGTGAGACGACTTCATCAGGACCTCAAAGTCTGATACCGTTTCAAAGTCCTCCAGCTCCTGCAGAACAGACAGTGAACACATCACACATATTCTTAGTCACATATCCAATGCTACCGTTTCCATATGTAGGTGAATAATAAAGTTAACTTCTCTGTAACAGACGGTAGCCTGTTCACACAGCTCAGCGGGAAACTGAGCACACTCCAGACAAATCTCTTAGCAAATCTGAGTAAGGTTCAGTTTAGATCTATAATTTGAAATAGCATGCTGAGATATGAATAACTGTTGCATGTCTGTGGGAGAGGAAAAAAAACTTATGTTGTCAACATCTGCCCATTTATGTGATAATTAAGGTACTGCAAGAGACTGTATTTGTATTGTGCAGCAATTAGCCCAAAAAGTGGAATAACCTTGATAATGTATATTTTCACTTCAACATCATTACAGTAATGTGAAACACTAACAATCTACAGAAATACACAGTATGCAGCAGAGCACAGAGATAATGTGCAACAGCAGGTGTACAAGAAATCATTTTATACCTGACAGTAGCAGCTCTTGGTCAGTGGAGGGTACACAACAGATGGACTGCATTTGAGTGTGTGTGAGTGTGTGTGTGTAACACACAGCATCTGTTACCCTATTCGGCGAGAAGAGGCTGCCGTTAGACCGGGATCTAGAGAAGGATTCTGCACACTCGATGGGCATGCTCAGTCTGTAGAAGGTAATGTCAGTGTAACTGTTCTGTGAGCCAAATGACCTCTGGGTGACCTTCAGGCATGGACAAGACTCCACTGTCCCATCTATCCTTGTCACCTGAAAAGAAGAAGAAAGATCTAAATTCATTTGTTCTGTTTCAGTTCTTCTGCTTGTTATGTTGTTTATTGAATATTTTATGGAAAAACCAATTTGGATAAAATTTATCTATATGTGTAGACATGTGTTTGAAGGGATCTTTAATGTCACCATTAACAGTTGTACCAATACTGTACTGTAGTGACTATGTAGCTAACTAGATATCTGCTAGTTATTAGCTACATGGTCCTCAGTGAGTATAGAGTCTACTCCCGGTGACGTCCTCACCTCTATGTGCTGGTGACTGTGAGGGACAGGTACAAACTGAGGCAGCCTCTTGCTGAGCCACATGGTAACGTCTCGGTTCATGTTGACAGCAAACGGCTCGTAGCCTTCCTGAAGGCCACAGATGGTGAAGTACTTCAGAGTGCTTACGTCTTTACCAAAGTTCATCCTCCCCACCTGACACACACCCAGACTGCACACGGGGATAAAACCTGGGACACACAGAAGAAATCAAATTCTAAGACTTTTTGTGCATTACTTCTGTTAACACCATGTGTGCACCTGGTCAACTGAGTATTATATTTACAAAACAACTGATGTGTTCAAAAAAAGATGAGAAATTCATATTCAATCTCTGCATCAATGAAGAACTATGTGAATCAGTGGATATGTTTATAAATAATCAAATAATGGATTCATACCCAAAATAGAAACAACTCTCACACAACTGATTATAAAATCAATGTTATGAAGCACCTGCTAACTGCAAGTGAAAATTATGTCTTCAAAATGTTCAGACAATATGCCCATAGGGCTCTGACATCAAAGGATTTACAGAATTGTTGAGAGGTTTGTGTGATGCAGTCAACTTTCAACGCGAATAAGGAGGTTGTGACCTTTTTGTTCTGTAATGGACTCTTGATTCATTTAAAAGGGTTTGAAAAAAAACAGCATTCAAATTTTTCTGTGGTGTGATAAGTATCATTTAATTTTATATGTGTGTGCGTGCATGTATGTGGTCACTGCCCCAGGTCTGACCTTCGCCAGCTTCAAAGTCCTTGAAGGTTAGCTCTGAGCCAGAATCATCCAGCAGCACTTCTCCATTGAGTGTAAACATCATGGTGTGTTCATTCAGATCCACCATGCATCCCACCACATCCCCCATCTGCCAGGCACGCCCGAAGTGCTCGTTGCCCTGGTGCCAGCGCTGGACCTGGGAAAGAAAAATTAAAAAATACAGTGAACATTTCTGACGACTGATTCTGACAATATAAAAAAAAATTTGAAAGGACAAGTATGAAAGTACAAGCAGGGATTATGTATGATGCTGAGCACAAACAGAGAAAATTCTGACTTCTATTGGGATGATTAGAATGACTGCATCAGCAAAGAAAAATCCAGACACCTTGAAGCCATCAAAGACAAAGGCCTGGTCATCAGATCCCAACTCTTGGTCTGGGAGGCATCCTGGCCTGGCCCAGCCCACCCTCATCTCTCCTGCTGTCAGCACCTGGAGGAGACGTGGCAACAGGTTCATATCCAGCAGCCTGCAGTCTGTTCAATTTCACTCAACAAGCACATTCTACTTGGTGTCTGTAGATTGCGATGTGGAATAGTAATAACATTTCTTCACATCAGTGTGTTACAGCAGCACATAAAAGTTCAGAATAGGCGACTGTGTGTTAAGAACCAGCTCAACTGAAACATCCTCAGAGTACAACAGGTGCCGAACCAAAAGGCACTGGTAGAGAAGTATATAACACTTTTAATAAGGTGATGCAGCTTCAACACTGATTAAAGTTAGTATTTTACTATAATAAACCATTGCGGTAAGCTTTAAAATCCCATCTACCAATGGTTGATATATGTTAGAGAAATACCATCATATCTCCCATCATCTTACCTCCAGTTCAAAGTACCACTTCCCAGCATTAACACAGTAGGTTTTCTCTGCTCTGAAAATGCGAAACCTCTCAGCAGACATGTTGTTGAGGTCAGATTGAGCTGCTGGATGAGACAGAGGCAGGAAACGACAAGGGGAAAGAAAGTCATCTAATGAACAATCTCAAGGACACATTAAAAAAAATATATCTTATAAATCTTAGATTTTGTACTGTTGTGTAAACGAGGTGGTCATTTTTGCCAAAAATATGATACAAAATATTGAAAAATCCTAAAAATGACAAGTCATTAAATGAAATGATAGACTGGAAGGAGACATTGTACCATGGTCCTGGTCAGGAGCTTCCAGGTTGTATCCATATCCCAGCAGAGTCCTGACAGCCTCTCTCAGACTGTCTTTGTTTGACTTCTTGGTTCTCTCATCCAGCAGAGTGTAGGGGACCAGACGAGGGTTTCTACGACTCTTCACATCCTGACAGAAGAACACAAAGGAAATTAGTTATTCATAGTTATACAGCAGTGATTGCCCCTTCCATATTACCACCACTGAGGTGCTCTTGAGCAAGGCCCATTTATTTTCTTTGTGTATGGAGATAACCATTAGTTCTGGTCAGCCAACTGTGTGAACTGAGTAAAGTATATCCATGATTCACTCTGCAGAAAAGCAGAACATATACTGTGGGTAACCTACATGCATATTTAAAGATGCAGCTGCCAGTGTTGTGTTTGCTTTTCTTCTACTGCTGCAGGTTTTTATTTAAAGTGAGTGTTCCTCGGTCTGTCTAGTTAGACTGTGATTGGTTAATACAATGGCTTCAGGTGTTTTTAAATGTTTTTTAAATTTTTTTAGCACAGTTAACATTTAAGCATTTTAAGCAGAGTGTGCAAAACAAAATGACAACTGGGGGGGTTGACTTCCGGGGCGAAAGGGAACCCAGAACAGTGCAGGCCTATGCTTTGGTGAACTGAAGTGTTACAATTCTTACAGTTTCTTGCTTGTTTAATTAAAGTAAAGAAATAAATATAAAATGTTGCATTTTTTAACTGATTTCTGCTTTATTTCTATACTGACAGTAGAGATAGACAGGAACGTCAGGGGAGAGAGAGGGAATGCAGCAAAGAGCCGGATCGAATCGAATGAATTTACAATACTTAGCCCCAGAAATGTAATGGACTGTATAAAGTAGCATAAAATAAATGATAAAAAACAAATTCATACAAGTTCAAATACAAGTTCAACACAAGTACTTGAGTTCTGGTCTTCACAAGTTATTTTCCACCACTGCATTAGAGTCACAGGTAAAATCTTTAGACTTCAGCCGTCTTCAGATTGACTCACACTCAGGAAAAATCATGACTTATGAACTGTAAAATCTTTCAGGTACATTATAAATTAACAAATATTCATCATATAAGGGACAGCTAGAGACTGAAGGAAGAGACAAAGCACTTGTGAAGCAGACCAGTCAGCCAATCACACAAGCTATTAAAATGTAAACAGGTCCCTAACAAATAAATGACATTCAGAGATACAGGAAACACTAAACCATCTCTCTCTGTCTCAGCACATAAACATACACACACACTGCACAGTATTTAACAGTATATGTTGCAGTTTCCTACCTGTTGGATGCCGTAGGTCCAGCCCTGATGGATGCGGTCTCTTGCCCAGACATTGTGAGCGTTCTCAGCCAGTTTGTCCACCATGGCTTCCTGGGTGGAGGTCAGTTTGATGTGACTCAGGTCCAGAGGAGCAGGTTTATAACCACTGGACAACTCATAGCTGCACAGATAGAGTTGAGGCACTGAATTGTTAGCTAGCCTGCTGCTCAACAACCTCACTGGGCTGATGTCTAAGAGTCTTTGTTACTCTAGTAATAGTGATAATGTTTTTGTCCTGTCCTATGAATCATCTCATGAAATGTCCCATTGTCATCACTGTATCATTACATCATGATATTATCCTCCTGCTTCCCACCCTTGCTGAGGTGACTTACGTTGAGGACAGTTTCATGCTCTTGACTTTCTCTACAGCGCGTTCATCTGCTAAGCCAACATGGCAACCCAAAGCCAGGAGAGTTCTGTAACACACACACACACACACACACGATTAAACATGTAATGTAATGTAGTGTTATTGACCATAACATATCACACTCTGCCATCACAAACACTCCTACATGAAGTTGTAAACTTGCACCGTGAGTGAGTCTAGAAAAAGAAAGGCAGTTTAGAGTTTGTTACATTACAGGATGAACACTCATCTGGCTTCATGATGGAACAGAGTAATATTGGATCTAAGTGTCACATCTTATGCTGCTCACTGCACTGATGCATTACTTGAGAGTTTCCAGAGACATCTGGAGGTTGTAGCTTCGCTCCTGTTCAGGAAGCCTGCAGAACTCCACTAGACAAGGGTGCTGCCGCTTGTTATCATCTCGCACCTGAAACACACACACATAAAAAAAGCAATAGGTCAGACAGGACGGGACCCTTTGACCTCAGGACAGGGAGAACCAGGACAGGAGTTACATCCAGGTTTAGTGTTCTGCCCTCTATCTGGTTTCACTATTGACTCTTTGGGATGTGATGTACCATGCCCTGGGCAAGAAGTGAAGACTCTCCTGTTCTGATGTGAGAACACAACACAGATGAGCCTGAATCACAGACTGTTGTAATCACACGTGCAGTCCATCATTAAAAATGTGTAGCTGAGTAGCTGCTCAGTTCTCAATAATCAGTGTGTGAGAAACAGTTTTGAGATGCTTGCTTGATACTCACTGCACCATAGGTCCAGCCCAGTTCTATCTTGTTCATCACCCACAGTTCATGGATGTTTTCTGCAAGCTTCTCCCTGATCCTCTCCAAGTGAGGAGGCAGCACAATCTGTACTCACACACAGAAACACAGAGACAGTTCACTTACATCATGTTGGTAATCTCCTGTTACTTCTCCTGTTTGTCTTAACTGACAGACAGAACAGATGATACAGCAAAAGTAACATAATCATAAAGAGCTCAGTTTTAGAAATCTATTTCACAACTGAATGGCTATGCCATAACCTTTGTCTGCATTTACTATACATTGTATGTTCTGTTGGAGGAAAAAAGGTCCTGGTCCGGGTCCAAGACTAAGTCTAGACCTCTTCACCAACACTTTTACTGGAGTCAAAAAGATTCAAAAAAGAAGTCACTGGAGATGATCAGAGTCCAATGCAATAGGATTTATTCTTTCAAAAGAACAAAAGCGACCACAGATCCAGATACGAACTGAAGACAGAGAGCCTGTGCACAATCATATATAGTTCTTTCTTAGGTGGGTTCTCCACCTAATTTCTAAAGTGAACCTTGGGAGTAATGATATCCAGCCCCGTGTGGAATTCCCCAAACCAGGCGTGTCAGGGTAACGTAGTAAGACCAGGTGTCCGGAAGCTCCTTGTACACCCTATCTAAGACTCCTGTGCCATGGTGTGTAGTAGGACCCGGCATCCAAGAACCTCTCCACCACCCTAAACCTAAGGCCCTCGTCTATCCTCAATCTGGGCCTTGCTACGGCTGCTACTCCAACACCATTGCTCCCAGGGCCTTCGTTTATTTAAACTTTATTCCTTCCAGGTTCCATTCTGTAACAATCTTACTTCAGTAAAGGCTGGTTCCCATACAAATCTAACCTCAGTTGTGAGTATAGCTATTCAATTGGATTATATAAGTTTAACATTCAGTATATTTATAATGCATAGTATATTTTAGTGAAAATTTCTACAATAATTCTCTATTTCGTAATGACTTATTTAAAATTGAACATGTTGGGTTTCCATAAAAGACTACTCCTCCAAGCTAAAATTAACTGACTGGTAACAACCCTAATAGTGATCTTTACCTGGCTGGTGTCCACAGGTGTAGGGGTGAATGCAGCCTGGCTCAAGGTGACGGTGGGTCCCAGGAGGTCTGTGGCTGCTGTCTGGTCCTGACTGGCTTCCAGCTTCAGTTTCTCCCTTGGCAACACTGCCTCATAACAAGGAGCATAACCTGGAGGAGGGAGGAACTTAAACTCCCCATGACGACCCCCAAGGAGGAAACGCACCCTAATTAATTAAGGGGGAGGAATGGGAAAAGAAATTATGAGGAATTAAGAAGGAGACACTATGGCAGACTGGGTATGATTACTACATCAGATTAAAACAATGCATTTTTCCCCATTAACAGACCCAGTTGCTGCTTAGTTAAATGGAGTTGACAGCAGCTACCAGTTATCATATACTGAATGTGTGCTGCCAAACATCTCATGAAGTCTCTATAGCTTTTTCTTAGCTATTTTTAAAATGACTGTTTATGTAATTCCCTTACATTTTGTATAACCTGTCTATGATGTCTGATTGTTGAACATATCCATCAGACTTTCTCTCATCAACCAGAAAACTTAATCCTGACCAACTTTGGGGAAAAGTCATCCAAAGTCCATTCCAAAGTCATGATCCACTTTTTTTCTGATGCTTTCAATCATATCACACTAACTTCATCAGTGGATAGAGTCCTCAGAGTTTGTGAAGATTCATCTGTTGACATGCCAGCTCCAGAAAAAGCTGGTAAGTGGACCTTGAGTTAGGAATGTTAAGTCAAATTCCTTTGTTAGTAAGGCTGTAGACTATGCTCACAATGAATTTGTAGCACTAAGATGTAATTCTTAAAAATGTTCTACAAATAAATAACAGTACAAATGTTTTTCTACAATGGGCAGAGGAATTGTCAATTGTAAATTATATTGTGACAACTAAAGGATCTTTCACAGCTCCGCCGTCAGTTGTGACTGAACATGACACCACAGAATCCAGACAAAATGTAACTTGTACTGTTCTAACAAATACATGCATTTGCATAATAAGATAAATACAGATGTATTTGGCACTGTAATTATCAGACTATGGAGTCGTTTGTCTAAATCTAAACATCACTTACTGTCTATGAAGGAAAATAGACCTAAATGACCCAATGCTGCTCATGTCTTTGATGACAAATGTAGTGAATTTCACTGAATGTACTTTGACATGATGGAAACACATAATAACTGAATTTTCATTCGTGTGAAGTGTTATTAGTAAAGCACTGACTTGACCCCAGCAGAGAAGCTGGCAACAGGGAAGAAGAGGCCATCTGAGTTGAAGTTCTCAAACATGCCCTGAACCGGCTGGCCGTTGATCCTGAAGGAAATACTGGGTACGCTGAGGTCCAGGCAGCAGCTCACCACATCCTCTGACCTCAGCAGATGCTGATTGGGGGAGCTAACAGTCCGTGCAATGCAGCCTGCATAGGTGGAGTGGAAGGACATTGAGGACGGCGTTAACGCCTGAGTTTTGAATGAGCCATCTGTTTGAACATCCAGTTAGCCAGTTTGTTTGTGTAACTTAATAATGTAACATGTCTTAACTTGCTGCTACACAGAAGGATGTACAAGTATGATCTGGTTATTACAGTACCATCCACACCTACTTATACTACCATCATCAACTACAGCTCACCTGACCAAAGATGGAGTCCATCAAAGCCATACGAGTAGAGGTCATCACCCACCCCGTTGCCTCCCCACCCCTCCCCCCCACTGGGGTAGGGTGCATAGCCACTGGTACTGGCCCAGCCCACCCTGAGGTGAGTGGCCTCTGCTGTGACAAATGGCAACACCTGATCCACGATCAGTTCATAGTACCACTTCCTGTACTGAGCAGAGCCATCACTGACACCCAGGAAGATGTTTGGACGCATGCTGATAGGAGGATGAAAACATGCGACAGAAGACATGAATTAATTTGAAAGTTTCATATCTATAAACTAAAATGTTCTAAAACCAGCATGTACCAGTTCAAAGCTGAGATGAATAATTACTTTCAGTTAGTGACAGAGTTGGTGCTTGAGTTTCACAAACACATTCAACAAATTATATTCTAAGACAAATATCACTGATACAGGCGATGTAAGGTAAACTCATGTAATAGCAACTGGGGGTAGGGACCCCAAGGTTGACAACCACTGCTTTAAAACACCACATGAACAAGCAGATCAGAAAACCACCAGGACTATGATCATCTACAACGCATTTATGTGTGTGTGCATGTGTGTGTTTGTGTGTGTGTGCATTTGTGTGTATACCTGCTTACGTGGTTGATCAAACGGGTCTGCAGTAGCAGATCTCTTCCTGGCAGCAGATTGTCACAGATCAGGTGCTGGTTGGAGCGTACTGCTACACCGTGACACACACACAGCGAACACAACACATCTAGAACCTACACAGCAGAGAACATGTCATTGTGGTAAATATATCATTGTTAAAGTGCAAATGTGCAGACACTTAGTGGCACTCCGAATTGCATACATTGAGTTACAGGCTGCAGCTCTGTGTCTGTCTTTACCTTGAGAAATTATTCTTGTTTGTCAAAGCCTGCTCAGTGAGTGCCCTCCAGGTATTTATTACAAGCTACTCTACTTGAGGGATTTAAAACAAAGACAAGCTGAGAAATGGGTCTAAATTCTTAAATCATTGCTTCTAGTCTTGTTCATTCAGTACAGAGGCCTTATCTGCCTCAGGTTCTGCCCACAAATTCTTACAAGCCTGTTCACAACACACACGTTATCCACATGGATCATTTGGCCATAACTTGTAGCTTGTACACGTGTGTAATTCCTGCTGTATATATAGCTTTATTGTACATATGTCTATGTATATCTATAAGAAAGAAGAAAGTCCCTGAACCTTGTGGTTGCGTCCATGCTTGTCCAGCAGAGATATAATAGATTTGATGTGTCCCTCTTTGATGATGTTCAGTGCCTCAGGACTCTCCACCAGCACACAGTGAAGCACCTCTAGTATACCTAGAAAAACAAAATGTATACAGCATAGTAAGAATGACTGGAGTGTGTGTATACACACTACATACAACTGATTTAATTATCATTACTAGTGACATTGGCACCATATGTAGAATTACATATTAAAGATTTGTGTGGTTAACTGAAAAAATATCAAAATGTAGGTGGTTTGATGCCTGTAGCCTCACTTCTTCCAATAAAGAGAAGCTTGTAGCTTTGCTAGCTAAAGTTTCGAAGTAGCTTCTCAGCACTGGTAAAGGTAAAAAAAGAGCTGAGTTTTACTTCCAAGTAAAACTAAGCTCATTAAGAAATATTGTGTTTGGATTTGTTTTCTGCTGTTTGCTAACAAATGCCAGTGTTTCCTCCATGCTGCTGTGTCTTGAGTAGGCAGAAATTGGACCCTTTGATTTCAACGTGATCATTGTACGATGGTCCAGTGGTGATGAGTCATCAGTTGTATTCGTTTGAGTATCTTACAGAGTCAAGCTGGCTCACCAGAAGAGGCCTCCAGCCGCTCTAGTCTGCTAATCAGCCAGTCCAGCGAACCAGAGAACTGGGCACAGTTCTTCCTGTTTCCCCTGATCAGCGCAGCTGTGAGGAGGTCAGAGGTCAGAGGAGAGGAGAGAGGAGAGAGGAGAGAATAGACTTTGGTACTATCGGTGTTAATCTCTGTCCTCTGATTGCAACATTGTTTTTTGTGTGATTTACACTATTGTTCTTTTTGCTCTTTATTCTTCCATCCTTCTATCTTCTTCCATACGTTTTCTTTTGCGCTTCTAATCCAACATGCTTGCAGTTAGACACATTGTTGTCTGTGTTGTTTCAATGTTTAGGAAATAAACATGCTTAACATTTTAGCTTTGGAACCGTGTGTAGAAGAAAAGAGGTGGTGTCTATGGATTTAGTAGATGATGAAGAGTTTGACTCCATATCCTCTCTTTTCCTCTATGCTTCACCAAACTTGGCACATATCATATTTGAATGACCTAGAACACTGCCCATATGTTTGATTTGAGATACCATGTATCATTTTCCCATGACTGGCTTACAAGCTTTTGTGGGTATGGTAAAATAAATTCAATCTGCTATACATATGCTGCTATGTCACTGATGTTTTAAACCATGAGGTTTACAAGAAGAAATGTTTCATCTGTGTACTCTGTGTGCATCTACAAGAATTCCTTTCACTTAAATTTCTTATCAAAACATATTTGTCACTTCTTTGTCTCCATGTTTCATCCAGTTTTCACCAAACTTGGGGGAACCCCAGAAACAAGATTGTTTTGCAATTTCTGCTGCAAGAGCTGAGAGCCAGCTGCTGCTGCCGGCTACAGTGGTTGCAAAAGCTGTCAGCAATCACACTGCATTTGCCTCAGGAAATTTACAATCTAGTTTTCTTCAATTTTTCATTTTAACCTATGTTTATACTGTGTAAATTATCATCTTTTGTAAATATCAAAATGTAGGAAATAGAGAGGAAATAAAGTGTGTGTATACCCAGAAGTTGGTAGAGGGAGTTGAGGATAGAGCTCCAGGCCTCTGCTGCCTCCCTTCCTACTACCTCAGCAAAATGAGCTGCACTGCTGTAGACGTGAAGCCGATCAATACACTCTAGGACCAGGCTGATCATCCCCTGCAGACACAGAGGTTGGTGGTTTTACTGTTTTGTTTTTTTTTTTCAGAAAATTCTCTTGATTGATTGAAGTGGATAGGAGAGAGAGAGAGAGTTCAACTGTTATCAGTGTAAAGGGCCAGCTGCAGATAATGGAAGTTCAGAGTCAAAGACATAGGCTGCATTCAACCTTCCTAAATGTTTGTATAAACTGCAAATAGTATTGCAGTATGTATAAGGATGTAGTCTTATGTGAGTACAACTGAACACCTGTGGTTCATGCTGCCATCCATCATGTAAATATACATTGCATTGAATAAAGAGCAATATAAATTCACAATTAAACTTGAACTGTACATAATGTTATCAACAAAACACTGAAAAAAGATATTTCAGGGGAAAATGTATGTCTCAAAGGCAGCATGTACACAGAGAATAAAGTGATCACAGAGTAAAGCCTTGTAGCACAAAGAGCCTGTGACAGCAGATAATTTAAAGAGAACAAGAGGAGGAGAGAAGTTTGGTTCCAGCAAACTGGAGGAGGCACCTTGCACTCTTCCCTCAGTCCAAAGGTGAGAGACGTACAGATTTAGATCTGCTGTACACATGTGCATTGTTGTACATGAAAATGAACAAACCACACAAAATCTGACCCGTGACACACTGAACAGCAGTGGTGTTACACAGATACATGCTCGATTAAATTGGTTATGTGACATAAAAGCCTTTTCAATAAAAAAAACAAAGATGTTAGCAAAATATAATTCACATTTTACTGATGATTATTTTGAGAAGCATTTTTAGTTCTATTCTTCTCACTTGTAAAAATCAATAAACATCTAAGTAGACAAGTAGGAATCTAACTTCATACACATGCGCGCACATGCATACACACTCACACCACCTACAAGCACACACACACCCACCTCCTCCTGAAAGAGGTTCTGTCGGTTCTTCAGAGCCCTTAGTCGGTTCTGCTTGTCTTCATGTTCCAGATGATCTCCAGGTGGCTGGAAGTAGCCAATCAGATCCTGCAGACTCAGACTGACTGAATCGATTGGTAGATCTAAAGTAGAGCTCTTCCCCTTTTTCCTTAGTGTGTCCAGACCCCTAGAGCATAGAGAGAACATTTTAGTCACTGTCTTTATGATGTTCTCACTCTTGCTGTTATGTTCGTTCTTACTGGCTGTTACAGGCTACAGGTACTGATTGTGTTGACTGATTCTAACATGTAGGTGCATTAGGATTTGCCCTTTGTTGCAAGCTGATCTACAAGCAAAAGTTATATTAGTCAATGTCAAAGCTATGTGTACCAGAAATAATTTGACAGAAGTATCATATCGCATTATTGTCTGTCAGTTTGATAATGCTGGCTGACACTGTGTTTGGGTTGTGGTAACTGCTTTTGCACACCTCCTTTGCTACCTAACACTGGTTTATGGATGTGATGATTCCCCAGTCCAAACTAATGTGATGGGCTGCATATTAATCAATTCATATGCCTTGTGCACACAGCAAATGATGGGTGTGACCTTTCTAACAAACAGATTGAGATTATCTACAGTGTATGTTATACTGTAGTTTTCAGTGAGTAATAATTGCCGCTGCATGTGTCTCTTATGTTTGCTCTACAGATACTCCTCAGAAGACCCTGCCTCTCTGCTTTTCTGTCTCTCTCCAGTGAGTGTGGAGGAGTTTCCTCCTCTTCCCTCAGAGCAGAACACACACTCATACACCTGTGTGCTGGCAGCTAATGTGCCTTGAGATTCTGAGACATCTTAATTCACACAAGTGCGCTCTGCCTTGTTAATTAATGGTTTAGAGCTTTTCTTTTTTTATTATTATTTTCTGTTCCACATATATACATATATGTTGATGAAACTAGTTTGAGACAACTTTAGCTTTGTTACATGGAGCATTATGATGGTGGAAATTGCCATTAGAAGATGGTAAACTGTGGCCATAAAGGGATGCAGTGAAGACAGTGAAGCACAACTATGATGCCTAGATCATTCAGTCGTTTTTTTTATAATTCTTAAATTTTGTATGTTTTGATCAATTTATTTTTTTCATCCATTTAGAAAAGTCAGGGAACACCATGATTTGATGGCCATTGTCTTTCCAGGCCACTTCCACAACCAGCTCCTGGTCTCATACTGTTACAGCAGGTGATTTAAGGTGAGAGTAGGGCAGGCTGTGCAACTTTTTCATAGCTACAAATAAAATGTGCTCGGTCTATCTCTGCTCCCAATGTGAGGAAAAGTCACTGTGCCAGGCCCCTCAAAGCCATATTGTTAATGTCACATGACTGAATCCAATTACAGCTTTTCATGTTTTACTATCACAGAAATTAAAGGAGTGACCACATGTGAACTCTCTAATTCCCATGAAGATGTCTGAACAGCGGCTCATTAGACAGATCTTTCATGGGGACATCAACAACTGTACTACATGGAAAAAGGACTGAGTTGAGTTTAGGGCTGTCCCAAACGATTATTCTTTAAACGATTAATCTAGCGATTATTTTTTCGATTATTCGACTAATCTAACGATTATTTTTTTTATCAACCTAACAGTAATTCTATTGCAATTATTTTCCAGTTAGTCATTTAATATAACAATTTGCCCTGTCCGACAGACACACACACACACAAATGAAGATGCACTTTGCAGAGTCTGCAGACTACCGCACTGTTGGTGTCAAGATTAAAGTATTCCCAAACTTTGGTGGACCGTGTGCGAGCCTTTTTTGCCGCGTGTTGCTCCACACGTACACGCTCCGTTGTACTGCTGTACGATGGATATAAACGGTCCCATTAGAAAGTTCCGCTTTTGTTCTATGAACATTTACCCTGTGTGGTTTTACACGACGCGCCGACACTAAAATTCCACGTCGAATAATTTTTATAATCGACAACGTCGATTACGTCGGATAATCGTCCCAGCCCTAGTTGAGTTGTACTGATGTGTTGGCTGCTTAAAAATAGAACTGCTGGTGTGTATTGTGAATCGGATACTGCAGCTCAGTGCTGGAGATATATTTATTTAGGGCTTTTACACAACTCCTCACAGATCTGCTTATTAATGATTCATCATTATAATAAATGTTCAGAACTCAGTATTTACATTTTATGTCTTCATCATTCTGTTGAAAGTGCTTGTATTTGCAATTGACTACTTATTGTGCATCACGACAGGTGACTGGCTGAGCAACATTTATCTGACTGGCCTTGTAAGGTTGCAGCTGCTATATGCTTGTTGTAGTACGTTTGCTGCACACGTCTGAACAGAAAGCACATAGTGTAGTCTTCTTCCATCATACAAAGCTTATCTGCAGTATTCTGCCACAAGTTCACTGAAGGAGGCAGGTCTCTCCTCAAATTAAAAGGACATTAAAGCAGAATGCACCACACTCCATGCTTGACATACATTAGTTACATTAGACGCAGTACATTTGCTTTCAATTAAATTACTACCAGTATCTTGCTTCATGCTCACTCAACAGCAACCACCATTTCCCTTCAGCATCATTTTTGCTACCATTAACAAGAAACTGCAAAAAGCTTGTTTCTTCACACTGGCAGGTACAGTCACATTGTATTTCCATATGATCATTGAATGAAAAGCACTGCCAGAGAGGTTAAGGCATGCTTGTTATATGGTTTATACACACACAGAAAGCTGGTTTCGCTGGCTAATTTGGTTTTGGTTTTGAGTTTCAGTATATTTCCTGCTTATTGAAGAATCAATAATCATCTTGGTTCAAACCCTGTTCCACAACATAGAGGCACATCATATATATATGTGTGTGTGTGTGTGTGTGTGTGTGTGTGTGTGTGTGTGTGTGTGAGTGAGTGAGTGAGTGAGTGAGTGAGTGAGTGAGTGAGTGAGTGAGTGAGTGAGTGTGTGTGTGTGTGTGTGTGTGTGTGTGTGTGTGTGTGTGTGTGCAGCTACGAACCTGATGAACAGGTTGAACAGAAAGACAGTGCTACGGATGACCCTGGCAGTGCGACTCTCCTCATGTTGGGACCGAGACAGCGTTAGCCCGTCATCCATGTGACCCTCATGGTGCATGATGGCCTAAAAGAAGAAGTATGGTTTGGGAAAACACTGACCTCTACTCTTAACATAACAGTAATAATAATTAATCCAATAACAGAATTTTCAAGACTGTAGAAATTGTTTCTTGTGAGACTTCTTTTGTAGATCTTTGGTATACAGCAATCCCAACAATGACTGCAGTTATCAGAATGGATACAGGTGATACCTTTCTCTGTACGCCACCCATGCGTGCACACTTGGCATCAACAGCTTGGTATGTGAGCCATAGACAGGTGTCAACATGTTGGATGTAACACACAGAGTCGCCATATTTAATGTCAGGAACACCCATCCCATCCACCTCCTTCTTCAAACCGGGATCCAACTTTTCCTTAAGTAAAAAGAGAAGGACACAATCATTAATATCGCAAATAACATGTTGTCATTCATTTACAACACTGGGTGATACAAGTCAAACAGTAAAGAAAACCTGTGGTGAACAGTTAGCCATCATGTGTTACCATTAATTTGTTAGCACCATAAACACAAACAGGACCTCAGTGGATTTTTTATGTTATTAAGGCTTTTATATTTCTTATCTACGAGCGTATCTGCTTAATCCAAACTCAGCAGAATATTTCAGTTCAAGCAAAAGACTGAAGTACGATAAAACATTTCTGGTTGGTGGCAAAACAATAGAACAGCTGAAACATTGAGACTGTCATGGTTCTCAGATTCCGTCTTCCTATCAGTTCTTTGTTTTTCATGGTCATTAACTCTCATGTCATTTCAGACGAAGTACTGCCCTGGTTTCCAACCTCTTGGCTGCTCCACCCCTGTACAGAAGCTCTTCAGACCTCAGTTTGCTAACCTGCAAAGTCATTACGAAGCTGTAATACAGTACATTCAGGCCTTATCACAAATTGTTGTGGATGCTGTACCTTAGATGACCTGAAGCAGAAGGCTGTAGACTTGACATCAGCTTTCTCTTTGTCCATCAGCAGCAGAGATTTGTCTTCTATCAGACTCAGATACTTCCCTGTGGTCACATGTCTCAGTCTGAACGGTTGACCCCATCGGATATGACTCCCACTCCACCTGGACACAAACACAGCAAAGAGCAGAAAGACATAGTCAGAGAGTAGGTGGTGAACATAGTGGAGCATTCAGCAGAGGAAAGAGACAGAAATTTCCCTCAGGAGTTGGAGGAGACCAAAAACAGAGCTAAAAGAGAGGGAATACTGGTCTTACAGTCATCAGGTGGACGCAAACTCCACATGAATGATCATGTTGTTTTGTGTTAAGGCAACTGTTTGTTAACGCTTTAGCCAGACTGTAGGCTGTCAGTGTTCTGTTTACAGCTGGCCAAAAAGTAATTAAAGCAGTTTAAATATTGTACATCAGTTGGGTTGATATATTAACAGAATTAAAAACACATTGCACAAAATAATTACAGGCGTTCTCCTTCCTACCTTCCTCATTTTCTGTGTCAGTGGATCTTATAGATATTTCTCAAGATGGATAATTACACACAGGTTAAACACTTACTCTGTCTGATGAGAGGTTCAGACTAAACAACATTCTTATCTGATAAGGGTCAGTGTGTCAGATAAGGCTATTGTAGTCATAAATTTTTGTTGTGACTTGGCAGTGAGACATGACAGACTACATGTAGGTCTCCAACTAATCACAGCTTGCCATCTTTCATGACCTGCATGATGTCATCAGGAAGTTGGAACTAGGGACCAACCTCAGGGAACAACAATATAAAAAAAAAAACAATGGCATCCGAAGATGTGCAATACTGGCTGTCTTGCGTTTGGAAAAGCTTAAAAAAAAGAAATGTCTGAAAGGCAGAGGTGTTGTTGGCATAGCACATTCAGCCTTTCCTCTGTTGAACAGTTCAACCTAGAAGCTCCACCGACATCATTCCTCTTTCACTTTGCCATACTTACAAGTGTGAATGGAAGAACACTCTGTCCTCCTATTAGTCAACATCATGCAAAGAATGCGCAAGAGGGCTTAGAATTCTGACATGCCCATCTTTTTTTTGGGTGTCTTGAGGCGTCATATACAGTATGTGGCATTGGCTGTCATCCATTATGTTACACTACACGCCATAAAATGATCAGTTGTCGCACCTGATGCTCATTTGTTTCTCTGCCCCTTCCACTAGATTCAGGGACCAGTCCAGTTTACTGTCAAGGTGCACAGCTAGGTATTTATAAGTGTTCACCACCTCAGTGTCCTTCCCTCACATGTTGACTGGCTCTAGGGTGGGCCTACACCTCCGAAAGTCCTTGACCATCTCCTTGGTCTTGGAGGTGTTCATAACGATGCAGTTCTTGTCGCTCCATTCACTGAAGGCCATCGCCAGATCCCTGTACTCCTCTTCCTGCCCGTTACTGATACATGACACAATAGCTGTGTCATCCGAGTATTTCTGGATGTGGCATGACTCAAAGTTGTATTTAAATCTGCCGTATACAGGGTGAACAGGAACAGATCCAGAAACGTCCCCTGTGGAGCCCCAGTGCTGCTCATCACTGTCCCTGAGACACAGTTACCCAGCCTGACGTGCTGTGGTCGTCTTGTCAGGTAACCCACAATCTAGGATGTGAAGCAGGGATCCACCCCCATCCTTTCCAGCTTGTCTTTAAGAATGGGGGGTTGGATGGTGTTAAATGCACTTGGGAAAAAAAAATAATCAAAGAACATGTTATCACCTAGCTCATCCAAGTAAGAATGGGCCCAGTGGATGTCAGGTTGGGAAGGAGATGCCGTAGGAGAAGCTGCAGCTGAAGCAGTGGAAAAGAGAACAGGTGAAACTGTGTCAAACCTGTTGTAGAACAGGTTGAACTCATTGGCCTTGTCCACATCACCTGATGTTGCTTGGCTGTTCTTCTCTTTATAGCCAGTGATGGTCCTCATTCCCTTCCACACCTCTCTGGTGTTGTTGTGCTGCAGCTTCCCCTCTACTTTCCTTTTGTAGTCCTCCTTCCCCTGCTTTAATTTCCTCTTCAGCTCATGTTGCACACACCTGAGCTTCTCCCAGTCTCCATCCCTGAAGGCCTCCTTTTTCTAGTTATGTTATTTGGAAAGTGTATAGTGTCCTTGCTGGCATTACAGTGTCCATACAGAAGTTTATGTAGTCTGTGGTACACCCAACCACTGTATCAAGATCAGGGTCCTTGCTATTATCATTTTTCCTGTGACTGCAACAGTACATTCTAATCTGTGCACTCAAAACAGTCTTTTAGACACTCACTGGCCTCCAGGGTCCAGTGCATGAATGAGCAGGTGGTTGCAGCCTGCCTCAGTACACAGGGCTTGTAGAAAGGCTGAAGAAAAAACAGATTATGATCTGATATACCAAGTGATTGCCGAGGTGAAGCAGTGTAGGCCTCCTTGACATGTAACAGATCAAGTGTCTTATTTTCTTCCTTGTCGGACAGTCAACATATTGAGTGAAGCCAGTTAGATGAGAAGTAAGAGTGACATGGTTAAAATTCCCAGATATACAAGCTCTGCCTGTGGTTGAATGTGAACAACAATGGCGACGATGTGAGATAACTCCCTCAGTACATTGTACGGTCTTAAACCAACTGCCAACAGTTCAGTATCCCAGTAACTTCTCCTTCACTGTGATGTGACCGGGGTTGCACCATCTATTGTTCACAAGCAGAACCAGTCCACCTTTATTCTTTCCACTTGCTCTGGCATCTCTGTCCGCTTGTACTGCAGTGAAGCCGGGTAAATCCACACAATGGTGTTGTCGTTTAACCAAGTCTCCATGAAACACATGAGACTACACTCACGATATGCTCACTGGTTCTTCACAAGTGCCTCCAGTTCATCATACTCGTTAGCCAGTGAGTTGACATTTCCCATGAGGATTGATGGTAGAAAAGGCTTATATCTCCATCTCCTAGCCTTTAACTTAGCTCAGACTCTTCATCTGCGGTACGGCTTCTTCAGCTCAGTCGATATGGGATGTTTAACTCCAGATCTGGTAAACTTTAAAGTTCTTTGTTTGTGTACATTATTTTCTCAATCATGAGACGAAATAAGAATAGAATAAAAAACGTCAATCGAAAAAGAATGTGCTAATATATTGGAAAAAAACTACGAGCTAGGAGAACTTGCTGCCACTTGTTGCCAGCACATCATTCAAATTTAAAAGACTATTTAAAAGACTATTAATATGGAATTACAAACTCTGTACTGTTGTCAAAACGTATCTCTACAACAACTATTCCTCCATTGTCTCACTGCTCGTGACTGAGCCCCAGTGTTTGCTAAAATTAGATTATATAATGACATTTCTTATTGGTAATGAAATGCAAAGCCAACAATGAAAATGAAGGGCGCGCAATTAGCTAGCTAACATTTGCTTTCATACTTGACATAATCTAATTCAGACACTGACAGTAAGAAGGCAATGTGTATTAAGCGAGCTAGATAGTTAACTACTGAGACTTCGTTTACCTACAAGGTTTCAATTTGCTGGACGCACAGGAGCAGAGAGTTGAGGACCTGACTGAGTGATGGGAATGAGGGCCTCATGGGAGGCAGTTTCTTAACATCAACGTTAAGAAATGGTAAGGTCCACTTTAGGGACATCTGAAATCATATTATAAGCTTATTCCAGGCATGAATATGGTAAACATATTGCAATATTTACAATTACAGGTAAGAAGAATATGTCGCAGTCACTCCACCCAAGTGACTTGGTATTACGTATTTGGGCTCTGTTGTTCCCTTCTTTGGACCTGCCATGCCTTCCTGCCCTTTTCCCTCCAGTGACAGTGACTTACCTGCCATGGACTATTTACATATACCTTCCTTCTGCTCACAGTCAATGTCATCTTATCATTGACGTTTCCAAGCTCATGTTTTCTGTGAGTTTCTGGACTCTAGTGTTCTGTTCCAGCATGTTTCATTGCGGTTACCAGCTTGCATACTTGCCTGCACTGCCTGAAAGTTTAAAGTCTGACCATTAAATCACTTGACTGTTCCTGCCTGCCTCCTCTGTGCCTGCATTTGGGTCCTCCTTCCTGACTCTTCACACTCGGAAAGATGTATTAGTCCATGTTAAGCTAAGTAAAGCTAAACGCATCTTAACTCAATACTTCACTCTTAATACACAGACGTACTATTGATATTATGTCAATATTATGAAAATAAAAGGCTGACTCCCTTTGCAAATGGGGTGGATAAACAGTGGACTCAAGAATGAACAGATTGGAATTTGGTGGTCAAAAGATCAAGGGTACTGACCTCATAAAATATGGTTTTGGCCACAACTTATATCTAACTTCATGCGCAAATTATGATACAATTGTATATAAGGATAAAATGATGACATTTTATATCCAAAAGGTCAAAGGTCAAATTCATTGTGACATCATAATATTCTGCAAATACACTTAAGACCTTGCTTCAGTGCTTCAAAGTCTTCACTAATTTTTTTATGAGTTTGGACAAGCATGATGTAAACTGCAACGTAATTCTGGTTATTTATTATGTTTTATGTTTATGTTTTATATTGCTGAGCATTTCCACCTACACTGTTTTTTTTTTTTACTTTAATGTACAGCACTAAAGGTTTGTGGAAGTGAAATGCTTATACAATACAGTATAATGAAATACTATACTATAACCATTAAAAAGTCTACTATTGTTGCCGGAAAGCTGAGCCAGTTGGTTATAGTGAAATAAATTTCATGTTTTCTTTGTCTGTGTGTGACAAAAATGTGTTACATAATGTGCATAATGTGTGTTTTACTATTTTTGACATCACGTCGATCACTTTAATATGGACAATAATAACAAAAGAGTATTTTCACAGCAAATTCCCACCTAAGTGGTTAAAATACAGCAACCATGCATCAGCAGCTTCAAGCAACCGAGAAGTGGTGCCTGGTTATCAACCTGCAAACCATTTCTAAACTGCCATGTCCTGATACTGCTGTTACTTAGCAACTACTGAAATCATTTAAAAGCTGGTGATGCATACCGTGGGTAGAAGTTGCAATATTTTTACTGTGTACTCCACCACTCTGCTGCCCCCAGTACAGTTTAGCCATGCTAGACTCTTCACACTGTGAGGGATCCCCAGCAGTGGCTGCAGACAGCTTGACACAATAACATGTCTGATCAAATACAAATCTGTCTGTGTGTTTAGTGAGTGACAATAATAATAATAATAATAATAATAATAATAATGACAGCTTTATTTGTATTATACTCTTCTTGGTCCAGTAAACTGCTTTAACAAAAGACACAAGAGACAGTAATAAGATTATACAGTAAAAATATAGACAAAAACAAATTTAAAAGAATGAGTAAAGCCAGTTTAAAAGGTGCATTTTTATCTGACTCTAAGAGGACACATAGAATTAGCTGTACAGCTTGTGAGTGGTAATGCAGTAAGACAGTGAACGTGGGGGCGCCCCGGTGGGTCACCTGGTAGAGTGCGTACCAACAAGGCTCTTTGCTGCATGTCATCCCCCCTCTCTCTCCCTGACCTTCCTGTCTCTCTCTCACTGCAACTATCGAATTAAAGGCAAATACCCAAAACATAATAAGAAAAAAAAGAAAAAAAAAGACAGTGAACACACATTCAGTTGCAAGATTTAGTTTTCTATGTCTGCTGGAGTGTATTAATGAATCTACTCGTTCGTTGTATGTGTACAGTGTGTGTGTGTGTGTGTTGTACTTACACAACTCGAAGTGTCTCCAGCCTCCACAGGGACCTGGCATGACTGGACACTGCTCCACCCTCATAGTGAGCTGTCCTGGGGGTAAAAATGAAACAATCACACCTTTAAAAAAATTATATATCTTTTAGATACACAGCAGTGCAAAGTAACCAAGTATATTTATGTAAGTGCTGTACTGAGGTACTTGATTTTCTGCTACTTTATACTACGAATACTGCACTTTGCTCTGCATTTATTTTATAACATTAGTAACTGGTTTCTTTGCAGAATCACATTCTCAAATGTAAAGTATAATCAACGAATAACTTATTAAAAAGGTGCATTATAACAAATGTGTCATTACTAATTATATGACATGACATTCTTCTATTTCTACACTGTAGTATTGACACGTTTACTTTTTCCTACCCATACATACTGTATCATTGTGCATCCAAGAAGTCACTTTTTGCTCTAGAAATCTAGCTGCCTTTGACTTAGTATGTCTAGTATGCTACTATGGATGACTCACAGAAAAACTTTTGTAGACAGTATGACAGGAGGAGAACACAGTTCTTCTCACTCGGATTCTTTAACAACATCGCTGTCCCATTTGGGAATAACTTAGAATATAATTATTCATAGTCCTCTACATCTGAGTCACAGCAGAGTTCTCATTCTGTAATGGGAGTTGACACTCTCTCTCCCTGTAGGCCACTATAATTTCCTCACAAAAGATGCTGAATACTCTGTCTAATCGTTTCAACTGGAGGGTGAAGGAGAGCAGACAATTCATTTATTCATCGATGCCTGCATGTTTTTCAGAGCTGGTCAGGCCTATACACTCACTACGCAAGTTGTGTAGGCCTCCGCAAAATGTGCAAGGCCCCTGAATCTCCCTCTGGTGAAAGGGGTGTCAATGTTTACAACTTTGATGAAAGGATGAAGCGGAACTATCCTTCTGGTGACCAAAACAGAAAAAAAATACAATGAGAGTGAATTGCAGGAACAACAATCAGGTAAATGTGTTTTCTCCTCTCCAGGTTTGATGTCAGCTAATCACAGTAGGCTAACATTAAGGTGCTAGCTTACAGTGCATTTCTCTCATGTCTGTCTGCCCTGCTAAACTAGCCTCTTGTCTGTCTGATAAAACTTGTCCCTTTATATGTCTGTGTCTTGCTTGCCTGCTACTTCCAGTCTCTGTTCTGAGACTTTGTGCCCAGCTTATGAAATTGGACACTAGACTGTGGCTCCCCGACCCGAGCGTGCCGACATGAAATAGCAGCCACATAGTCCCTCAATGTAGAGGGAGAACGACCCTCATCTAGGAGGGACTGCAGAAACTCCAAAATAATAGGTACAGTGCAATGCACTGGGTCCTCGCCCCATCTTACCAACCAGTGTGAAAAGAGTTTCCACCTGTTATCATATTGTAAAGTGTGGAAGGTGCTCCGGCGCTATCAATAGGGGCCAAACGCACAGTTAGAGGCGGCAAGGATTGGGATGCCAAATGTGACCCCCTAACTGGGATAGTAGATCTGTCCTGTCAGGGAATGCCTAAGCGAGCCGCAGCAGAGCCTGTGCAGCAGAGGGAACCAGGTGCTTGCTGGCCAGAAGGGGGCCCCCAGCAGAAGTCTGTGGCCCTCTTGGAGCACTCTCTGAAGTATGGGCAATATCAGAGGAACAGCTGGAAAGGTGGAAAGTAGGCTCCTTGGCCAGGCATGCGCCAGCACGTCCTGACCCAAAGGACTGGTCTTCTCCATCAAGGAGAACCAGAGGGGACAGTGCGTCGCAATGCCTCTGAGGCGAAGAGACCCACCTCGGCCCTGCCGAAAAGACCCCAGATGGCATGCACCACCTCTGGATGGAGTCGCCACTCCCCCTGTGTGGGCTCGTGACGGGAGAGGAAGCCTGCAGCCTGTTTCCTCTGCCCCAGCAAGTACATCACCTGCAAGCTGGTCAGCTGCAGGGCTGCCCCTGTCAGCAGGTCCCGGGATGCCTGCAGCAACCCATTCTGATTTGGTGCCCCCCTGGTGGTTGATGTGGTACTCGGTCGAGGTGTTGTCTGACCACACAAGTACATGCTTCCCCTTCAGGTATGGCAGGAAGTGTTTGAGAGCCATGTGCACAGCCCGTAGCTCTAGCACACTGATATGCCCTGCACCCTCCTGTGCAGACTATTATCCTTCTACCGTCCTGTTCTGCCACACTCCACCCCAACCCCAGAGGCTGGCATCCGTTGACAGTTTCTCTGCGAGATGGGGACGCCCCTCTCCATATAAGACTTCCCCTCCATGGGGCCAGAGCGAGGACGCACTGCCTTGACACTCTCAGCCTCCTGAATTTGTGCCACTTGGCATCCAAGTGGAAGCTGTTCAGCCAGTTTTGCTGAGGGCGCAGAGACAATAAGCCCAAGGGAACAATGGTTGAGGCCGCTGTCAGTTCGCCCAAGAGGTGCAGGAACTGGACATATGGCCCCTTTTGAAAGAAAGCAAGAAGCTGTAGACAAAATGTCATCCACATGCTAATGGGATGGACAGACCCTCATATAGGGGTGGGCGATATGGCAAAAATATCATATCACGATTTTTTAAAAATAAAATCACGATTTCGATTTTATCATGATCTTAAATTGGAAAAAGAAAAACAGACAATTTAGACCAAAGAACCTTTCTTAACAGATTTTATTTCAAATAGTCGCAGTTTTGCCTGCATGTGCAAACAACGTAAAGTTTAAGGTAAACAACAACAGCATTCTGGTTCGTTGTGTTACCACCCGACGTGCGAACGGTTTCTGTGCAAACTTTGCAGATTACATTTGCTTGCGGTTGATCAGTTGCGGAAAATCCAAACCAATTCCATATAATGGAGGTGGAATTTTTTTTAGCGACCAACTCCGTTTGGCTTTCAGCCATCGCTCTCCATGTGCTACCGCTACACACACAAACAAGGAGGCGGGTAGGAAAGTGCGTCACTGCCCGTAATTCGCTATGACTGGTCGGTCAGGTTGACGACGTCAATACGTCTGGTGTGTCGGTGCATCAGCATAGAACTGCAATTTATAGAATGTGCCCTAGACGATCCCACGATCTCTGCAGTTTGAAAGATCGTCTTCACGTTGTAATCCTTCACGATCTAATATCGTCATATCGCCCACCCCTACCCTCATAGTGACGATTTTCAGAGTAATACCTATGAAAATTGTGCTCTGAGAGGGAGTCAATGAGCTCTCCTGAAATTGACTGAGACCCAGCTGGTCCACGCCAGAGAGGAGAGCTGTGTCTTTGGCCGCCTGAGCCCTGGATGGTACACAGATCAGCAGTCATCAAGGCATGGCAGAATTTTCATGCCCCATGGCTGCAGGCGCAAGAGAGCCGCTGCCAAGCACCTGGTGAAAACCCTGGGGGAGAGGGAGAGACCAAACGCAAGCACACAGAACTGACAATGGCCAGGAAGGCAAAACGTAAAAACTGCCTGTGTCCTTCAAGTTGATGTGTGACGTGAACGATACCCCTGGGTCAACAGTTCGAAGCATGTCTGTTGCACCACCATGTGGAATATCAGTATCTTGAGGAACTTGTTTAGCCCCCTTAAATCAAGGACCGGCGAAACCTGCCCATCTTCTTCCCCAGAAAATAAGTTGAGTAGAACCTGGGGGTGTGACAGGGGATCTACTGGTTCTATTGTGCCCTTGGCCAGAAGGGTGGAAAGATCCTGGTTCAGGGTCAAAGCCTTGCTGGGTCCTGGATGATGGTCTTCCTGACCTGTTTGGAAGCTGGGGGACGGCGTCAGAATTGTATCTTTTACACGTGGGCCAAGGTGGAAATTACCCAGGGGTCAGAAGTGAGCAGCCCAGCATCTGAGCTACTGCTGGGAAAAATAACCAACGACCGACCACAAAGCCACAATCCCGGGCCCTGTGACCCCTGGAGGTCTTGGGGACAGCCTGCCAGGAAGGAACACAGCTCTGTGGAGACCCGAGAGCTGTCGTCTGGTCTTTCCAGCCTGGATGGTACACTCCAGTGGCTCTACAGCGGTGGAGCCAACTTTGCTGCATCTTGCATTGCAGCCAAGGATCAGCCGTCTGAAGAAAGATGGGAGTGCCTTCTAGTGTCCTCCCAGCATGCATGCAGCTCCCTCAAATACTCCTGAGGGAGGAACAATGTGTCAAAAAAAGGTGCCGGTTCAGATGGCATGTCCAGCTGCAGACAAGCTAGGGCCATGCAGACGATAGTCCTCATAGAGCTGAACCCAGTGTCATTCATGGAGCTCTGGTCCAAGAAGCGAGAGCCCGGCGCCGAAACATGGGACACATCCTCCCCACCATCATCTTGAAAGAAGGTGGCAGAGGCCGCTACCGAGACAACATCTTCATCAGGGAATGATTCAGGCAAGGGCTGAGCAGGTGTCTCCACATCCTGTCTGAACACCAGAACCCATAGTCAGGAGAAGAGACTTCATCTGAGCCAGCTCCACTGATAGCGGCTCCACCTGAGTTTTAGCCCTCTTCCTAGAGGGGGCAGCTTCGCCTGCGACAGGTAGGTTGAGCTGGAAGCAACTGTTTTTTGGAGGGGACACTCTTCTCACCAAGTGATTGCTCCACCTCCACCAGCCTGGTTGGCTGAACAGCGTTCATTGAACACGTTCATATTTTTAGTGAACGCTGAACTGAACAAATGATGAACGTGAACATGAGCTCATGTTTTACGATAGTTTTAGCTCGGTGAACTTAGTTCCAAATTTTTAAAAAATGAACTATGAATGTGAACTAGTTCATTTTCATGTGTATGAACTGAACTTTGAACTACTTATTTTTTTATTTTTGTGAACTGGCACAACACTGGTTACAACACTCAACAGGTCAACTCCAGCCAGAGCACTGTTACCAAAAGCAGGCACAAACCCAGAGCGAGTTGGGAGCGGGGAGCGAATACACAGCCCTCACCGACAGATATAAACAACCAAAACACAAGGCCCAGTGTTGCTTTTATCTATTATTTATTTTTCTTTGTTTATTTTAGCCAAGACCCTTCTTGCCAGCGAGAGCACTGTCTTCACAAACAAAAATTAACAACCAAAGTAAATATTAGGCTGAG